TTATGGGACCATACACTGTGTGCCACACCTGGGGATGTGCAGAGAACTAAGATGGGACTTGCCAACAGGTATCTGCTACCCTTATTTATTGATTGATATTTGTTAAGCTTTAAAAAATAAAAATGGAACGAAAGATAAGGCCTTATCTCAAAAGAGATCCCAGGCCCAGGGGAGACAGAATTATAACAGTATAAGTATCTGGGGGTGGGGGTGTGAGAGGCAAGTGAAGCAGTGCGTGGGAACGGACATCCTTTGGGAGGGGAGAGGCAAATCCACTTACCAGAGGAGCTGTTGCTTTTGAATTTCAGATCAACAACAGCAGTTTTTAAAATTAGAATAAGTACAGGGGCTGGGGATTTAGCTCAGTGGTTCCGGTGCCTGCCTCACAAAGGCAAGGACCCGAATTCAATCCCCAGCACCAAAAAAAAAAAGAGTAAGTATATCCCATGCACTATTTGGGACATACTCATGCTAAGAACATTGTTGTTTACCTGAAATTCAGATTTACTTGGGGTTCTGATATTTTTATTCGCTAAATCTGGCAGCTCAGCCCTGAGGCGGCTTGGAGGACAGTGGAAGATGCACATCTCAGGCCCAGAGAGCAGAACATGCAGAGTGATACCTTGGGAAAGACGGAGCTGAGGTGTAATTAGCTCCCATGCTGCTTTGAGCTAGGCAGGATGTGGCAGAGGGGTCCAGTTCCACCTGTAATAATTTTGTGCCTGTTAAGTACCAGAAATTTGTTGGGTATGATGCACGTGCTTGCAGACCCAGCACTTCTGAGGCTGAGATAGAGGAATCATGAGTGATAGGGCCAGCGTGGAGTGCATAGTGAGTTCGAAGCCAGACAATTTCCTAGCAAGACCCACTCTCAGGGAAAAAAAACATCAGAAGTGAGAGGATTTAGATATAACCTGTCTATGGAAGCTCCCTGCCCCTGGCCATGGTAGTGCACATCTGTAACCCCAGCAGGTGGATCACAAGTTTGAGCCCAGCCTCCTGGGCAATTTAGCGAGACTCCCCGTCTCAAAGTAAAAAAGGGAGGTGGGAGACTGGGGATGTAGCTCAGTTTGAAAGCCCTCAGTTCAACCCCCAGTACCTCAAAAACAAAATGAAAAGGAAAAAATGATACTTATCCATAAAAGGATGACAAGTCCACACAGAATCAGGAAGGAGATGCCAGGCAGGCAGGGTTGCCTGCGCGCAGAAGGAGGGATGTGGGGGCAGTACGAGGTGCTGGAGAGCAGACACCACGAGGCTGTTTTCCAGACTCCACCACAGGGTCATTGCACATGCTGTTCCCTCTGCCTGGTCACAGTGGCTCTCCAGGCTCTTCTTGACCATGTCAGTTTTTCAGATTCTCATTATTATTATTATTTTTTTGGTACCGGGGATTGAACTCGGGTCCTTGTGCTTGCACTGCAGGCAGCGAAACCACTGAGCTAAATTCCCGGCCCCAGATTCCCATTATTTGTGACAACTGGGGCAGCTTTGAGGCATACTGGCCGAGCATTTTGTAGGATGCCCTTCAATTTGGATTAATCCAGTATTTTTCTCAGGACTGGACTGGGGCTGTAAGGACAGAAGACCTCATGATTTATCACTGTTGCTAAGCAGGATCCCCGGCTGAGGAAGTGCTTGTCAGTTTCTCCACTGTAAAGTTACTGTGTTCTCCTGCCCCCTTCCAATCTGGGAGGAATTCATCCCAGTCCTTAAGGAGAAAAGAGTTAGGTTCCGCCTCTGTGAGAAGGCAGTAGCTACAGAAATTGCTTGGAAGTCTTCTGCATGAGAGATTTGACACTTCTCCCCATTTGTTTGTTTTCCTTTTGAAGGGCTAAGGATTGACTCCAAGCCCTCACACTTAGACACGTTTCACCACTAACCTGCATCCCCATCCCTTTTTATTTTTATATTTATTTTGAGATAGAATCTTGCTACATTACCCAGGCTGGCCTCGCACTTTCAATCCTCCTGCCTCAGCCTGCAGAGTAGCTGGAATTGCAGGCACGTGCTTTGGGGCCCAGCCTCTTCTCCCCATTTATTTATTTATTAAACCATTTCTATCAGTCAGTATGGGCTCATGGATATTTATTTTATACTTTAGGTTACAATCCAGTAATACTTTTGCTGCTTAAGTTGTGCTAGGCTTGGTCACTGGGAGTGCTTTTAGCTTTTTTTCGTTGGCGTCTGTATTCCTTTTGACATACTGCCATCGATTTTTTGTTTTTGTTTTTATTTAGTAATTCCTTATTTCCTAGTGCTACAAAGATGAGCCTGCAGCATCTATATTTCTAGTCCAAGTCCTAGAACCAGCCATTTCTCCAGACAGTCTTGGCTCCTTCTGTTCAAGAATGGTATTGGAAACCAAGATCTGGACTTGGCAGGGTAGAGCACATCTATAACCTTAGCTACAAAGGAGGCTGAGGCAAGACAATCACAAGTTCAAGGCCAGCCTGGGCAACTTAGCGAGACCCTGTCTCAAAATTAAAAAGGCTCAGGATATAGCTCAGTGGTAGAGTGACCTTGGATTCAATAACCAATACAGGGGCTGGGGATTTAGCTTAGTGGTTCCAGCGCCTGCCTCACAAGCGCAAGGTCCTAAGTTTGATCCCTGGTACCAAAAAAAACCCAAAAAAAACAACAATACAGAAAAAAAAAAAAGCTCAAAGGAGAATCCAAAGAACAGTTTATAAACCATGAATACTGGAATGGATATGTAAATAGAGGCAAAACTCCCCCCCACACACACTCAGGAAGAGGGTTGTACGTTCCCAGGACAGTATTGATTTCCATGTCTATGGACAAAAATAATTTTCCATTGGTATCAGTTATCTACAGTTTACAGAGATGTAAAAGTATTTCCAAAGAACCCAAGTGGGAAGAGTGCTGTAGACAGCACATAGTTTTACTGAAGTACAGAATTGCCCTACAGGGAGATGTAGGGGCTGGACACTCTGCCCAGACCCATCTGTTGAAGCCCTGCCCCCCAGTGTGACCTGTTTAGAGGTAGGGCCCTGGGAAGTGACCAGGTTTACGCCAGGTCCTGAGGGTGAGGTTCCCACCGTGAGATTAATGTCCTTCTGAGAGGAGGAAGGGGCGGGAGGGCTCCCTTCCACCTCCTCTCCACCAAGTGAGGATGCAGCCAGATGTCAGGAAGGACACCTCCAGAAGAAGGACACCTGGGGTGGGGGGACCTGGTCTGGTGGGCTCTTGACCTTGGACTTCCCAGCCTCCAGAACCAAGAAAAATAAATGTCAAGTTTTGAAGACACTAATGTATGATGTTTTGTGATGGCAGCTTGAGTTGACTAAGACAAAAAACAATTGTGAAATGTTTAGGATAGAGCCTGGCACCAGTAAGCAGTCAGTCACTTGGCATTTGGCAAGGATTTGTAGTTTCCAGTATGGAAAGGCATTACGGACAGTAGTCAGTAATCTGTCAGACAGAGATGTGTGTGTGTGTGTTGAGGGGTAACGGAAATGGAACCCAGGGCCTTTGCACTAAGCTGCATTCCCTACACCTTTTAATTTTTTATTTTGAGACAGGGTCTCACTAAGTTGCCCAGGCTGGGCTTGAACTTGCAATCCTCCTGCCTCGGCTTCCCAAAGTGCTGGAATTCATAGTCGTGTGCTGTCACAGTGGGTTACCAAATGTCCTTTTAAGCTTAGTTTAGTATTTGTTTGGGGGTAGTGAATGGCCTAAAGTCCCATGGCCTCCTCTTTTTTTTTTTTTTCCCCTTTTCTCATTTATTCTCTTCCCTTTTTTCCTTTCCCCAACTCTCCCACTCATAACCTCCTCTTATTGCTTGCACTATTCATTTGTCGATTCAACAAATACTTACTGGGACTGGTGTGCTATTCACGGTGCTGGGGACATACAACTACAAATTAAGGGCATGGCTTAGATTTGTGCCTATACTGCTCAGCGGCCTACCCTTCCAGATGCTAGACCTTCAAGGCAGTAAGTCTTATCATGTTGTAAATTGTAAATAACTGATAGCAGAGCAAATTCTTGGCCTGTAGATATGCAAATTAACTGTCTCACTCCAGTTGGAAATTTGTACATTTGTTTCAACAGTTCTTTACTCCACATACATTTGTCCTTTGATTTCTCTTGTGGATAGATTTTTTTGAGGGGGGGGTTGTTGAGACAGCATCTCACTGTGTATTTCAGGCTGGCCTTGAACGCACTATGTGGCCCATGCTGGCCTCCAATTCCACCCCCCCAACACACACACACACACACACACACACACACACACACACCCTCCTGCTTCAGCCTCCTAAACGCTGAGATTACAGGCGTGCACCACCCCGCCCGGCTATTTTGTGGACAGCTTATAGCATTTACTTGGCTCCTACATTTAATTAAAGAGTCAAATAGGTCAGGAAATGTAGTCAATGACGCCCCTGAGCACCTGGCTTGTAAGTGCAAGGTCCTGAGTTCGATCCCCAGTACCACACACACACAAAGTTAAAAAATTTAACACGTGTTTAGTTAGTAGTGTAAGAGAATCACGATGTGCCTTTTGGGGAAAGGCATCCTTTCACAAAATAAGCAAGTTTCTGATAAGTTTATGGTATCGTGTGTTACAGAGGAAATGAAACAGTACGGAGGGGAGCTAGGCGTGTCTTTTTTGGGGGGTCGGTTCGAGATAGGGTCTGGCTCTGTGGTCCAGGCTGGTCTCCAACAGCCAGTGAGCCTCTTGCCTCAGCCTCCTGAGTGCTGAGGTTACAGGGGTGCGCTGCCACGCCTAGGAAGAACGATTCTTTAGCTGAAATTCAGATTTACCTGAGCATCGTATATTTTATCTGTCAACTTCCGAAGGAAGAGGGGAACCCAAGCTTTGCGAGGTTAATATGATGGGCCTTGACCTTGCCACGAGTCTTGGAGATCAAGACCAGCCAGGCGGAGTTAAATCTGGCTCCCGGAGGCTAGGGTCCGGGGCTGGCGGTGGGCGTGCCCGCCTGGCCCCGCCCCCGATCACGTGCCGGCCCGCGCCTGCAGTGTCGGCAGCCCCGGAGCGCAGCGGGCAGCGGCCTTCGGGACCTGAGACCGCTGGACGCGGTGCGGGCTGGGCGGATGGCTACGACCTCCGTGGCTGCGGGGACCGGGGCCGCGGCGGGGTCCGAGTCGGCGGAGGGTCCCCCTGGGCCGGCCGCGGCGCTGGAGCTGTGGCTCAGTGAGTAGCCCGGGCTGCACGCGAGGCGAGGCCGGCCTTCCCGACGCCGGGCCTTTCTGGGGCCGCCGACCCTGAGGGTCCCGGGAGAAGCCTGGGCTTCGCTGGGCCTGCGGAGCCCAGCCTGGGCGCCTGCCCTGGCCCGCGCGGCGCACGGCCGTGCCCAGCAGCGGGTTGCTGACGACCAGCCTGCTCCTTTGTGCCGAGCACGGTGCCGAGAGCGTGTCAGCCCGTGCTACCGAGGGTGGCTTCCGTCTCGGAGACGGGCGTGTGGAGTTCCAGGAGACCGAGTGGTTGCAGATGCGCAGCCTCGGAGTGTTTTGGGCAGAGCTCTCCATCTGGCTGCTCCCCTGGACGTCACATTAAGCCTTTGTGTGTGCTTGCTCTAGTCAGACTTGGGGCGTCCTCCCCTCTGGGGTTCACAGTGGGGGGCTCTTATTGCCCCCATTTATAGGTGAAGAATGGAGACTCAAAGGGGTAAAGAGTGCTCCCCGTGTATTGGGCTGCGCCGGGTGCTCGGGGTCTTTGCTCACAAAGGCATTTTTTTATTGGGTCCTGGTCGACCTCTGCGGCACCTTGTTGGCAGGAAGTGGGGGAGGGGCGTTTGTTAAGCTCGTTGTAGAAGTTGGTTTGTTTACCCGGGGGGGGGGGTTCACAGTGGACCTAGTGTTAAGGGGACAGTGGAGGTGATCACATTCCAGGTAGAGAAAACTGCAAGGGCAAAACCAGACAAGAGCCTATGAGGGGAGTCTGCCGGATTGCAGAGCCTAAGCAAAGGATCTGGAAAGGTGGCTGCGTTGCGCGCTCATTTGTCAGTTGGATGAAGATCATCGCGGGGCTATATTGGAGGGACGGGTATTGGGAAGTGAACCCAGGACTTTTTGCCTCCAGCTTCATCCCCAGCCCTTTATTTTCTTTTTTTTTTTTTTCCTTTTTTTTTTTTGGTACCGGGGATTGAACTCGGGTTCTTGCGCTTGCACAGCAGGCAGCGAAACCACTGAGCTAAATACCTTGCCCCTTTTTTTCTTTATTTTGAACCAGGGTCTTGCTAAGTTGCCCAGGCTGAGCTTGAAATTACTGGTGGGTGCTATCATGCCCGGTTTCATCAAGAATTTTGCATGCTGCAAAAGGAAGCTTATATTTTTTCCGGTGCAGGGGAACAGTTGTGGAGTTTCCCAGGAGCATCTGTGATCAAGTAAAAGGCATCACCTGCAGCCCTGGGTGCTGAATTCTTAAGAGACAGGAGACTTCATACAGGGGGAGTAGATAACAGGCTCTTTTGTGGGGCTGAGGATTTAGCTCAGCCTGCAAGGTCCCGAGTTCTATCTGCTGCCTGCCTCGCAAGTGCAAGGTCTGGAGTTCAATCCCCAGTACCACCACCAAAAAAAAAAAAGGCTCTTGATAGTGCTTAGGGGCTGCAGTAGGACCAAGGTAGTGGGGAGGGAAAGTAGAAATGATTAGCAAGGTCGCCAGCAACCTTGATAATTTGTAGTGGAGACGAGACAAGGAGGTTAAGGCTCAGGAGGTGGCAGCACAAACTGAGTTTGAAGTGCTTTCGACGCAGGTGCAGAGGTGATGGATGCACAGGCAGGTGGTGGGTTCCAGGCCCGGAAAGAGCTGGAGGTGTGGCGTGGGGGTCTTAGTTTATTGGCAGTGAGCTCGCCTGGGGGCGCCAAGCATGTGAAGAGGAGGGCTTTGGAGACAGAACTTGGGGACCCCAACCATTTAAGAGGCAGATGGGAAGAGCGCCCTTAAGTGGAGCAGAAACAGGCAGGAGGAAGATTGGGGAGGGTGTGCCAAAGGAAGGATGGAGTTGGTAGTTTTGTTGCATAAAAATGGAGTGGAATATAGAAGGAGGCATTTTGAATCTGGTAACTAAAAGGTTAATGAGAGATCTGAGTTTTTTGGTGGAGACAGGTAATCTGAGGGGCTGTTTAGGAGGCTGTGGAGCTCAGAAGGCTTAGATGGGAGCTGGGGGTGTAGATTGGGTAGGATGACAAGTAGCAGCAGACCCAGCAGGGAACAGAAGAAGCAGTGCCTGGAACCCCGGGCTGGCAAGAAGAGGGTTCTCAGCTCCAGGTTTGGGGGGAAGTGTCCCCAAGTTCCTGGATGTCCTGTTTTTCAGGGAGACCTGGAACCTCATTTTTGTGTCAGATTTCTTAGGGTTTTTAAAAGTTGGCAACGACTTGAAAATGTAATTTGTCTGGTGGAAGTCAGGCGGAATAAATCTATCAGGAAGATTTTGGCAGGCGAGTGGGGTTTTTTTAAAAAATGTGCTGGGCCGGGGATTTAGCTCAGTGGTTTCGCTGCCTGTTGTGCAAGCGCAAGGACCCGAGTTCGATCCCCGGTACCAAAAAAAAAAATACGATGCTTACATGTGAAAGGAAGGAGATGGGGTAGGAGCTGGGTTTAGGATTAAAGGAGACCCTCCCCTCCTCACTTCTAGGTCTGTGTTCTGTCCCCAGCAGAGAGACTGGAGGTCCAGCTGGCCTGGCGAGCAGAGCTAGAGCAGGAAAGGGTGACCCCTCACAGGGAGGAAGGCACTTTTGTGCCCTTGCCTGGGGAAGGAGATAAAGACGATTGCGCGCGAAAACCAGTTTGCCATTGCCTGAGTGTCCGCTGAGGGAAGTGGGCACGTTCGTGAATAGCTGGTAAGAAAAGCAGAAGGAGGCTCATGTGGACCCCAGGTGGGTTTCTCAGCCTCCGCACCACTGGCACTGGGGCTGATGATTGTGGCTTGTGGGGGACCTGATGCACATCAAACCTGCCCTGCCTGGTCCTCAGGGTCAGAATGTCTCTAGTGGAGGCCCTGATGTCCTTAGGGAGGGGAGGGAGCCCAGGAGCACCTCTACTCACCCCCTTCCAAGCTCCTCCGAGGACTGTGGTGGGTTGTCTGGACTACGGAAATGCGTATTGCAGTGGAGTGTGGTGGCCACACTTGTAATCCGAGCCCTCTGGGAGGCCTTGGAGGGAGAATTACCAATTCAAGCCCAATTTGGGCAATTTGGCCACTTGGGGAGTCCCTGTCTCAGAATAAAAGTAAGGGCTGGGGATTAGCTCAGCTTCAAAGCCTTGGGTTCATTTCCTAGTACCACCTCCAGAAATGTGTATTGAAATCCTTGCGGCTGTGTGTTGCTCTGTTTTTCTTCTGGGCGTTAAGAACAGAGTGAGGTACGGCTTAAACCAGGTTTGTGGAGCATGGGGAGGTACAAGGGAGCGGAGAAGGGATCCTGTGTGTCCAGGACAGGAGTGAAGGGAGCTGCACTGTGAGTTTAGACTGGGTGAAGGACGTCACTCTGAGTGCAGTCATTGATAGTTCTTGCCTCAGCAAGCAAGGCAGTGTGTTTTGATTAGGGCTTTTTTTTTTTTTATATATAGGGGATTCAACCCAGGGCCTTTGTACTGCAGCATCCCCAGCCCTTTTTATTTTTAAAATTTTGAGGCAATGTCTCTTGGTAAGTTGCCCAGGCAGGGGCTCAAACTTGTGATCCTCCTGTCTCAGCCTCCCAGAAGCAGCTGTACTTTTAGGTTGAGAATGGTAGTGAATACTTACCCCTTAGGGTTCTTGAGATCAAAGGTAGTAACATTTGTATCCTGTCTTCCCTCCAGCCTCCTTTATTCTTCCCAGCCCCACTTTGAGCCTCCCTCCGGCTTTGGGGAGGTCTGGGTTTATACTCAGCGTCTCTTGAGGGCTGAGCTCCCTTGTCTGTTGGAGTTCGGTGTAGGCCTGGCTGTAGGGGCATCGGGTCCCCTGGGAAGGACTTGGCCTACAGTGTACACTGCTGAGCGATTGAGTTACGTTCCCCGGATGATGGCTTCCCTTCCAGCACACGCTGTGCTAGTGCCAGAGCCCTGACCCCACCGTGGGTTGGCAACTGGCTTGAGATGATTTGGCTTCTGAATCAGTCACTCTTGGCTGAGCCATTTCATTCACAGCCGGCAGGCTCAGCTGTTTTCTTAATACCTCTGACCCTGCAGCAGGCTCAAAAGGAAGCGCTGCTTTTATTAAGCAAATATAGGGCAGTGGTGTTTCTCTTGGCACCCGTCTCCCACCAAATGGTGGCTCAGTACTTGGAGCAGGGATGGCAGTTCTCTGTGCTTGGAGGGGCTCCCAGAATCATGAGAAGAAGGAACCTCGAAGCTTCTCCCTGGCGCTGCTTTTCTGGACCCTGGCTACTTAGGGTTCTGAGTGGCGTCCGACCCAGGCAGTTTCTAGGACCTGGTCAGACCCAGCTGCTGGCCTCTGGGGCCTGTGAAATAGCCGGGCAGGCTGGGATTATGTGTTCGGAAGGAGACCCAGTTATTTCAGCACTGAAATGGTCTGTCTCTGAGCGGTGGCAGCCTGTCTGATCACCACATAGCAAAAGAGGAAGCGCTGGTTCATTCAGGCACCGTTGGAGTGCTGGGCACTGGACGCTGAGCGAAACAGATCTTGATGGCATTTGTAACTTCCCCGGAAAAAAGTCAAACTCATTCTGAGGAGAAGCCCTGCCCTGGCTTTGTCAAGGAGCTGAAGACTTAAACCTTAGTGACCTCCAGGCAGACAGACACAGGATTGAATTTTTATTTCTACTGTGGCCGGCCAGGTTTCATCTGTAAAGTGGTGAGATGATAGTATCCACCGCGGTCCTCCTGTCCTCAGAGAGCTGGTGCTGGGCCCACATGGCAGCTAGAGAAAGAAATAAAAGTACAGAAAGAAATAAAAATAGAAAAATGGCAGCTGTTACGAATAATCTTTTGGGCCATGACAAACCTTGAGTGAATCCTCCTCATAACAAGACGCAGCAAACAAAAAAGGAACTGTCCTATACTTCATAGGTCTTTTTGCTGCTTGGCCATGGCCAGGGCTTTGCTTGGCAGTGTATTTTTCCCCTGGACAGCGGCGGAGGAGGGAGAAGGCTGGGTTCTGGGAGCTTGGCCCCTGCTTGCTGTTTGCTCTGCCTTGTAGGTCCAGGCAGGCGCACGTGGAGGTCAGAATTCCTTTGTGCTGTCAGCCTTGACCTTGTGAACAGAAACTGAAGCTTGAGTGGTATAGAATTACTTTCAGGTGATTGAGACGCACAATCTGAGAATCACTGCTCTAAATATTTTATTTGGATATCTACAGGCATTTCTGACTTACAGTGCTTCAACTTAGAATTTCAGCATTAGGGTTGGTTGGCATGTACCATTATTGTAGATCCCCTCGTCATGAGTTGAGCACCTGTATTTTGCACCTATGGCTAAAGCCTCGTGTTAAGCACGGTAGAGAATATATGGCTTCTGCCTTCAGGGGTTTTATTCCCTTTAGATACAATAAAGCAGATGTACATATTTTTACAGAAAAAGGCAGGGACTCTATTGAAATAATAATACTGTGAGCTGCTGTGCGGAACACTTGCGACACTGCCTACTTTAAATCACAGGACAGGCCCATGAGGAAGGTATTTTCCTTCCTTTAGAGTTGAGGCTGAGCCTCAGAGAGTCTGAGGTCAGCGTGGCTGATGAGGGGTAGCGGTGGAGACTCCCATCTCGTAGAAAGGGAGGGGAAGAAACAGCAGCCTTCTTCTGTTTTGTGGGGTGGGAGAGAAGAAGATCAAGGCCATCTTTGTGAAAGTGTGGTAGTCCAGGGCCAGGGATGTAGCTCAGTGGTTCCTCCGCCTGCCTTGCAAGCAGAAGGACCCGAGTTTGATCCCCAGTACCAAAAAAAAAAAAGTGGTGGTCCACTTGGCACCTGAACAGTGAGCAGTATTTCTTTTTGGGTTTTTTTGGTGCCGGGGATGAGACTCGGGACCTTGCACTTGCGAGGCAGGGACCAGAACCACTGAGCTACATCCCAGCCCCGAGTGAGTAGGATTTTGAGAGAGGGAACACAGGGAGAGAGCTCTGGGAGTTGCCCCCTTCCTCACGGTGACTGCATTAGAATGGAGCCTGACCACGTCCTCTGACTCTGCTCTTGGGACTTGGGACTTCCACGTGACATGCATGTGAACAGTTCCACTCTAGACTGAGGATGGGGGCCTGAGAAATCAGAAGGGAGAAGTCGGGGCTGGAGCAGTGCGGGGGAGGCTTTAGGGAAGCTATGGAAAGTCAGCTGAGTCTTCTGAGGGGAGTGGAGTGGCTGTTTGGCAAGAGGGAGCCACTGTCAGAAATACCGCCCTGGGAATTAACCTCTTAGCTCCAGATCCTGAGAGAGCTGCTCTGCCAGGACCAGCTGGTATTTCCTTAGGGAGGCTGAGAGGCCAGGACTGGCGGGACAGCGGGGAGTTGGGGAATTGTAGGAAAGGCATCTTCCTCTGCTAGGTTATTGTCCTTCTGTCACGGAGCTAAGGAACCTGCAGATCACCTCCCAGATGCTGGCCCTGGCTAACCACTCTCTGGGCAGCGTGGGCCATCCTGGCACTGAACCTGAAGGAGGCACTTGTGGCCAGTCTCTGCCCTGAAAATAGAGCCATCTTCAGGGCAATTGTTAATCTCCTCATTCAGTGAATACAGTAATACCTCCCAACATCTTTGTTTGCAAACAATTTGGTTCATGAACAGAAGTGTTTGGCACAATTTTGTTTCCTTTGGCAAACTCCACATTGAGCGACAAACACAGCCATGGTCACCTTCCCCCAAATTGTAAAACAATTAAGTTTGTAAACTGAGGCAGCTCGATATTCAGTGCATGTGCTATGTGCCGGACATGGTGGTTGACACAGAATAGGCATGGTGCCTGTCCTTTGGCCTTGGCTAGCTGCCCGCTGACCTGATCCAGAGGCATGGTGTCACAACCTTCAGCTCAAGAATGTAAGTTTTCAGGGCCGGGGATTTAGCTCAGTGGTTTTGCCGCCTGCTGCGCAAGCGCAAGGACCCAAGTTCGATCCCTAGTACCAAAAAGAAAAGAATGTAAGATTTCTATCTTTCTTTCTTCCTCTCTTCCCCTCTTCTTCTGAGACAGGGTCTCACTAGGTAACCCAGGGTGGCCTTAACACATTCACAATGGAGCCATAATTCCTACGCCTATCACAAACCACTGATGGCCCACCCATGACTGTGCCAGTAGGCAGTTTTTTTTTAATTTCAGTAGTAAAAAAGATGGGTAAAAGTGGTTAGATCCATTTGTATCACAAGTGGTATAAGCTGCACTCACCACAGAGGTTCCGGTGGCAGGAACAGGTTAAGCTTGCAATCCTCTGCCTCAGCTCTTGAGCGCTGGGACCACAGATGGGAGCCATCATACCTGGCTTGTAGCTTTCTGTTCATCATGCTTTCTTTAACTTTATTATTTCTTTTGTTGACAGACAAAGCCACAGACCCAAGTGTGGCAGAACAGGATTGGTTAGCTGTCCAGAATTTCTGTGAGCAGCTGAACACTGATCCTAGTGGGTAAGGCAGCTTCACTCACACTTGGCTCTGAGGGCACAGAGGCTGAACATGGGCCTTTATCTCCTGGGACAGTTAGGATTTGTGTGTGTGTTCCTTATTTTTTCCCCTCCACAATCAATCTTTCTTTCTTTCTTTCTTTCTTTCTTTCTTTCTTTCTTTCTTTCTTTCTTTCTTTCTTTCTTCCTTCCTTTCTTTCTTCCTTTCTTTCTTTCTGTTCTATTTTTTGAGACAGGGTTATGTCAGGCTGGCCTTGAACTCACTATATAGTCCAGGTTGGCCTCGAACTCTTGGTGATCCTCCTGCCTCAGCCTCCCGAGTGCTGGGATCACAGGCGTGCGCCACCATGCCCAGCTAGGATCCGGTTTTTATTGAATTCTGTTCCCACAGCCCCTGGGTAGAAACCGACCACTCAGATCATTCATGCAGGTGTTTAACCTGTGTGGTGCAGAGTATTGAGCCGCCCCAATGTGAGCCCAAAGCTCGCATGTCTCCCTCCAGTTTGCTGAGCAGTTGGCACAGACAGGTGGGCCCTCTGTTCAGACCTGGGTGGCCAGAGTGATGGAGCCCGGTGGAAGAGGCCCTTGTATGCTGCAGGGACAGCAGGCGGGTGGGAGTCAGCCCAGCAGAATCCCTCACCAGGCTGCGTGCACTGCGCTCCAGCTCTGGTCTGGGCTTCGGCTCCGGGAAGGCAGGTGACTTTGCCTGGGACTTAGCCAGGGTGGTTAGTTCACCCAGCGTCCTGCTCTTTCTGGTTTCCCGTAGCCCAGCACATGCGCCCTGGCTGCTGGCCCACAAGATCCAGTCTCCACAAGAGAAGGAAGCTCTCTATGCCTTGACGGTGAGTCCAGCGTGCTCCTCTGCCGAGTGTGCCGGTGTGAGAAGGAGCTCAGAGGGGCCCTGCCTGTGCTCCAGGCCTTTTCCCTGGGCCCTGAGGGGTCAACTTTACAGGCCCGGGACAGCGGCCAGACCGGAGCCTGGGCCAGGCCTCCCCTTGCAGATGTTTCCCGAGAGCCGCACTGAGCCTGTGGTGGGAGACGGCGGGGCAGGCTTACTTCCATCTACTCCTCTCAGGCTAGGGCTGGCAAGGGCCAGGCCCACAGCGTCTCCTGTGGACCCTGCAGTACTGAGGCTGCTGCGAGAGAGGACCTGCTTGGCGGCAGAGGCCTGAGTTTGGGCCCAGTGTCCTTAGAAATTTTGTTTTTTCAGGAGAACACAGAAATCCAGATGCTTTGTATGAATTCTCTGCATATGTAAATGTTGATTGGAACACTTATGGAATGAAGTGTGGCCCAATTTTAGAGTTGAAAATAAAGCCAATTACAATCTTAAACAAAAAGCTGTTAACTCATTTGACATGTTGAAAAATGACAGGTGTTCAGCCTGCAGGCCAGATGTGCTTCTTGGGTGCCAGTGGGTGACCTCTCGTAACACAGCTCTTGGGCATGTGCAGATTTCTTCCTCTCGGGAGGTTGTGATTCTCAGACCTGTTTCATCTGTCCAAGGGGTCCGGGTCCCCTAGACTGGTGGAGTGACCCCCGGGTGCACAGGAACCCCGAGCTTCTCCCTGGACACAAACGTGGCACTGGTGGACAAGTGACATGTTTTTCCTGGTCTGGAAGCATCTCTTTTCTCCAGAACGTCAGGGTCCTTGCGGATGTGGGCAAGGTTAGCCATGGTTCACCACAGCTCCCTTCCTCACAAGGCCTTGTGTCTGCAGGTGCTGGAGACGTGCATGAACCACTGCGGGGAGAAGTTTCATGGCGAGGTGGCCAAGTTCCGCTTCCTGAATGAGCTGATCAAGGTGTTGTCTCCAAAAGTGAGTTCCTGGGCTTGGCCCGCCCTCTGTGCTGCACCTACCCCTGACGTCAGTCTCCAGTGGGCCTCTGGAGGCCCACATGTGGCAGAGCCACCAGTCTGCCGCCAGCTCTCCAGAGGAGGCCGTGCATGTAAGAGCATCTGCTCCCGAGTCCAGGAGGTGCTTGTGCGAGTCAGCTTCTGCCGCCCTCCACCTTTCCCTTTGAAAGTGGCACCTCCTGTTTGAGCGTGCAGCCTAGAAGAGGTGAGGAGCACTATCTCAGGGGCACGGGTCTCCCAGTGGAGGTTCTGCACAGTGAAGAGGCATGACTAAGTTTCACCTTGCCTCCTGCCTGGTGTCTGCACCTGTGCTCCTAGAAAGTCCTCCCTGTGCGCTCTCAGGTAACCAGTGTGGATGGAACCCTTTCTTGCTGCAAACCAGCACGTTCTCTGACGTCTCCTGGATGTCCTGCAGTCCATCTGGATTCTGACATTGCCTGGAGTTACCCATTCCTCACTCCCTAGATGCTAAGGGGTCGGTCCTACTAGGGCACCGCCATCTCAGCTGCCAGCAGAGGCTGTGTCCTCCAACTGTCGCACCTCTGCCTTGCCACCTGCCAGCTTGGGGATTTCCACTGCCCCTCCTCCTCCAGGTGCCATAATTCACTGGGACAACACAGAACACCAGAAAGTGCTGTGTTTACTATCACCTTTTTCTTGGATGGGATACATGAGCAGAGCTGAGTGGGGCAGGAAGGCGTGACCCTCTCTTGGATCTGGCCCGCTGCCCTCCTGGCACTTTGGGGCATTTGCCAGCCAGGCAACCCTTGGCTCTCGACAGTCACCAGCCCCACGCGAGAACTCAGTTTCCAGTTCACATTCCTCTGCATCCCTTACTCCAGGGTCAAGGGACAGGCTGAAGGTTCCAGCTCTTCGTGTAGTTGCTCTTTCTGCGCTGTCCAGTCCACTCCTCTGAGACTCCCAAATTACCCATCACGAGTCATTACTGTAAACTCAAGTGTGGTCAAAGGGCCTCCTTGTGAATAACAGGACACTGTATCACTCAGGAAATTCTATGGTGTTTTTGAGACAAGCTCTCGCTTTCTAGTTCAGGCTATCCTTGAATTCCCTATGTAGCCCAGGGTGGCCTCAGACTTTCAGTGATCTTCCTGCCTCAGCCTCCTGAGGATTATAACTGGGATTATAGGTGTGCACCACTACGCCTGGCAGTTCTTTGGGTTTTTGAAGCTCTGGCTGGGAAGTGGGTAAAGATCAGATTTTGTTCTATACTTTCATCAGTCAAAAAAAAAAGAATCTTCCCAGTGACATAGACAAGGTGGTGACCTAGGTCCGTACAAGGTGCACTTTAACCTTAGCGCTGGGTACCCTGGCCTCTAACTGTGTCTCACTCTGCCCCCATCGGGCTGCCCGTTGCTCTGGGCCTCAGTAGCTGCTCCTTAGTGAGAGTGTTGACTGAGAGGTCTCCCAAGTCTCTTCCAGGTAATTTTCTCTCCTTCTGACTTTCAGTACCTCGGGGCCTGGGCCACGGAGAAAGTGAAAGGCAGAGTCATTGAAATACTCTTTAGTTGGACCGTCTGGTTTCCAGAGGACACCAAGATCCGAGACGCTTACCAGATGCTGAAGAAACAAGGTTTGACTGTCGTCCCCACCGCTGTGTCCCTCTCGGCCCTGGAGGGCTCTTCCTTTTTTATAGCTTGTGATCTGTTGAAGGGTGTGCATCTTGAGTGGGACAGGCGAAACTGAAGTAAAGGCTCTTTATCCCTGCAAATAGGCGACCTTTCCTTCCAGTAGGGTTGAGCTTTGTAGTTCTAGCTGCTGTCACTCTGCCAGAGGTCAGATTCCTCTAAGTTTGGCCTGGGGCTGGGTTTGCTGGGACTTTGCTTGGTATCTGTTCCCTGAGTGCTCTTCGTGGTGGAGAGGGCCTTTCTCCGCGCTGTTGCTACTCCTGACAGGCGGCTCTTGCTTGCTATGCAGGAGGCTGAGGTTGAGGCCGGGTGGGCACCGTGTGAGCTTGGTGTGATTTCTCTGGGATCCTGCCCCGCTCCAAGGACACAGTCCCGCTCCTGTCCCAGGGCACACTCCTGTTTGCCCCTGTTCTACCCCAGCTTCAGTGGGTCCCGCCAGTGCGTGGAGGGTGCAGGGTTCATCACTCTTCCCCCAGCAGTCTAGACTTGGCTCTGGGGGAAGAGAGGGCCCCTCAGAGAAGAGCTCATTTTCCATGTTTTATGCCCCTGAAATTTCAGTATTCTCTTGGTAGCTCACGCTGGCCTGTGAGCAACTTTGCAACAATTTTAGCTGAGTTTTTTGTTGTTGTTGTTTTTTTGAGTCAGGGTCTTGCTTTGTAGCCCAGGCTTGCCCTGAACTCGTGGTGATCCTCCTGCCTCTGCCTCCTGAATGCTGAGATTACAGGGGTATACCACCACTCCTGGCCTGAGTTGATCTTACTAGGGTTACTTCCCACTGTTCATCGGAGACACTGCTTTTTCTTAGATTCCAGGCTAATTGATGGTTGCCCTGAAATCTCAGCCCTCTCCTGGATTCAAGAAAAGTTGGTAAATTGCAGGTTGTCTAGTGTTTTTTACTGTTGTCGGGGCAGTCTTTCACCTTTGTGCATTCTGTCTGGGAAGCTGGAGTCTGAATTCCTTTCAGGCTGGGCTCATTTTTTTGGTTTTTTTTTTGGTACGGGAGATTGAACTCGGGACCTTATGCTTGTGAGGCAGGTGCCAGAACCACTGAGCTAAATCCCCAGCCCCTAAGGCTGGGCTTGTTTTGAGAAGGAACTGCCTTTAAGATAGACTGTTTTTCCTTATCGTATACACTCTCTTAGCATTTTTAGGAGCTTTGTCAGGGATCCTGCAGTTTCTGGGCCCTGGGAGGTTATGTGGCTGCATAAAATGACCATCATTTTTACAGCAGAAGGCCCAGAGTATAGCCCTTAGGGCTGGTTCCACTCTGATGCCCCTGACTTTATGGTGGTGTTTTTGGATTCTCCTCAGAGATAATACAGAACTTCCATCAAGCCCTGGATTTATCTTTTTTTTGGATCTATCTTTTGAAGGCTGTTGATGTGTTTTACTGGGCTATCAGAAACCAAAGGTTTCTGGATTTTATACTAGATCCTGCTGAATCCCCAGGTGTCCATACCTGTATCTTAACTTTGTGAATTGGATATTTTAGGAATCATAAAACAAGACCCTAAACTACCAGTGGATAAAATCTTACCCCCACCTTCTCCGTGGCCCAAGAGCTCCATCTTTGATGCTGATGAAGAGAAGTCAAAGGTAAGGAGCCCCTCCCAGGCCTCAGAAGCTGGTTCAGAGTCTGATCAGGCACCCTTTCTTGGGGACGGTCCCGGAAATGTCCTGTGATCTCTGAACCAGAGTATGGGATATGGGAGGACTAGGGGGTAGGGTAGTGAGAGTTCTTTTCTGGAACTGGCCAGAGGTGGCAGAAGTCCTGGACATACGTGTTCATGGATGGGCCAGACAGTAGATGTTAGGCTTGAACCATCCCCGAATCTGTGCATGTGCCCTCGGAGGAGGGAAGGGCATGAGGGGTGACCCACGGGGCAGTGGGTTGTGGGTCATCGATCCACGTGTGGCCTTGGAGTGGGAGAGGTGGAGAGGGAAGAGTTGCATGTGCGTGAAGATTATTTTTAGAGCCAGGAAGCCTGGTGCCACCATTGTCCTCTCAGAATTGTGAGTCAGACATCATAAGAAAAAGGGGAGGGCTGAGGAAAGTTGTCAAATCCGAGCCCAACAGTTGGGGGTCACTCTAGTGGCCTCGGAGGCTCAGGGGCCGGGGTTAGTGTGGCATGACTTCTAAGGATGGCAGCCAGCTGTGTCACTGCAGTTCAGTTTCCCATCCTTCCTGCCATCTGTCCAGCTAAGGTGGAGGGGCTCCTGTGTGCCAGGTGTCCTGCAGGCTTGGAGTAAAGGGATAAACACATGGCCAAGGTCAGCGCCATCAGAGCGTGTGGCCTGAGGCATGCGCAGACTCCAGCCTTTTGAAATTGTTATTTCTGTCCTGCATGGGCTGAGGGTGTTCCCTCTCCCTGGCCGCCCCACTGGATGCGAGCAGCACCTCCTTATCAGTTATGACAGTCAGGAATGACTCCAGACCTTGTCGTTTGTCCCCTTGAATTCGAATATGATCCTCCCACTCCCTGTTCCATGAAAGCCAGCTGTCTGTTGGGGTAGTCGTCATTCCCGTGTCACAGATTGCATCACTGTGGTGACGCAGTAAGATCACCCATGGAGTGAGCAGCTGCTGCTGGTGTCAACACTGCCAGTGCTGCAGCTCCCGCTCTGAGCTGGGGCGTCACAGCCTCACCCACTCTTCTCACTCAGCTTCTGACAAGACTTCTGAAGAGCAGCCACCCTGAGGATCTTCAGGCTGCAAACCGGCTGATCAAGAGCTTGGTCAAGGAGGTAGGTGGGCCTTATCCAGTTGGGTCAGCAGGACCAGCGTCTGACAGGGTGGATGGACAGTGTGTGCCAGAGGGTGCAGGGGGCCGGTTGGCTGGGAGACATGGCCTCGCCCTGGGCAACAGAGGGGCTGAGAGAGCTCCTGAAGGGCAGCAGGGTGGTGGCCAGCAGAAGTGAGCGTGTTCTTATGTTTCCCGGCTCTTGCTTGCTTTGTTTGAGACAGCATCTTGCTATGTGGCCCAGGCTGGCTTCGAACTCACTATGTAGCCCAGGCTGGCCTCAAACTTGTAGTGACCCTCCTGCCTCAGCCTCCCAAGTGCTGGGATTACAGGCTTGCACCACCATGCTTGGCTCCGGTTGCCTTTTTTGTCATTGTCTTTTTTGAGACGTGGCCTTACTGTGTAGTCCAGGCTGGCCTTGTTTCTCTGGTCTTGGCCTCCCCAGAGTTGGGGATTACAGGTATATGCCACTGCACTCAGTTCCCAGCTCCATTTTCTTTTCGTTCTGTACCAAGGATTGAACCCAGGGCCTCTGTAAGGAGCTACATCCCCAGACTTTTAAATTTTGAGACGCTTTTGCTAAGTTGCCCAGCTGGGCTTGACTTGCGTCCTCCTGCCTCAGGCTCCCAGAGTGCTAGGATTAAGATGTGTGCCGCCAGGCTTGGTTTCCCAGCACTTTATAGACAGACACTGGCTTCTGCCCCGGTGAGAGACATTGGTATGGACACAGACCAAATCTGGGGTGGAGGCTGGTAGGGTACAAAGCAGTCGGTCACCAGGCCCCAGTTCGGCATCGTCGCCCCCAGGAATTCTGGACTTCGAGTCTTTTCCTTGTCCACCGAGCAAGCACCCTCATTGACTTAATGTTCTTGTAACGTCCCTGAGCTTCCCACAGTGCACTGCCCTGTCCCAGCCCTCGTTCAGGCTTCATCCAGAGCTGCTGTGCTCTCACTTCCGTCCTTTCTCTCCCCAAGGAACAGGAGAAATCAGAGAAGGTGTCTAGGAGAGTGAGCGCGGTGGAAGAGGTGCGGAGCCATGTGAAGGTCCTGCGGGAGATGCTCAGCATGTACCAAAGACCGGGGCAGGCCCTGCCGGACCAGGAGGCCTTGCAGGTAACCTTCCAGTCGTGGCTGCATGGTGCTCCTGTGCATGACCGGGTATCGATGTTTTGACCTGCGTGTATCCTTGAAGCGAGCATCACAGTCAAGATAGGAAATGTGGCTGTCACTGCCCCCCATTAACTCAGGTCCTTTTGTCATCCATCCTGATTTGCTCTCTGCTCCGTATAAGTGGAATGCTGGGGTGCATGCCTCTCAGTTGTTGTCTCTCTTGGCATGATTGGTTTATCTCTCCACATTGTCATGTGTATCAGAGCATGTTTTTACGTGGGCAGTAGTGGGTGGCATGGGTTATCCGTTAATATTTGGGATATTTCCAGCCTTTTTTTTTTTTTGATAAAAAACGCTATAGCTCAGTCTGGCCTTGAACTCACTATGTAGCCCAGGCTGGCCGAGAACTCAGGGCGATTCTCCTGCCTCAGCCTCCCAAGTGCTGGGATTACAGGTGTGCACCACCACGCTTGGGTGGGATGTTTCCAGCTTTGGGTGGTTATAAATTAACTTGTTATAGGCTGGGATTTAGCTCAATGTTGCCGTGCCTGCCTCGAAAGCGCAAGGTCCTGGGTTCGATCCTTGCTACAAAAAAAAAATTAAGTTGCTATAAACAGTTGTGTATAGGATTTTGTGTGAACATGTTTTCATTTCTCTTGAGTAAGTAAGTGCCTAAGTGTGGGATTGCTAGATCATATGCTAAGTATATGAAACTGCCAGACTGTTTCCTAAGTGTTTGTGCCATTTTGCATTCCTAATAGCTGTGGTAACTGTTCCAGTGCCTTCGTATTTTATATACCCTGAGATCAGTCTGTTTTTCTGTTCATGCCCTTATTGAAGTAATTAGCACAGTGATGGTGAACCTTTCACTTTTCTTTTTTTTTTCTTTTTTGGGTACCGGGGATTGAACTTGGGTCCTTGCACTTGTGCAGCAGGTGGTGAAACCACTGAGCTAAATCCCCGGCCCAGTTTTCAGTGATACAAACACCCTGCTATGGCATGCATGCCTTAGGTTGCCACCACTATATTAGCATAACATATCATAAAAGCAGCCTTACCACTGGCTAATTTTAGAACATTTTAATCACTCTTAAAGAGAAGTCCTTTACCCTGTATTTGTGTATAAGCTTTTGTGGGAACATAAGTTTTTAATTCTTTTGGGTATATACGTGAGAGTGGAATGAACAGTTCCTATAGGAAGTCTGTTTTTAACATTTTGAGGGCCTGCCAACCAGTTTCTAAAGTAGCTGCACCACACCAAAAAAAATAGCTGCACCAGTTTACATTCCCACCAGCACTCATGAGGGTTTCCGTTCTTCCTGTCCTGTCGACACTCTGTCTGTGTGCGTGTTTTTTTGAAGTCATCTTAGGTGTAAAGTTGTATCTAATTGTGGTTTTTTATTTCCCTGATGGCTTATGTTGAGGATTCTTTCGTGTGTTTATTGGCCACTTGTTTTTTGTTTTGTTTTTCACTTCGTTTTTTGAGGCAGGGTCTTGCTGTGTTGTTTAGGCTGGCCTTGAACACCCAGTGATTCTCCTGCCTCAGCCTTCTGAGTGCTGGGATTACAGGTGTGCACCACCACTCATGGCAGATGATTTGTTTTAGAAAAATAGTTGCAAAAACTAAGGTGCTGGGAATGATATTTCCTCAATTGCCCTTCAGGAAACCTTTTCCTTTCAGTTTCACCAAGTTCAGCAACACTTTTGTAGTTGGTGTCAAAGTGCTGTCTGACACTTGATGTGCAAAACACAACACTTTCACTACATAGAATAAATAGCACTTTCTCACTGTGTTCAGTCACTCCAAATGACTCTGTCCAGGGCTCTTGGAACGATCTTCCACAATCTGTTTTCAGTTTTGGGGGGGTGGTTTTTGGTACCGGGGATTGAAATCAGCTCCTTGCACTTGGAAGGTAGGCACTGTGCCACTGAGCTAAATCCTCAGCCCTGAGTAGTCTTTTTTTTTGGTACTGGGGATTGAACTCGGGTCCTTGCACTTGAGGGGCAGATGGCAGAACCACTGAGCTAAATCCCTGGCCCTGAGTAGTCATTTTTTGGTGTTCAAGACTTGGAGTCTATAAAAACCCAAAATTTAAAAAATGAAGCACCCAACACAAATCTATCCCTGTGCCAAAAATAGCTAACACTATTGTTAACACTAAAGAATAGGATCGTTGCCCAGGGATTTCACTCAGTGGTTTCTCCGCCTGCTGCTCCAAGTGCAGGGACCCGAGTTCGATCCCAGGTACCAAAAAAAAAAAAAAAAAGAATGGGATTGTCCCTGAATCAACAGTCTACAGCAGTGATTCTCAGCTGGGGTACCTCTTGGATTTGCTGACCACCAGTGTAAGGGGGCAGTGTTCCTTGAGCACTAGCTTTTGGCCTGCCCCGAAGAAGGCGTCTGAGTGCATTTCCTGCCTTGGGAGCTTCTGCTAAAACCACAGCCATCCAAGCCAGTATATACATATATCCTTGTTCTTGTTCTCATGAATTCTTCACGAACAACTAAACATAGTGCTGCAGATTCAAACATGCCGGGGGAGAGCACAACATTAACAGAATTTCAGTCTCAATTGGAACGTCTCTTTGCTGGATCTTAGGCGTTCAATTTCAATTTTTCATAAGAAAACACAAAGCTAAAATCTTGTGTTAATAAAAACAAATGTATTAACACAGGCAGGCCAAGCACATGTATGTGTAGACTGTATACCTTTGGGAGCGTACTGACTGGCCAGGCGAAAGCCCGGTTGAGTCGTGGCTAGGGAGCTGCAGCCCCTGATCTCATCGCCTGGTGCTGCCAGTGCTTTTTGAGCATGCGCTTGCCCACTGTGTGCACCATTACGGGTGCTGAGGCAGTCCTGGAATGGCGTGGCTTGCGTGCCACAGGGAGGGCTTCGTGTACTCGCTATGGCACACGTCCCATGGGTTCACCACTACCGTCTTAGCCCATTTTGGATCAAGTTTGCCTTCTTTTCCAGGTTACCTCAGGCTTCTCTTACTGTAGCTTTCTCTTCTGTGCATAGGGAAGGTGGCCTTCCCATAGCTCCTTTGTTTACCTGTCCTGCCCATTTATAAAATCAGCAAAAACAGATGAGCGTCTTTCCCAAATCCAAATTCCTGAGAAAAAAATCAATTTGGCCAGCTCAGGTCATGTATCTGCCATGTATCTGACTGGGCTTGGGCCAGGTTAGGGAGAAACCATGCTGGTCATCCCTGTGGAGGGGGGACAGGACTCAGAAGGCCTGCTGGGCTCAAGCCAGGCAGACGCCCGGAGCCCATTTCTCCCTTGGTGAGGTGGTGCCAGGGTCCCTCGGGGAGGTCATCGCGTTGGACTTTGCAACAGCACATCTGTTCCCCACCTGCAAAGGAGCAGGAGTGAGGTAGCAGTTGGAGGGAGGCCTGGTATATGAGGTTACCTGAGCTCCCTTCAACAGAGGAAAGCTTAGCTGTGTGGAGCGCCATCTGTCTCCTCTTTAGCAGCATCAGGAGGGTGAGGCTGTGCAGTTCTGTCTCCTGGGATGAGGAAAAAGACTTTCTGGATGGGGCTGGGGAGATGAGGGTTAGCTCCAGGGGAGCCCTGTGGCTAGGCATCATGGGAGCATTGTAGAGGGACTGAAGCATCGTGGTAGCAGGGGAAGTTGTCCCGTTGTTTTGGCTGTTCCTGCCCAGGGCTGGGATGGGCCTGAGGAGGAGATGATGCTGCATACACAGGGACGCATACACAGGGACGATGGGTTCTTTTCTGAGCTAAGGTCTTTTGATAGTTTTTTAGACTTCTTTTATTAAAAAAAAAAAAAAATCATACCCTGCTGGGCATGGTGGTTACACCCCTTGTAATCCCAGCTACTCGGGAGGGTGAGGTGGTAGAGTCACAAGTTCGAGGCCAAGCTGGGCAATTTAGGGAGATCCTCTCTCAAGAAGGCCTAGGAATGTGGCTCTGGTAGAGCACCTGCTAGCCTAGCATATGCAAGGCCCTGAATTTGAGCCTCAGTACTGAAAAGAAAATTACTCACAGTGCAGACTTTTTCTGAAACTAAGTGCCATGTTACTTCAGACCTGAGGCCTGAATCCAGGAGCCTGAGGAGGCCTCGACTTCGAGCTTGAGGCAGGGGCAGGGCACAGGATGTGTGTGAACCAGGCTCTGCTCCCCAGGTCGTGTATGAGAGGTGTGAGAAGCTGCGGCCCACACTGTTCCGGCTGGCAAGTGACACCGCTGATGACGACGACGCGCTCGGTAAGGGCTCTGTGTCCCTGGGCGTCGCAGGCGCCCCCAGAGCAGAGCCTGTGTGGTCGTGGCTGTGCCAGGAGCAAGGGAGAAAGGCTCTTGGTTCCTTGGGGTTGGGCTGCCTTAGAAGTGGCTTCTAGAAGAACCTAGGCTTGAGCAGGACCTCAGCAGATGAAGAAGCCTAGGGAGGGTTAGAAACTTAGTGTGACGATTAGGTGTGGATCAGTTCCACAGAGGCCCGAGACCAGTGCCCCTCACCCTGTTTTTTGTCTGTCTTTCTTCCCTGGAAGATAGGTCCCTTGACCTGTAAAGTTCTTTGAAGCTGCTAGTTGCACCCCCCCCCCCCCTTGGCAATGTTAATGTCTTCTGCTCCTGATAGTTCTGATAATTGCCAGTTAGATCGGGCTAGATCTGGTGAGGGTTAGCAAGAATTTAGGCCAGGCGTGATGGCTTATTCCTTTAATCCCAGCACTGGGAGGCTGAGGCAAGAGGGTCGCAAATTTCAGCCTGGCCTGGGCAACTCAGTGACTCAGTGAGTCTCTGTCTCAAAATAAAAAATAAAAGCACGAGGATGAAGCTTGGTGCAAAGGCCCGTTCAGTTCCCAGTACCCAGATGTTGGGGGCTTTGTCATAGAGGTCCATGGTATCAGTGTATCTACATTTTATTCATCATCAACCCCTATTTTCTCAGTGATTGCAATGAGGTCAAAGGTAGTCAAATGTAAGTTTGTAAATAACTGGTTGGAACATGCCAAGGAAAACACTTCCTACGGAACTGTAGTCTCCACTCATAGCCAGGAAATCTGAGGGCAGTAGTACTCTTCTCTCTCTAGAAGAAATTCATTTGAGTGTAAACCAGACTCTGGGATGCTTGTGCAGTTTGGGAATCCTACGTGTATTTTATACTTACATCGTGTTTCAATTTGGATGCCAAATTTTCATGGGAAATACTGAACCTACATTTATAGTTTTATAAAATTTGTAGGTTAAAAAGCTGACTCATAGCTCAGTGGTGCAGTGCCTGCCTGGCAAGCTCGAGGCCCTGAGACTGATTTCTGGTACCAAAAGAGAAAAAAAGCTGACTCATACCGCTCTGTTCTCTAGATACTTAAAAGCTTTCCAGGAACTGAATCAAGTACTGAGAAATTCTTCTAGTGTATGTACCCAGATTGACAGAACAGCTTGAGATTTTAGCTTTAGATTAAAGTTAAGTGTCAATTCTTCATTGAAAGAGCCATATTCAAGTGCTTACTGTTGGCTGTCATGGCGGACAGTGCAGATGTGATAAAAGAATTTGTTTCTTCCTACATTGGGAACTAAGAGTTTTAGGGCTCAAGGTTGAGTAACGCAGTCTAATAGGGGCCTGGTCATACAGTCTGGGGACAGGAGGCATGGATATGCTGAGCCTAGTCGACTGTGTGAAGGCTGCTTTTTGTTTTATTTTTTAATTTTTGAGACAGGTTCTCACTATGTAGCTCAGGCTGACCTTGAACTCACTATGGAGCTTGCTCGAACTCAGAGCAGTCCTCCTGCCTCACCCTCCCAAGTGCTGGGAGAAAGCTGCTTTTTTTTTTTGGTACCGGGCCTCGAACTTTGGTCCTTGGGCTTGCTCAGCAGGCAGTGAAAGCACTGAGCTAAATCCCCAGCCCTGAGAAAGCTGCTTTTTAAAATGGCTTAGAAAAGGCTGAGCTCGGGGTAACTAAACTAGGGGTTCTGAATTTTCTCTCATTCTTCAGCGGAGATTCTCCAGGCAAATGACCTGCTCACTCAGGGAGTTCTGCTGTACAAACAGGTGATGGAGGGTCGAGTCACCTTTGGGAACACAGTGGCCAGCTCAGTGGGAGACATTCCTGCCTCCAGAGGTATGTGGGAAGAGCTCTCCCTGCCTTCTGCCGTGAGGCAGCCTGTCGGATCCCAGAAAAGGGATGGCCCCTCAGAGTATTCAGGGTTATGGTGTAGAAATGAGAGAACTCGCCCCCGACCCCTTGCTGTGCAAACAAGTTCCAGGCAGCCACTGTCGGAGAAGCCAGCACGCAGCAGCAGCCAGGTTGGGCCTCAGCTTTGGCTACAGCAGAAGCAGATGGCTGTTTCATGCCTGGGTTTGAGTCCTTTCCATGCAGGTGCACATCCAGGAGCTAGACACCGAAGAAACGGTCTTCCTCAGTGCCTTAGTGGTCCCAGGCCGGCAGTCTCGGTCAAGATCATTGGTTAAACAGATCCTTTGGTCTCTGGCATTGACCTCCTGAATCAAGACTCCTAGGCATTGATTGTGTTGTCTGTGTTTATCAAGCGCTGTAGGGGATTCTGATCGGGTGTGGTCAGAAACTTCTGAAGGACTCGGAGCTGGAGGGGCAGCCACGTCTGCTGCTGCTCAGGCTGATGGCACCTTCGGAGGAGGACTTAGCTCTGGGGTGGGAAAAACAGTCCTCTGCCTGCCTCTCTGTCAGAGCGGGCTCAGGCTGTTTCAGCTAAGGGAAGTGATATATTCTGGAGCCATGTGGGGGGTGGGAGAGTGGTGTAATATGTCTTTTCATTAGGTAGAGGCCTGGAGATACTGATAGACATGGAGAGTGCTCTCATGTCTGAGCAACGCATTCTCCACGCTTGTGTGTTTTCTAGTCTTTCAGCATCCAGCATCAGGCTGCATGAAGAATTGCCCCCTGATTGACTTGGAGGTGGACAGTGGTCCTCAGCAGGCTGGGCCGGTGGCACCATCCTTGCTTCATCAGGACCTGGCAGCCTTAGGTGAGAAGAATTAGAAGGAATAGGCCCAGTGGTCCTGAGCAGGGAAAGGGAGGCAGGTTTCCCTCTGGGAGCATGGACCTGCTTTTGGGGAGCCAGGGCTTTCGGGCAGTTCAGACAAGTTCCTTTGCGTCTTAGTCCCAGATTTGTCACGAGTGAGTTGAGTGGCTTTGCTAGCTTCCTTCTTTTTCTTTTTTCTTTTTTCTTTTTGGTACCAGGGATTGAACTTGGGACCTTGCACTTGCAAAGCAGGCGACAGAACCACTGAGCTAAATCCCCAGCCCAAGCTTCCTTCTTTTTCTTGATTTTGCGAGTGTCCTTCCCAGAAAGGGCGGAGGGTCAGCTGATCTCTGTCTTGTCGGTGGAGTTACCATTGGGCACGTCTGTTCTTTCTTACAGGGATCAGTGATGCTCCTGTCATGAGCAAGGTAGGGAAGCTCTCCCTGGGGTCACGGGGGCGGAGGGCCTTGCAGACCTCAGTGCTGCTGGGGAGAGGGGCTACTGAACCATCCCGGTGGGCTTGGCGCTCCCAGTGATATCTGTTCCCTCTCCTTATCTTCTGTTCTGCCAGGCTTCTACTTCCTAAAGGTCTGCTCAGGAGTACTGTGCTCTCCTGCTTTATATTTCTCCTCCCACATAGGACCCACACTGAGCCCGGGAGTTGGGAGCTATCCGGTCGTGCGGACGCTAGCCTTATTTTAGCCATTCCTGGTCTGACAGGTTGCCGCCCAGAATTGCTGTAAGGAAAAGAAGAATCCTACCGGCAGCACCCTACCCGGAGGTGGTATTCAGAGCCCTTCTGCAGACAGGAACTTACTGGATCTCCTGTCCCCAGAGCCTTCTCCAGGCCCTCTGTGAGTCTTCTGGCTAAGGGTGGCAGACAAGTCTGGCCTCCATGTAGAGCACCTCATGCATAGAGCCAGGGGCTGGCACCATGACAGCCTGAGGTCTCTCCCCTTCCACTAACGGGCGCCCCCTGCTGGTGGAAGTGCGGTGTGCCGCCTCCACTTCCACTTTCTTTGTGGTACTGGGGATTGAACTCAGGACCTTGTGCTTGCCTTGTGCTCCACTGAGCTACATCCCTGGCCCCTCCTCCACTAACTTTCCTTCACGGGTTATATAGGAATTAGTGGTTCGGCTTCGACATCCTACATAGGGTGTTTTTTTTGGTACTGGGGATCAAACTCAGGTCCTTGCACTTACACAGCAGGTGGCGAAACCACTGAGCTAAATCCCTGGCTACATAGGGTTTTTAAAAGACTAGCAGAAAGAAGTAGATAATGGTGGTGATTTTATGCTTATTTATTTTCCTCAATTTCTGGGTAATTTAAAATTAAGCAAAACTTGATCCCTAGAGGAATCTGTAGTAGGTGTCCTAAATACCACTCTCTAAAAACAATGATGAGGGGCCAGGGATTTAGCTCAGTGGTTCCACCGCCTGCCTCGCAAGCACAAGGACCGGAGTTTGATCCCCGGTACCAAAAACAAAACAAAAACATAAAAACAATGGTGAGAGCCGGGGATTTAGCTCAGTGGTTCCTGCGCCTGGCTCGCAAGTGCAAGGTCCCATCCCTGGTACCAAAAAAACCAAACCAAACAAAACAACAACCTTCCCTGGTACCAAAAAAAACCCAAAACAAAACAAAGCAAGTGCAAGGTCCCAAGTTCGATCCCTGGTACCAAAAAAGTAAAGTAAAATAAAAACAATGCTGAATTTTTTTTTTATACATGGTAGTAATGCATTGTGGCTTATTTTTATGCAAATGGCATCCAGATTTATACACTGTACTCTACTGAGGCTTTTTTCATGTCATATTACACCTTTGGAACATTTTCATATTTCTATAAATCTGCCTTGTTTTCTTCAGTAGCTACATTATAATTGATTATGTGTATATATTTGATTATTTCCCTCCGAATGGATATCATGTATGTGTATTTTTGCCTTCCTCACCACCTTTTTTTTTTTTTCGGTACCAGGGATCGAACTCGGGACCTTGCGCTTGCAAGGCAGGCAGTGGAACTACTGAGCTAAATTCCCGGCTCCATCCTCTTGTTCTTTACAAAGACTAAGCACAGATTCTTGGACTTCTCTACAGTTCTTGGTGGTCTTTGATATTTTTCTCTCTTTGTAGGAATTATGTTCCACAGAAGAGTATCCCCAAGGAAGTGCCGCCAGGCACTAAGTTATCCCCGGGTTGGTCGTGGGAAGCTGGCTCGTTGGCTTCTTCCCCGGCCTCACAGAGTACACCTCTGGCTCAAGTGTTTGTCCCTTTGGAGTCGGTGAAGCCCAGTAAGTGCAGCTGCACCCCTTTTCTTCCCCTTTCTGTTAGCCTCCTGGCTTCCCATTCCAGATTGGTAGGAGTGTGGCCCTTAAATCTGCCAAGATAAGTGGTGGATTTACCTGGGGGCAGAGGTTAAGAGGGAGCTGCTCTGTTTTCTAGCTATTTTTTTTTCTAAAGTCTTGTCTGTCATAGGATTGTCACCGTGAAGGATATTGGCAGGCAGGACTTAATGAGGAGCCGGAGTCTCCTGTGGGACCTGTTTATTCATGTGCAATTCAGGGAGGGATGTTTAGTGTGGCCTGAAATGACAGAGAAGAGGTGGGAGTCGAGAGGAAGAATTTGGCGAGAGAGCCTCTCTCTAGGGATCTTGTTAAGTACGAAAAATAGGTGTCACCTCTGTTGGAAAGGAAACCAAAGGACCCAGCCAATGAAGGTGACACCTGTGATCAACAGAGCAGGTCTGGAGCAGCAAACGAGCCATGTCCTTGGCTCCAAGGCTGTGCTCTTCTAGGGCACAGAGTCCCCTGTCGGGAGGAGGGAGTCCAGAAGTCCTAGCACCAAGAAGGGGAATTTAAACATACTTGGGAAGTAGTAGATGCCCTTTGCACATCTGCTTTATTAGTTTTTGGTTTAAAAAATAATGCGTACTCATTATTAAATTCTTGGTTTCAATAATTAATGCCAGTTATATAAGACAGTAACATTTAGAGAAGCTGGGTGAAGTATATGGCAATTCTTTTATTAGTTTTGTAACATTTTGTGAGAGAAAACAAAGCCGCAATGTTAAAAGAGCTACATGCTCAGTGTGATCTTCCTGTTTGAAGTTCCCAAGTAGCTGGGCTTACAGGTGTGCACCACCAGGCCTAGGTGATGCCTTCTCTCTATACTCTCCTAATAATTAGCCCACTCTTTTGTTTTTGGGGTTTTTTTTGGTACCAGGGATTGAACTTGGGACCTTGCACTTGTGAGGCAAGCAGCAGAACCACTGAACTAAATCCCCAGCCCCTAGCCTATTCTTTTAAAAAATGGTGAAATGCTAGGTGTAGCCAATTTAAAATCTTGATCTGCATTATCAGTTCCCTTCCAACAGGTTTTCTTTTACCCTGTACTCTCACTACCTTTCATACCTCAGTGGTATTTTCAGTCTTTCCAATTCTTGACAGTCACATAAAACTATATTTTTATAATATGCATTTTGATAAGTGATGTTTGGCGTGAGGTAAGGATCTTATTTAAATCCTTAGAAGGGACTCTAGCTCTGAAGTGCTTCTCTCTGAGTGGAAGTTTCTCTTTGAGATGAGCCACAGAGTAGGCATGTTTTATTCAATTTTTCCACTGTAAGAGAATAGCTGTCTGCTCTTTGTTTTCAAGCTTTGTTTCCCACACTGTTTTCAGTCTTTTGTTTATAATTAGTAATTAGGAGTTGCTCCATTGTTTTTTTTTTGGTACCGGGGATTGAACTCAGGTCCTTGCGCTTGCTCAGCAGGCGGTGAAACCACTGAGCTAAATCCCTGGCCCGTGCTCCATTTAATGTTTTAAAATGTGGGGAGAAAAATCAGACTTGAACTGTATGCAAGAGTTATTCTCTAGAGTCAGGGATTTAGCTCAGTGGTTCTGCCGCCTGCCTTGTAAGCTCAAGGATCCAAGTTTGATCCCCAGTACTGGAAAAAAAAAAAGTAATTCTATAGTAGGAAAAGTATGGTCCAAAATAGCAAAAGTAAGACCAGGTGGAACGCCATTTTTTTAAAGATGTACGTGGTCTGTTTTCTGTGTGTCTTTTACTCCACTAGGGTAAATATGTCCTTGATGTAAATGCAAAGCATATCTCTTTGATTAAGCCGTAGATATAGTAGGCATTACAGTATAATTCAGTACTGTAATAAAAAATAATCACACTCCAAAAAAAATTTCCCCAGATGGTTAGTCATTTGGGTGCCTTTTCTTTATTTGGTACTGTGGATTGAACTCAGGACTTTGCACTTGCGAGGCAGGTGGCGACACCACTGAGCTAAATCCCTGGCCCTGGGTGCCATTTACTGAATCACCTCCTGACTTTTAGAATGTTTTTTATGTTAAATTCTCGGGCTTGAGTCTGTTCTGCATGCTGTATTTTATACCACTTTATCGGAACTGGAATTCATCTCTATTCACAATACAAACACAGTACTGTATCTCTGACTTTTCTTTTTTTGGTACCGGGGATCAAACTCGGGTCCTTGCGCTTGCGCAGCAGGTGGCGAAACCACTGAGGTAAATCCTGGCCCTCTGACCTTCTTTTTCTTTTTACTTGTTGGTTAGTCTCATGTGTATCTCCCCCCACCCTGCATTAACATTAGAATCATTTCTATTTTTTTTTTTTTTTTTTTTTTTGGTGCTGGGGATCAAACTCGGGACCTTGTGCTTTCCAGGCAGGCACCGGAACCACTGAGCTAAATCCCCGGCCCTCATTAGAATCATTTCTTAAGCGCAAGGACCCGAGTTCAATCCTTTCTTAGCTAAATTAAAACTGTTTTTCTAGGATTTTCATTAAATCTATTAATTTGAGATTTACTGTTTATAATTTTGTAAAACTAAATATAAGGATGGGTGTGGTCATGTGTAGGTAGTCATACAGAAAAGACCAGAATGAAATAAGCCCAAGTGCTTGTACTGCCTATTTCTGGGTAGTTCCAGGAATGTTTATTTCTTGGGGTTTTGTATTTTCTGTAGTGTTCATGCATTATTTGAATCATAGTTGTGTCTCCTTCAGAAAGGTTGTTTTTAAAAAATTGGTAATGTGCTTCGGGTGGTTGAGTGATGGAGAGAGTCAGTTCGGAGGGCCGTGGGTGTCCGGAGAGGCCGTGAGGACCTGGGTCGTGGTGGTAGAGAAGGGTTAAGTCCCAGAGCTGCAGAAGCCGCGGCACTGGTGGTGACGCCCACACCTCTCAAGCCGGCCGCCGTCGCGCAAGTCTGGCAGTGCTAACCCTCCGGTTGGGCCCCTCTGCCAGGCAGCCTGCCTCCCGTCATTGTGTACGACCGGAATGGATTCAGGATTCTGCTCCACTTCGCCCAGACGGGGGCACCCGGCCACCCTGAGGTGCAGGTGTTACTGCTGACCATGACGAGCACTGCTGCCCAGCCTGTGTGGGACATCACGTTTCAAGTGGCGGTGCCAAAGGTGAGTCACTTGCTGCTGGCCACCTGCTCTGAAATTTTCACTACTGGAAAGCCACTTTTGAGCACGTGTCCTTTGTTAGGGCACGCAGAGTTAGGTATGAGAATTTGTATTCAGACTGGCTTGAAGATAAAATGGGAATTGTATTGCCTCACTTAACCAGGGATTCCTAAATACCTGACTTAAGATTCGAGTTGATCCAGGTGGGCTTCTAAGTAATTCCTGAAGAATCTCTTCCTATCTGTTGATGCTGCTTTCCTTTTGGTACTATGCTCTGACAGTCTTCCACAGATCAGGAATACGACTACAGCAGCTCCGGAGTTACGTGGTCCTTAACTCTTGTAATCACAGAAAGAAACTCCAGCAGGTGCGGTGGTACATGCCTGTTGTCCTAGCTACTGGGGAGGCTGAGGCAGGAGGATAGTTTAGGACCAACCCGAGCAACATAGAGTCTATATCTCAGACAAGCGAAAAGAAACTCTGGCCTGTTGTGAAGCATGCATAGTCCCTATCCAAAAAAGGGCTCTGATTGGCCTTGTTTATGTTACTTGCCGACCTTGGACCAATAACTTGTGGCCAGGGAAATGATGTGTCTGGCCAATTTGGAATATATGTCCATCCCTATTCAAGGGAAGTAGGGACCCACTGATTATCAGCTATGTCTCATCACAGGGGAAGGGGCAGGTACTGAAAGGAAAGGGTCAAGGTAAATGCTAAGACATATGTTCTCTAGTCCTCATGGTAGACTTGAGTATGTACTGTTTGGGGGTAGTTTTTTGAGACAGGGTCTCACTTTGTAGTGCAGACTAGCCTGGAACTCACTGTGTAGCCCAGGGTGGCATTGAACTCACTGCAATCCTCCTGCCTCAGCCTCCTGAGTGCTGGGCTTACAGGTGTGTGCCACCATTCCCAGCATATGTACTGTTGTTATGAGTTATCAGTCCAAGGCTCAGAAGTTAAATATGTTGCCCTGGGTCACAGGGCTTATAAGAGGCAGAGTGAAGATTAACTCGTTTATCTGTAGTGCTGGGGATTGAACCCAGGGGCTTTGTATTGAGCTACATTCTCAGCCCTTTTTAATTTTGAGACAAGGTCTTGCTAAGTTGCCTAGGTTGGGTTCGAAACGTGATCCTCCTGCCTCAGCCTGCAACAATGCTGAGATTTTAGGTGTGCATCCCCACACTTGGGTTCAAGATGTGCCCTAGCTGTTTATGCTGCTCGTCAGATGCCAGCCACTGAGCATGCGCCTCCAGGTCTTGTGTGTACATGGAAGGAAAGCCCGTTAGGCCTTCATCCATCAGTGGGAGCTGTCTGCATGAGCTCCTGCAGGCGCTTGAGAAACCTGTTTCTTCTTTGAGGGTGGTGTGGAGGCTGAGCTCCTGTGCCCTGGTCTCCTTCACCAAGGCTGTCGCTGTCCAGGGATGAGTTACATGCTGGGTTTTCCCCCAACAGTCAATGCGAGTGAAGCTGCAGCCAGCGTCCAGCTCCAAGCTTCCTGCATTCAGCCCTTTGATGCCTCCAGCTGTGATATCTCAGATGTTGCTGCTTGACAATCCACACAAAGTATGTTCTGATGTCTTTCCTAGCAGGGAAATGGGGACCCCTGAAGTGTAGGGAGGGCGCTGTGTTGGTGGAGAAATGTGTCTGAGGCCTTGTCAAGTCGTGGGTTGGGAGGGGCAGGGTGTGGGACATCCCTTGCTAGAGTCTTCTTTTCTTTGGGGCTGATTAAAAACAGCTTAGGGCTGGGCTGGGGATTTAGCTCAGTGGTTTTGCGCCTGCCTTGAAAGCTCAAGGACCCAAGTTTGATCCCCAGCACCCCCCACCAAAAAAAAAGAAAGAAAGAAAAACAGCTTAGGGGTGGATTGTTGTAGCTGGGAATCACAGACGTGAGTCATACCATGGAGGGTCTTCCTTAGTGAGTCCTTCTGAATGGCAGTCTGTCCCAGACCTGTAGAAGTACAGAGGTGCCAGAAAATATGTCTGGCTTCCTTGTGCTTGTAGCCCCGAGGAGGCTAGGCCAGGGTACCCAGGTCACACAGCTGTTGGATGTCCTCTTGTAGCTTGTTCTTGGTGACTCCTGGTTGGGTGAATGCTTTTCCTTTGGGCTGGCCTCTGTGCTGCTCCCCTCTAATTTAACATCTCGTGTCTCTCATGTCCCAGGAACCTATCCGGTTACGGTATAAGCTGACATTCAACCAGAGTGGACAGCCCTTCAGCGAAGTAGGAGAAGTGAAAGATTTTCCCGACCTGGCCGTGTTGGGGCAGCCTAACTCCTCACAAGAGGACCCTTGGAGTCAGGCTTAGGCCAATGTTCTCTGTCTTGTCGGGTAGTTGTGGTGACTCTGCAAAGTGCCAGGGCTCTGTCCCGATGCTGGCTCTGAATGGCAGCCTCTGACCTGTCTGCAGATCTGTGCCTGTGTGTTGTTGGGGCCGGGGGTGGGGAGCAGGGCTTGGGATGCAGGCAGTGTCGGGGACTGACGACCCTCTCTGCTGCAGTCCTGTTTCCGCATGTCGGTGGACACTGCTGTCCCTGCCTTGGGTTGGAGGTTTTATAAGCCAAAGGTTTTTTCATGTGTTGTTATCTTTTCATTCACCCACTCTGTGCCTTGTCTGCCTTTGAAATTCTCGGTTGCTCCCAGGCTGCTGTTCTCAGGGACCTTAAAAGGGACCTGGTCGGTCTTGGGGCAGAGCACGTCCTCTGAGGCACCTGCTTCCAAGAAAGACCTTGTCTCCATTTTCATTCAAGAATGCTGCTTGTGTGTGCTGGGAGAGGACTCCTGAGTAGAATGCTTGTCGCACTGTTTCCAGATGAGGGGCTGCTGCGAGCCCAGAAGAGCACGCTTGGGCCAATCATGTCCTTCACCACTGTGCCTTAGAATTGCCCTCCATGGACCCTTGGGCAGGAGCAAGCAGACCCCAGGCCTTGCCCAGGCCTCAGGTTACTTGAGGGCTGAACAGCCTGTCCGGGCCCTGACTCAGGACCCTCATTTCTCTCCTCATTCTCTTTTCTCCACAAGCGTTTCCTCCGATCTCTGTGACACCATGTCAGTTATAAATCCTAGCTAGCAGCCAGTCCTTGTCTGTTGACTTCACAGTACAAGATGGGGAACTCTGACATAGATAGACATGAAGAGAGTTGGGCAGTGATTTAAGTTGTAACTAACTATAGAAAGTCTTTTAATAAACACCATGTCGCAAATTCGCCTTGTGGAATGTGGAGTAAGTAGGAGTGAGCATTTAGGGGTGATAGGCCTGAAGAGAACTGTCTCCTGCTGAGATGTAAGGAAGACTTCGTGAAGGACAGAGCTTTACCTACCTCACTGAAGAGCAAAGCCCTGAAGCCCTGTGCAAAGCTGGAAATGTGTTACATTTATCAACTGAAGGGGGAAATTCGGGCTTATAAATAGTTAATACTTACCATCAAGCACCTGTTGCATGTTAAGAACTTTGATGTGTGGGCTGGGGATTTAGCTCAGAGGCACTGTGCCTGCCATGCAAGCGCAAGGTCCTGAGTACCAGAAAACCCACTTTGATTGCAAGTTCAGCAAGTCCTGCTTGGCCTGATCAGTAGGAGCAGGAACGCGAGCCTGGCTGAGAGGGGTTGAGGAAGGGCTGAGAACTTGGCTCTGTTTGGAGCTCTCAGTCGTGAGGTCTGGTTCTATGACATATCTTTTGACTTCTAAGATAATTAGCAGTCTGGGCAGACAAGGTGTCCCAGCCCTGTAATCCTGGCACTCTGGAGGCTGAGGTGGGATTGCTGTGAGTTTGAGGCCATCCTGGGCGACGTAGTGAGTCCAAGGCCAGCCTGAACTGAACTATGCAGCGATACACCCCCCTACACACACAAAAAAAAATTAGGAGAAGTTTGCCACATTATTGGGTGGGAATAGGTATGGTAAATTTTAAGCAAATGTGGAAAACTTACAAAACATAAACTGGGGTGGTTTCTTCATTTGACCTAATTTGTGAAGGACTAACTTTGATCCAAAATGATATTCAGGTGTTCTTAGTTTTTATTGGCTCCATAGCTGTTAGGGAAAGTTTTCAAGGAGTTCCCACCACAACCACCTATGCCTCTCCTCTGAAGAACTTGTCATAGAAGACATGAAAACAGAGGCTTTTTATCCTGTATTTTGAAGGTGAACTCATGCATGTACTTGAACATCATTGTGCCTCCAGGAGAGAATGGTACTCTGCAGGTAGTGTTGGACAGAATATGGGTATCACCCAACCATGACCACCTACCCTGAACCAGATACCGCTGTGGGCACCATAGATGTAATGGTGACCAAAGTCCTCTGGAGGGAGATGCATTCATAATCTATCAGCTGGATACCTGAGTCCACACGGTGAGTGTTCTGAACTTTTTTGGATCCTATTCACCTTTATTTCTTGATCTACCTCTGCCCCTTAAAAGTGGTGGCTCCCCAGGGCTTAGACCTTAAGAGTCTTTTAAATCTACACACTGAGTGTGGCAGTCAAACCCTTTGAGACCACTAGGTGAACCCCAGCCCCATCCCAGGCTCCCACCTTGCTGAGGTCAGATCTGTATTTCACACTCGCCATGGGTGTCTTTATCTAGGGTGCCACTGTTGCTTCAGACTCCCAAGAATAGAACCCATCCCCTGCACCTGAGACTTAATGGATCCTTGGTTCCTGCTTCATCTATATCTGCTCAGTTTTGCTTCGTTTAGTATGTTTTCTAAATATTACCACATCCAAGCTGGGCATGGTGTCACACTGAAAATCGCAGCACTCAAGTCATGGCAGCAGGATTGTATGCTGGAGCCTAGCCTGAACAATTTAGCAACTGAGCAAGACCCTGTCTCAAAAATATAAAGGGGCTAGAGATAGATGTTCAGTGGAAAGGTCTTGAGTTTAATCCCCACTACTGGGGAGGAAAAAACTTGAAGTGGATATATTAATATCAGGCAGAATAAACTTAGACAAGAATATTGGTAGAAAGGTACATTTAATAATAATATTAGTGTATAGAAGATAAAAAATTGTATATGCACCTGATATTGCAGCCCCAAATACCTGAAGCAAAAACAACAGGAAAGTGGACTATTTAACAATAAAAGTTGGAGATTTCAATACCTTATTTTCAATAATTAGTAGAAAAACTAGACACAGGTCCAGGGATTTAGTTCAGTGGTTCCACCACCTGCCTCGCAAGCACAAGGTCCAGAGTTTGATCCCTGGTACCAAAAACCCCCAAAAAACTAGACACACAATCAGCAAGGATGTAAAATAGTTGAACAACACCAATAACTAAGTTTACCTTGACTGCAGATACTCTTTCTCAAGTGCACGTGGAATATTTTTCAGGAAAGACCAAGTTAGGATGTAGAGTCTCATCACTTGTAAAAGGGTTTAAGTCACGCAAAATTTATAACCACATGGAATGGAATGAAATTGGAAATTAACAGAAAATCTGAGAAATACTTGATATTTGTATTTTTAAAAATTTAAACATTTTAGATATACATAATAGTCAACATAGGAAATTTGTACCTGTACATGATGTATCTTGCTGCTTTTTTTCCCATTCCCCTTCCCTCCGTTCACACTTTCTTCCCCGCCTTATTTACAAAAGCTTCAAAACAAAAAAATAAAAAAACCCAAAAGCTTGATTTCCATTTTTTCCTTCTATTTTTTCTCTTGTCCCTTCTTTCCATGTTCAAATAACTCATGGGTTAAGTCACAAGTGTAATTAGAAAAAAAATTTTTTTTTTCAGGAAGGATCTTGGTATGTAGTTCATGCTGGTCTTGAACTCACTATGTGGCCCAGGTTGGCCTTGAACTTGTGGTGATCCTCCTACATGCTGGGATTATAGGTGTGTCCCACCATGCCCAGCTAATTTGAAAATATTTTGAATCAAATGAAAACATATCAGAATCTGAAGACATTAGTAAATATTATTTTATTCCATTCTCCCCTCAAGGCCTCTCCCCTCCCTATGTACAAAAGCTTTGTTTCCATTTTTCCTTCTATTTTCAGTTTTTTTCTTGTGCCTTCCTTTCTCCCTCCCTCCTCCCTTGTTCCCCTTCCCATGTGAACACTTTCTTCCCATTTCCCAGCATCCATTATACATTTCAGTCCTCACTTCCACATTTAGTTTCACACACCAGAGAAACAATGTGGTATTTAAACGTGTGTCTGATTTATTTCACTTAAGAGTATGTTCTCAAGGTCCATCCATTAAGCTATAACTAATTTTAACTGGCTGTATTAGGTTTCAGAGCAGTAACCTAAGATTCCACTTTAATATACTAGACAGGAGTATACTAAGCTCAAGAAAGTAGAAGAAAGGAAACTGATTTTTGTGAAAAATCAGTGACAAGCCGGGTGTGGGGGTGCACACTGGTAATCAGCATTCAGAAGGATTGCCCAGAGTTTGAGGCCAAACTGAATTGCATAGGCAGATCCTTCGGGGGTGGGGGTGGGGGGTGGGATACAAAAAACCAGAACAATTTACAAAGAAAAAGATGAAATTACATCTTTTGTAATTGAAGTGACTAATGAAATTACAAATGTCAGCTAGACTAGGGATCCCCACCTGGGTCTCTGTCCTGTTAGAAACCAGGCTGAGCAGCAGGAGGTGTGCAGCTGGGCTAGCCAGTAAAGATTCATTTGTATTTACAGCCTCTCTTCATCCCTCACAGTACCACCTGAGATCTTCCTGTCAGATCAGCATTGGCATTAGATTTTCATAGGTGTGCAAACCCTACTGTGAACTGCACATTAGGGGATATAGGTTGCTTGCTCCTTATGAGAATCTAATGCCTGATGATCTGAGGTAGAGCTGAGGTGGTGATGCTAGCACTGGGGAGCAGCTGCAAATACAGATGAACAGCACAAATTTGAGTGCACAGTGACTAATCAGTTGCTTACATACCAAAACCTTACCAGTGAGTAGCAAGTGACGTGAGGTACTCCAATTATTTACCACCTCTGTACTCCACAGTACACACTTGTTTCAGTCACAGTTTTGATAAGCCCACAAGCTAACACTAGGCAAAATGAACAGAAACCAAACATTTCTGGAGTTCTTTTGGTACTGGGGATCAAACTCAGGTCCTTGTGCTTGCAAGGCAGATGGCAGAACCACTGAGCTAAATCCCCAGCCCTGGAGTTTCTTCTTTTTTTTTTTTTTTTTGGTACGAGGGATCGAACTTGGGACCTTGTGCTTGCGAGGCAGGCACCGGAACCACTGAGCTAAATCCCTGGCCCTGGAGTTTCTTTTGAGTGAGTAAGACCTGCTGATCAGACAGTGGAAGACTAAAACTGCCAACAAAAAGTGCATTTAAGAGAAAATACTGAGTCCTTAAATTACAGGTTCATTGCAATATTCATGTTCTCCAAGTATACTTTGTATATTATGTGGTGATTGGCTAGCCAATGAAGCCATGAAACGTTCAAAACTGCTTTGCTACTTGGAGACCAAGCACCCTGCAATAAAGGGTAAACTTTTGGGAGTTTTTCTGAAAGAAGAAAATGAGCTCAAAGAACAAAAGGAGTTATTGAAGACCACCACTTCATTTGCAGTGCTAAAGCTAAGAAGCCCTTCACTATTTTGAGAAAAGTTGATCCTCCCCGGTAAGGACATTTGTTGCAAACTTTTAGGAGAGGCTGCAACTCAAAAGTTAGCATGTGATCCTCTTTTGGCTAGCACCCTAACTACATGAATTGAAGTAAAAGACATGGAGGCATAATTGTTAATATCAAAAATCACTGGTACACAATCCAGGTAGATGAGTCTACAGATGTTGACAAGGCAACAATGCTTATTTTTGTGTAATATTTTTCAGTATGATGTACATGAGGACATGTTATGTGGACTTTTGTTGCCAATCAACACCATAGCTGCAGGCTATTCAGATCTTTGATTACATATCAGGAAAGCTTACTTAGTCATTTTGCCTCAGTATATGCATGGATAGAGGCTGCTCTGACTGGACAGCCTTCTGGTTTCACTATCAGAACAAAGGTTGCTTCTGAATGTGAGTCTGCATCGTGTCATCCATAGAGAAATGGTGTCTAGCCAAAAATGTCACCTGGATGTAATGTTTTGCAGGATATGATAACTACCCACGTTAAAGTACATGCCCTGAACTCACATCTGTTCGCATAGCTCTTTACAGAGATGGGTGCAGAGCACACATGTGTTATACACAGAAGAGAGAGAGAGCTTTCTTAAAGTTTACATCACTGGCCAGAGTGTTTGAGTTGCAAGAGCTGATGCAGAGGTTTCTTTTAGAAAGTCACCACTGGCAGCACACTTCAGTGACACAAAATGAGTCACAAAACTTCCTTATTCATGATATACTCAACCTCAAGTCAACCAGTCTCTTCAGGGGAGAATGACAACTGCATTCAAGTTGTCAGATTCAAAGTGGCTGCATTCAAAGGCAAATTGGAAATATGGGGGTGGTGTGTGAACACTGGATACTTTGACATGTTTCAAACAGCAGAAGTTGTTTCATTTTGAGCCAGGGTCTTACTATGTAGTTCAGGCTGGCCTCGGACTCATGGCAGTCCTGCCCCAGACTCCCAAATGCTGGGATTACAGGTGTGCGCTACCACGCCCAATTCAAACAGCATCGATTTTGATAGACTCAGCCAGGGCTGCCTCTCTCCCCTTGAGTGCATGATTACTTAGCTTTCAAAGAGTCTGAGCATTACTTCCCAACCAAAGAAGACGTCTACCTCCAGGCTGGGAGAGGACGGATCTGGGGTCCATTTGTGAGTAAGGTGAATTACTTTGTCCATGCTAGAAGGGAATCGAGTGCAAGTGACAGTGGCCTTAAAAGTATGTTTGAGACAACTTCAAATCTCTTCTGGATTAAAGTCAAGGTGGAATATCCTGAAATTTCCACAGAAGTACTGAAAAGCCTCCTTCCATTTCCGACATCCTATTTTTATGAAGCAGGGTTTCCTGCAGTGACAGCAAGCAAAACAAGGTTACATGGCGTACTGGACATAACCAGCAACTCAGGTGTCACTCTTGCCCCCAGATGGGACCATCTAGTTGCAGGAAAACAAGCTCAGGGCACCCACTGATTCTGCATTATGGTGAGTTGTATATTTACTGCATTATATATTGCATCGTAATAACAAGGCATACAGTAAATTAATGCACCTGAATCATTCTGAAACCCTCTCCCCACTCCCAATCCATGGGGAAGTTGTCTTCATGAAACTGGTCTTTGGCGCCAAAAAAGTTGGGGACTACTGAACTAGACTGACCAAGAAATGACAAATTATCAAAGCCAGGAAAGAAGGGTATGTCACCACCATTCTATAGAAATTTTAAAGGGCCATAAGAGAATAATGAACAATTTAATGCCAAAAGTTTAGCCTAAATGCTAATTTTTTTTTTTTTTTTGGTACCGGGAATTGAACTCGGGTCCTTGCGCTTGCACAGCAGGCAGTGAAACCACTGAGCTAAATCCCCGGCCCTAAATGCTAATTTTTTTAAAGAAAGGCCCAACTTCCAACGATTGAGGAAAAGAAAAACCTGAATAGATTTTTAAAAACTGAATTAGTTTAAAGTCTTCCTGTAAAGAAATGTCCAGGCATGGGTGCCTTCACTTAGATTTTTGTCAAATATGTAAAGAAGTGATACAGTTCCTTCACAAACTCAAAACATAGGGGAGGACCACTTCCCAACTCATTCGATGAGACCAGTATTGGCCTTACACTAAAATCAAAGACATCACAAAAGCAGAAAATTGTAAGTGAATATCGCACACGAGCATACCCCAGTCCTCACCAAAATATGAGCTGCAGGGCATAGTGGCACCGGCCCATAAGTCCTAGCACTTGTCAGCATGTACAAGCTCCTGGGTTCCATCTCTAGCACACACATGGATACACACACTAAAGGAAATCAACATAAAAATCATACACCATGACCAAGTAGAATTTATCCTAGGAATATAAAACTCAGCAGCTTAAAATAATTACTATCTGAATAAAGCACAAAATCTACACGATTATCTCAGGCAAAGAAAATGATAAAATCTCAACATCTTAAAACTAGGAATAGAAGGGAAAGTTCCTCAACTTAAAAGCATCTGTGAAAAATCTACAGTTAGCATACTTCATTGTTAAAGACTAAATGTTAAAGACCAATGCTTAAGATTTTGGACAAAGCAAGGATGTCTATTTTTTTTTTTTTTTTTTTTTTACTAGGGATTGACGCACAGCCTTTGCACTAAACTGTATCCCTACCCCTTTTTGAGACAGGACCTCACTAAATTGCTAAATTGCCCAGGCTAAGCTTGAATTTGTGATCATCCTGCCTCAGTCTCCCAGAGTGCTGGGATTAAGGCATGGGCCACCACTCCCAGCTAGAGATGTCTGCTTCTTCCAGTGCAATGCTGTCCTGAAGTTTCTAGCCAATGCAGTTAATAAAAAGAAGACAAAAAAAAGGCATCTACATTGGAAAGGAAAAAGGAAAATGTTTGTATTCACAAATGATGTGCTAAGGATGTAAACATATCCCAGGGAAGCTATACCTGCAAATACTGGAACAGTAAATTTAGCATGGTCAAGGGGGAGTAGGTAAATACACAAAAATAATTATAGTATTTCTATAACAAGAAACAATACGGAAATTAAAATTCTTTTCTTTCTTTTTTTTGGTACGGGGGATCAAACTTGGGACTTCGTGCTTGTGAGGCAGGCGTCAGAACCACTGAGCTAAATCCCTGGCCTGTTTTGAGTTTTTGAGACAAGGTCTCACTATGTAGCCCGGGGTGGCCTCAAACTCAGGGCAATCCTCCTGCTTCCGCCTCCCAAGTACTGAGATTACAGGGGTGCACCGCTCTGCCTGGTGCAAGACAATTTTTAAAATAAAGTAGGAGGACTAATAGGTTTCAAAATTTACTGTATTTGATCCCCAGTACCCAAAAAAAAAAAGGAAGAAAAATTTACTATAAACTACAATAATCAGGAGAGTTTGGTAGTAGCACAAGAATAGACATATAAGTAATGACACAAACACATGTCAGTTGATTTTTTTGTTGTTGTTTTTTGGTACAGGGGATCAAACTCAGGTCCTTGCACTTGCGAGGCAGGCGGCAACACCACTGAGCTAAATTCCTGGCCCATCAGTTGATTTTTGACAGAAATGTAAAGGCAATTCAATGGAAAAATTTCAGTGAATAATCCTGAGATAAAATTTATCTGCATGTCAAAACAAAGACCTCACCAAAACAAATTTTAGACTTTACCTCACATGATACACCCACACAAAAATGAATGAGAATGGACACAAACTTAAACGTAAGAGCTAAAACTTTAAAAATTTCTAGAAAAGAAAACTTAGAAATTCTTCATAATTTTGAGTTAGGCAAAGATTGCTTGTTTATACTACCCAAAACATGACCCATAAAAGAGAAAAGATTATAGTTGACTTTACCAAAATTTAAAAGTTTTGCACTTCAAAACATACCACAAAAGAAAAACTAAAGAAAAGCTACAGTCTGGGAGAAAGTATTTACAAAGGCCAGGCACTGTGGTACATGCTTGTAATCCTGGTATTTATTTGGGAGGCTGAGGCAGGAGGATTGCCCCAAGTATGAGGCCAACGTGGGCTACAGAGTGAGTTCAAGGCCAGCCTCAACTACATGGCGAGACCCTGTCTCAAAAAAACAACAAAAGTATTTATAAGTCATACTTGTGATAAAGTTATTATATCCAGAATATGTAGAAAACTGACAATAATATGAAGACAACTTCTTTTGAAAATGGGCAAAAGATTTAAATAGACATTTCCCCAAGGAAGATATACGAATGACTGATGAGCATAGGAAAGATGTTCAACATCACTAGTCATTAGGAAATGCCAATTAAAACAATGATTTACCACTACAAACTAAATATTGTTGAGACTATGGAGAAACTGGAAACCTCATACTTGTTGATGGTGATGTAAGATGTTACAGGCATTCAGGGAAAGTTTGGCAATGTCTTAACCTTATAACTCAGCAATTCCATTTCCAAGAGCCTACCCAAAATAAATGAAAATGTGTATACACAAAGACATATTTATAAAAGCTCATAGCAGCATTATTTATAATTGCCCTAAACTAGAAATATGAATGTTCATCAACTAGTAAGTGGATAAGCAATATATGTTATCACAGTATGTTAACATTTGTAAGCAGTTACTATTACATATACAATGAAATCATGCTCATTAATGTGAACAAATACCTGATTCACAGTACAACATGGATAGATCGATCTCGAAGTCATTTTAGTATACTTACACTTGGTGGATTTTATTTTTGTTTTTATTTTTTGATACTGGGGATCGAACTCTGGTCCTTGTGCTTGAGCAGCAGGCTGTGAAACCACTGAGCTAAATCCCGGGCCCAAAACTTCAATCTCTTAATTTTCTTTTTGGTACTGGGGATCCAACTCGGGACCTTGGGCTTTTGAGGCAGGTGGCAGAACCACTGAGCTAAATCCCCAGCCCTTTGGTGGATTTTATGTCCTGTAAATTATCCATAAGAGTTACAAAAAGTGTCAACTTTTCAAAGTGGGCCATATTCTAGAGACATCGAAGGCTTCTTTTTGTTTTTGTTTTCTGTTTTTTGGAGACAGGGTCTTGCTGTGTAGTTCAGGATGGTCTTGAATTCACTATGTAGCCCAGGTTGGCCTTGAACTCACAGCAGTCCTCCTGCCTCAGCCTCCCGTGCTGGGATTATAGGCATGCACCACCACACCCAGCAAGGTTTCTAGATCAATTTGCTCAGACCAATGCTAGTATACTGGCTTTATACTTTGTGGATTTAGCGTCTTCAAGAATTACTGTGTACATTTAGAGTCAGAATATGCCTCTGGTGAGAATGAAAAAAATAGCAAGATTATTCCCAACTATACATATAGCGTTGGAAAAAAATTTTGGTTCTTGTGACAAAGGGATCCTCCCAGATAGTCTCGCTTTTCTGAGGTGCCACACTGTTTTAGTCCAGAAGAAACAATAAGAGAAACAAGACTGGCGGGTTGCGATGTGGTGTCCCAGGAAAGGAGAGGAGACGAACGTAGGAGACTGGCGGGCAGGTCATGTAGGCTTACCCTGCTCCCTTCAGGGAGTCAGTAAAGTATAAGAGTGCAGGCTCCAGGGCCAAGCTGGCCTGAGTTCAAATCCCCAAGTGCCACCTTCTAGCGAGGTGACTAAAGTAGCTTAACCGCCTCAGTTTTACAGTGACAGTACTCCCTGGACTATGAGGGTTAAATGCACTAATACGACTTTACAGCAAGTACATGGTTTAGTGCTCAGCAAATATTAGCAAGTTGGATGGCCTCGCCTCCCCGAGCTCTCCGTCCCCTGCGTTCTTTTGCAAGTGGCTCACCTAAACTCCCAGAATGCCCCAGTCGCTATGGTAACGGCCGCCTATTTCCGGGAGAAGTACGGCACGCGGCGAGGGTCATCCCAGCCGCAGCCCGGAAGAGCCGACAGTGGGTCCGCAGTGGGGTGGCTCGCCCTCTAGGTTCGACTGTAGGTTCAGTGGTGCAGTTTCGAAGGCCAGTCCCCGTGCTCTCGCAGGGTCCCCTGCTTCTGTGTCCTCATTGCCGCCAGGAACCCCCTCTCACGGCCTGGACGCCAGGCCTGAGGCCGTGCGCCATGGACTTCTCCAAGTTCTTGGCCGACGACTTCGACGTGAAAGAGTGGATTAATGCGGCCTTCAGGGCTGGCCCCAAGGAGGCTGCGGCGGGGAAGGCGGACGGCCACGCGGCCACGCTGGTGATGAAGCTGCAGCTGTTCATCCAAGAGGTGAACCACGCCGTGGAGGGTGAGCCGCCGGACGCTCCCCTGCGCCCGCCCGCAGAGGTCCCCCAGCTGGGCCGGGACGCCGGGCGCAGGATTGGGCAGTCAGTGTCAGTACTAGATTTGTTGAGAAGGCGAGCCTGCAGTCCTTCATGACTGCATCGAGGAGAAAAACCTTAGCCAGTTGCTGGGCTGTCTTTTTTGTACCGGGGATCGAACTCGGGACCTTGACCTTGCGAGGCAGGCGGCGGAACCACTGAGCTAAATCCTCTGCCCTTGGGGTCCTGTCTTTAACACTTGCTAATTTTGGACTTCAATTTTCCCTGGCAGTGCCATATCGTTTCCTTTTAAAACGGAAGTTAAAGCATTTTTGTTTTGTTTTGTATTTTGAGACAAGGTCTCACTGTGTACCAAGGTGGCTTTGAATTCACTATGTAGCCCAGACAGACCTCAAACTCTGCGATCCTCCTGCCTCAGCCTCGAAAATGTAGGAATTACAGGTGTGCACCACCATGCCCGGCAAGAGTCCCTCACCTCCCCCCAGAGCCTTCACACTAAGCTACATCCCCAGCCTTTTTGTTTCTTTTTCTTTCTTTCTTTTTTTTTAAATTTTGAGACAGAGTCTCTTGCTAAAGTTGCTAAGGTGCCCAGGCTGGCATCGAACTTGAAATCTTCCTGCCTCAGCCTCCCAAGTGCTGGGATTACAGGCATGTGCCACCACACTGGCTCATGTAATTCTCTGGCTTGACTTTTATTCGCTATATGTTGACTCAGTAAATACTGCATGCCAGGTCTTCTGCTAGACTCTGTTGGAAAGACCAAACAGACGCTCCCACTGGAAGCGTAATCCTGTAAATAGAATTTTGTTTTATAGATATGCCCGTTGTTTAAGAATGGGAACAGGAGGGTAGTTATCTCAGTGCAGATCCTTTGTTGTACTTTGCAATTTTACTAACTTATGGAGCATCTCCTATGCTTGTATCAGGATGTGGATACTGGAGACAAAGTTAATCTTTCTGCAGCTTGCTGTCTGTGAGGAAGATATATAAACAGAGAGGTCCTGAGTTCAATCCCTGGTACCAAATAAACCCCCCAAAAACAAAAAAACTAGTTAATTACAATGCAAGATGGCTTTACAGAAAATAGAATCTGGAGCCCCTAGCTGGAGGAGGGTGCAGCTCCCTCAGGTCTGGGAGAATCACAAAGGCTTCTTCAGGGTTAGACCTTGAAGGAGGACTTCATACGGTGTGTGTGTGTGTGTGTGTGTGTGTGTGTGTGTGTGTGTGTCACACAGAGAAAGAGAAAATTAAGAATATAACAGATACTTGAGGGCTTGATCTATTTATATGTATTCACAAAGTGATCTGAGAACTGCTCTCCCCTTGGGAATATTTGGAGATTGGTGGGAGCCTTTGGAATTGTGGGGAAATGTCGCCACAATGGACATTTAGTGGAAAGACTCAGCAGTGGTTAATGTCCTGCAGTGCTTGGGACAGTCCGCCACAATGGAGTATTATCCTGACCAAATATTAATGGTGTTCTGTATTTTGGTGTGATGATCAGCATAAACCTGACAGTTATTCTGTGAACTAGACACAATTGTTGTTCCTACTTTGTGATTGTAGAAACAAACTAAGAAAAGTACTTTGCTCACATCATTATGCTAATGAATGAGGGATCAGGGATTTGAACCCAAGCATGGTTCAGAGTTCCAGTCCCTGTTCCCTTTCCTGCTGTTTGTCCTGCAGGCTTCAAGCACATGTGGTTGGGAATATATTAGGACCTCTCTGCTGTCTCATTTGCCTCCTGCTTCTCACTGGTGACTGGTCTGTTTTTTGCCTTTTGTGCACGTGGCTGCTCTTGGTTTTGTGCTGCAGAAACGAGCCACCAGGCCCTTCAGAACATGCCCAAAGTGCTCCGTGATGTCGAAGCCCTGAAACAGGAGGCGTCTTTTCTGAAAGAACAAATGATTCTCGTCAAGGAGGACATTAAAAAATTTGAACAGGACACATCGCAGTCGATGCAGGTATTTGGGCTCCTGTCCTAAATGTTGATTCTTGTTTTTGGCAAGGATTCACTCTCCTGAAGGGCTGAGAACAACACAGCATTGTGGGAGGCCACCCTGAACTCAGACTTTTTTTGCAATGCTGGGCTCAAACATAGCTGAGCATGATAGCAGATGACTGTAATTCCAGCACTGTGGGAGGCTGAGGCCAGAAAGATTAACCTGAGCTGGGCTGGGGATTTAGTGGTTTCACTGCCTGCTGTGCAAGCGCAAGGACCTAAGTTCGATCCCTGGTACCAAAAAAAAAAGGTTAACCTGAGCAACTTATTGAGTCCCTGTCTCAAAACAAAAAATTTTAAAAGGGCTGGAGATGTAGCTCAGTGCAGAGGCCCTGGGTTCAATCCCCAGTACTGCAAAAACATAAAAACAAAAAAGCCCAAAACTTGTGATTCTCCTGCCTCAGCCTCTCAAGTAGCTACAGTTGCAGGTGTGTCCCATTGTGCCTAGTTTGAACACAGAATTCCACCCAGCACTCAGAAAACCCTTGTGCTTGGTTCCTTCAGCTTACTCATCTCCGCAGCACCTGCTGAGCAGAATTAGCCCGGTGATTGGTGTGTGGGGACGCAGCAGCTCTATGGAGATGGATCGAGCCACGATACTCATGTTTCGAGTCACCTGGGGAGTGTAGAGAAAAGGGAGCAGTGGTCCCTTCATTTTTTTCTTCTTACTTCTCTTTTAGGTATTGGTAGAGATTGACCAAGTCAAGTCCAGAATGCAGCTTGCTGCCGAGTCTCTTCAGGAAGCAGACAAGTGGAGCACATTGAGTGCTGATATTGAGGAGACATTTAAGACTCAAGTAAGTTTCTTTATTTTCTTTTTTTTATTTCTGAGGCAGGGTCTCACAATGTAGTTCAGGCTGGCCTTGAACTTACCGTGTACCCCAGTCTGTCCTCAAACTTACAATGATCCTCCTGCCTCGTCCTCCGGAGTGCTGGGATTGCAGGTGTGTGCCTCCCTGCAGTTTCAAGTAGGTTTCCTATTTAGCGGATGTTGTGAAACTCATTTAGGAAGAAACCTGAGGTTTGGAGAAAGCAAGCAAGGTAATCATTTGTCAGAACCTTACCGGATATCAATAGTGATACACAGTTACATTCAAACTTTGGGTGGGAAGATCTGAAGCTGTATTGAGCATTTCCACCCTGTTTAGTTCGTGGCCTCTGCTTGACTGAAATCTAGAGTGATTCAGAAGAGGCCTCAGCAGACTGCATGGGCAGAGAAGATGTGTATGGGGGGTCTTGGTTACTGAGAGCTTGGAATGTGGCTTCATGGGCCTCACATGCTGTGGGAGCTTGGCAAGTTATTAACCCTTTTGAGGCTGCAAAGCGTGGAAAAAGTAATACGTTTGAAACCTGTTGTGAAGGTGAAGCAGGACTTAAAGAAAAACAAGTCCTTCCCAGCCTTGTGCAGCTCCCCCCCCCCCAATCGACCCCCTTTTCTCTGTAGCTGTAACTCCTTATTCTGGTACAGATAAAATTGACAACTGTGTCCTGTAAACAAAGTGCATGACACTCTGTTCTCATGTGATTCAGAAGACACTGTCTTCTTGCAAGGCAGAATTATAAAACTGTCTGCCCTTATCCTGTTCTGGTAAATTCACTTCCCGCGTCACTAGAAAGAGCAAAAGAGCACCCCCTTCGACCAAATGTGCACAAGCTGGAGCTTCTTTGTTCACCGCTCTTCTCTGGACAGGAGTCCGTTGAGCCGGTGCACACCTCAAACCTGAGGTAAAGTCCTCCTGTTCAGTCTGTGGTTCTCTCCAGTCTCTTGGATTCCTGCAACAAAGGAGAAAGTAAGATGATAGCTTATGAAAAAACTTTCTCAGCTGTAGAGCAGTTGAATGAATCACACAGTTCCCGATGTGCTACTACTGGGGTGCAGGGATATCCGGAAGGACAATTTCGGGAGAGAAAGTAGGGGACTGGAGGGCCAGGTTTATAACGTATTATGCTCTACAGCTGAAAAAGTTTTGTTTTCTGAGACAGGGTCTCACTATGTAGCCCAGGCTGGCCTTGAGCTTGCAGCAGTCTGCTTGCCTCAGCGGAGTGCTGGGATGACAGGCATGCACCACCATGCCTGGGCCCATTCAATTTATCAGTTCTTTTTATCCCTCTGCTACCAGTAGTCATGTTCAAAGCATTTGCCTCTGGACCATTCCGACAGCTGTGCATTGGTCTCCTTGCCACCAGGTTCCTCCTGCACTGCAGTTTATCTTCTGTGTGACCACAGGTGTCTCCTGAAGCATAACTTGGCACATGTCATTTCCCTGTCTCCTGTCCTCCCTGCATTTTAATTAATTTTCAGTAGCTCCCATTTTCTACTGGATAGATTCTAAGCCCATACTGCTGAATTGTCTTCTAGTGAGACAGTGTAATGTGCTTCACAGCTGGTTGTGGGCTGGCTTCTCAGCCTTTTCTCTGGCCACTCACTCCAGGTGATTCCCCCTGGTGACTGCTCAGGGCTGTTAATACATCACCTCCTTTCTTTAGTTCTCTCCCTGAGCCTTTCTCTTTCTCTTTCACTTTTTTTTTTTTTTTTTTTGAGGCAGGGTCTCCTTGTATAGTTTTGACTGATCTTGAACTTGCTATGTAGTCCAAGCTGGCCTTGAACTCAAGGCAGTCCTCCTGCTTCAGCCTCCCACATACTGGGATTTCAGGCGTGTGCCACTACTCCTTTCTTTGCAGTAGAGTAGACCTCCATTTGTCCCTCTAGGTATTGTCACCTTCTGTTAAAGCTCTCCCCGCTGGCTTCTTGCTTCTATAATACTTATGCCATTCTTCTGAAATTGTGTGGTAGTCTTTCTGTTCCAGTGTATTATGAATTCATGTTTGTCAGTGTTGCCTTACTCATCTTTGAGTCTCATATGTTTTCTTTTCTTTCTTTCTTTCTTTTTTTTTTTGCAGTACTGGGTATAGAACTCAGGACCTTGTGCTTGGAAGGCAGGTGCGGTGCTACTAAGCTAAATCCCCAGCCTGAGTCTCATATCTAATACAGTGTCTTGACATATCATAGATATCCATTGAATGCTGAAATGAGTATAGTTATTACTATCTTAATTCTTTATTTTTCTAATTATAAACATAATTATGTATGTCTGAGAAGATTTGAAACATTTAGAAAATTTCGCTGGGCATGGTAGTGCAATCCTACCTCAGGAGGCTGAGTCAGAAGGATTGCCATGAGTTCAAAGACAGGCTAGGCTCCATAGTGAGTTCAAGGCCAGCCTGAAGTACATAGGAAGACTATCTCTCAAAAAAAAAAAAAAGAAAGAAAGAAAGAAAAGGGGCGAGGATTTAGCTCTGCCTTGCAAGTGCAAGGTCCTGAGTTCAATTCCTGGTCCCCCCCCAAAAAGGAAAAGAAAATTAGGAAATATACAAAATGATCCATGTTTCTAGACCCTAGTAATATACTTTTTAAGCCTAATAGGTGCTTTTTGTGTTTACACATATTTGTACTTATATTTGTATTTTGTATGTATGCAAATATCATTAGTATGCATTGTATTTATGTACTTTATATATATTATATATTACATTGATATGTGTAAAACAAAATTAGAACTCTAGTATCCATATACTTTTATAGTGTTTATTTAATAGTGATTTTTGTTATTAGTACTTTTGAAAAACATAATTTTTAGTGGCTGTACCATAGTCTACATATCATTATGAGTATCCCATAATTTTATATTTTATTTGTTATTATGGAAGATTAAGTTGCTTCCAGGTTTTTGTTATGTTATCACTAATATCACAGTAGTACCTCAATGTCTCTATGTCCCTCTGATTATTTCTTTTCTTCTTCCTTTTTTTTTGCTCACTGGGCATTGAACCTAACATGTTCACACTGAGCTCCATCCCTAATTTTTTTCTGAGACAGGGTCCCACTGAGTCACTGAGTGGCTCAAGCTGAGCTTGAACTTGAGATCCTCCTGCCTCAGCCTCCCAGAGTGCTGGGATCACAGGTGTGCGCCACCATGCCAGCTCCTTCTGATTATTTCTTTCTTTCTTTTTTTTTTTTGGTACCAGGGATTGAACTCAGGACCTTGCGCTTGCGAGGTAGGCTCCGGAACCACTGAGCTAAATCCCTGGCCCTCCTTCTGATTATTTCTTTCTTTCTTTTTTTTTTTTGGTACCAGGGATTGAACTCAGGACCTTGCGCTTGCGAGGTAGGCTCCGGAACCACTGAGCTAAATCCCTGGCCCTCCTTCTGATTATTTCTTTAAGACCAATTTCTAGAAAAGAAAATAACCAAGTGAAAGGATGTGAATATTTGTAAGACTCTTGACACACTGCCGAGTTACCTTTCAGTATGGCAGTCTGTCTTATCAGTCAGACCTTTTTTCTTTGCATCCTCACTAATTATAACTATTACAACATTTCCAGTGCTTTACCAATTCATTAGAAGAAAATGGCACTTCTTTGTTTTAATTTGCATTTATTCAAGTGTTAGTAATGTTGAACAGAATGTTTAATGGGCCACTTTTTTATTTTGTGAGTTTCCTTTTTATGTATTTTATCCATTCCCAATCAATTCAGGTGGCTGGGGTCTCTTAGATAAATACCCTTTGTTCTTTTTTAGGACATAGCTGTGATTTCTGCCAAGCTAACTGGTATGCAGAACAGCTTAACGATGCTCGTTGATACGCCAGACTATTCAGAAAAATGTGTGCACTTGGAGGCTTTGAAGAACAGGCTGGAGGCCCTGGCCAGCCCCCAGATTGTAGCAGCATTCACTTCTCAGTCCATAGGTAAGTGTGGCCTTTTCTCACCTCTGTGCACACTTGTTTATAAAGATAAGGAGCTGCACATGTGTATTCTCAGAACTCAGTAGGCTGAAGCAGGAGGATTTTGAGGTAAAAGGCAGAGCTGTACATGTGTATTCTCAGAACTCAGTAGGCTGAAGCAGGAGGATTTTGAGGTAAAAGGCAGCCTGGGCTACATAGAGGCCAGGTTGGAGTACAGGGTGAGACCTTGTCTCAAAATAGCAAAACAAAATAAAACTGCTATAAAGATAACCTTTCTGAAGGCCAAGTGTGGTGGCACACGCCTGTAAGCCCAGCACTTGGGAGGCCGAGGCAGGAGAATCACCACGAGTTTCAGGCTAGCCAGCGATACATAGTGAGTTCAAGACCAGCCTGGACTACACAGTGGGACTCTGTCTCAAAGAACAAAAACAACACCACCAACAACAATAAAGAAATACATACAGGGCCGGGGGTTTAGCTCAGTGGTTTCGCTGCCTGCTGTGAAAGGACCCAAGTTTGATCTCCGGTACCAAAAAAAAAAAAAAGAAATACATACATACTTAAGTACACACGAACCTTTCTGAGTGTTCAGTCTTTATTTATTTTTTTTTTTTTTTTGTATCGGGGATCAAACTTGGGACCTTGCGCTTGCACAGCAGGCGGTGAAACCACTGAGCTAAATCCCCGGCCCGTGTTCAGTCTTTAGATGACTCAACACTGATTAAATTATGAAGATTGCAAATAAATCTGTAACTTTATGGTGTTTTCATCCTTTTAGCATTTTATATGAAATTTTCAAACACAGAAAAGTTGAACCAAGGACTGTAAACATACCCTCCAGGTTATCAATTTTCTACATTTGCTTTTGTGTGCATGCGCGCACGTGCACATGTGTGTGTGTTTTTCCCTGGTGCTGGTGATTGAGCTCAGTGCCTTGTATGTGCTGTGCAAATACTCTACCACTGAGCCACTAAGCTCCATCCCCATCCTTACATTTAGTTTATCACACAGCTGCCTTACCTAGCTGTCTGAGGATTGAGCCCAGGGCCTCACACTGAGCTACATCTCCAGCCATTTTTATTTTTCTGTGTGTGTGGTTTTTTTTTGGTACCAGAGATCGAACTCGGGACCATGTGTTTGCGAGGCAGGCACTGGAACCACTGAGCTAAATCCCCGGCCCCCACTTTTATTTTTTATCTCGAGACAGTGTCTTGCTAAGTTGACCAGGCTGGCTTGACCCACAGACTTCCCACCTCAGCCTCCTAGGTAGCTTAGATTGTAGACCTGTACCTCTGCAGCAGCTCCTTCGATTGATTTTACATGTAGAAGACAGTAACTGCTTTTGGAATTAATTCTTGGGTCAACATCAGAATTCTGTGAACCTTGTTTCATGTCTCGTGCCATCTCTGTTCCCCTGATGAGTATAATAAGACTGGCCTGGTTGTTTTTGCTTTGTGGTTAGCCTGTATTTTTCCCCTGAATAATCATTACAGGGAATGGCACGTATTTTCTGTAAAGGGCTAGGTAGTCAGTATTTTAGTCTCTGTGGGCCCTGCAGTCTGTATTGCAAACTTTACTTTGGATCTGTGGTAAAAAAAAAAAGCCAAAATATAAATAGCTGGGCTTCCAACAGCTCAGCACAACTCTGCTTACAAAGACAGATGGAGATTTGGCCTCCCAGCTCAAGCTGGCTGACTTCTGGCCTGTCAGAGTTGTGCCCAGTAGTTTAGTGACTTCACTAGGTTATTTTTTAATTTTGAAAATTAAAAATTTCCCCAGAATATAGTGTGAGCTCTTTTCATCTGCTAAGTCATCTTCCCTCTTTTTTAGAAAATTCCTTCCTGTCCTTTTTTGTTGTTGTTGTTTCACTTGTTCTTTCACCAACTTTCAGGACATTGACTCTTTTCACTGGCTTCCCCCCATCTGTGTCAGAGTCTCTTTAGTTTCTCTTGGCTCTTTAGCATCATTTTTCTGTTGTCTTCTGTTGCACTGATAGGGTTTCTAAATTACCTCTTTTACTCTTTGTTCTTCTAATTAATTTTATGTTTTTTATGTCTGATTTATTTCCTAATTTTTCCCTACCTCTGCCACCCTTCTTTTATATCTCCATGTGATACCTTAGACCCTATGACAGAAAGCATATACTTGCATTATTTCATTTAGAGTATGAAGCAGTTGCCTAAAATTTCCTAGAGTAAATCTTGTGGAAGTTTCTCTCTTTTTAAAATTAAACAAATACGGTAAAATATGCATAATGTAAAATTTACCATTTTAACTTTTTTTTTTTTGTACTGGGGATCGAACTCAGCTCCTTCTGCTTTCGAGGCAGGTGGCAGAACCACTGAGCTAAATCCCCAGCCCACCATTTTAACTTTTTTTTGGCAGGGGACACTGGATTGAGCCCAGGGTCTTTACCTAGCCTGTCTCTAGCCCCTTTTTAATCTTTGATTTTGAGCCAGGGTGTCACTAAGTTGCTAAGATGCTGAGACTGGGCTTGAATTTGTGATCTTCCTGACTCAGCCTTCCAGAATGCTGGGATTAAGGCATGCACCACTGCCCAACTTCATTTTAACTGTTTTTAAGTGCTCAGTTCAGTGGCATTAAGTACATCCACATTCTTGTGCAGTCACCACAGCCATCTGTCGTCAGCACATTCTTCCACCCAAACTGAAAGTCTGTACAACAATGAATACTCGTTCTTCTCTTCACCCTTCTGTCGCTATGAATTTGAAAACCCTAGGAGCGTCATATTAGTGGGCTCATGTGGAGTTTGTCCTTTTGTGCCTGCCGCACATGTCAGAATTTCTTTCCTTTTTAGGGCTAAGTAATATTCCATTGTGTGGAGAGACACACTTTCTTTTTCCATTCATTTGTCTGGGGACACCTGGTTTTTTCTACTTTTGCCTACTGTGAATAATGGTGTTATAATCACGTGTGTAGCTTCTTCAGTTTTTTTGAGTATAAACCAAAAGTAGAGTTGCTAGATTACATGGCAATTTTATAAGAAACTGTCATAGTGTTTTCCGCAGTAGTCATACTGTTTTCCGTTCCCACCAGCAGTGCACGAGAATTAGTTTCTCTGTATTCTTACCAACACATTGTGTTCTTGGTTTTTTTTTAATTAAAATGAGAATTTAAAATAATAGCCATCCTAATAGGTATAAAGTGGGTATCTCATTGTGGTTTTGATTAACATTTCCCTAATGATCTCTGAATTTCAGCACGTTTTCATTTGGGTTTTGATCTTTGGAGAAATGTCTACTCAGTTCCTCTGCCCTTTTTATATTGGTTTGTTTTGTGTTTTGATGAGCTGGTAGGAGTTTCTCATAATTTCTGGATATTAATTTCTTATTGGGCATATGATTTCCAAATATTTTCTCTCATTCTGTAGGATTGTCTTTTCTCTCTATTAAGTATATTCTTTCAAAAAAAATATTTATTTATTTTTTGGTACCGGGGATCAAACTCGGAACCTTGTGCTTGCAAGGCAGGCAGCGGAACCACTGAGCTAAATCCCCAGCCCTATTTTTTATTTTTAAAAAGTGTTCTTTCTTTGCACAAGTGTTTAAATTTTTTTCAGTACTGAGGATTGAACTCAGGACCTCGTGTATGCTGTTCCTAGTTTGTTGAGTATTTTTATCATGAAAGTACTGAAGTTCGTCAAATGCTTTTTCTGCATCAACTGAGTTGATCATTTTTTCTCTTCATTTTGTTAATGTAGTGTATTTGCTTGATTCTCGTACGTTGATTCATCCTTGCACTTGGGCATAAATTCCATTTGGTCATAGTGTTTACTGTTTTTTTTCGTACCAGGGATCAAACTCAGGAGCTTGCGCTTGCAAGGCAGGCGCCAGAACCACTGAGCTAAATTCCCAACTCTGTATAATACTTTTTTTTTTTGGTACTGGGGATCGAACTTGAGACCTTGCCCTTACAAGGCAGGTGCCGGAACCACTGAGCTAAATCCCCAGCTGTATAATACTTTTAATGTGGTATTAAATTTGGTTTGCTAGAATTTTGTTGTTTTTGTTTTGTTGTGTACCAGGGATCGAACTCGGGACCTTGTGCTTTCGAGGCAGGTGGCAGCACCATTGAGCTAAATCCCAGCCCACTATTTTTGTTTTGTTTTGTTGAGACAGGAGCTCACTATGTAGCCCAGGCTGGCCTTGAACTCAAGATCTTCCTGCCTCAGCCTCCCAAGTGCTGGGATCACAGGTGTGTGCCACCACAGCCAGCTTGTTGAGGATTTTTGCTTGAATAGTCATCATGGGCACTGGTTTATAGTCATCTGGTAGTGCCGTTGTCTACTTTTGGCATTAGTTTCATGCCGGCCTCATAGAGTGAGCTTCTTTGGAAGGATTTGTGTCAGTTCTCTAACTGTCTAGGAGAATTCTCTGGTGAAGCTGTCTGATCTTGGGCTTTTCACTGATAAGAGGACTTTGATCATGAATTCAGTCTTCTTACTAGATAGATGTAGGCCTATTCAGTCAGAGTTCCTATTTCTTTGGGATTCAGTCTAGCCAGGTCTTGTGGCACATCCTATAATCCTAGCACTCTGGGTGGCTGAGGCAGGAGGGTTGCAAGTTTGAGCTCTACCTGGGCAACTTAGTGACTTAGTGAGACTGTCTCAAAATAAAAAAAAGTCCTAGGTGTGTAGCTTAGTGCAGAGACCCTGGGTTCAGCCCCTAGTTCAGCCCCACACACACAAAAGAAAGGAAGGGAGGGAAGAAAAGAAAGAAAATAAAAAGATTCATTCTCAGTAGTTCATGTGTTTTTAGGAATTTGTCCGTTTCATGTTAGGTTATCCAATATTGTGGTATATAATTGTTCAAAGGATTCTTACAGTCCTTTTTATTTCTGTAACATTGGTAGTACTGCTTCCCCTTTCATTTCTACTATTGTCATTAGTGAATCTAGGTAAAATTCTGTCAAGTTTGTTGATTTTTTTCAAAGAACCAAGTCCTGCCTTGATTTTTCTCTTGGTTTCCTATTCTTTGTTTTATTTACACCTCTTCTTCTTCTTTTTTTTTTTTTTGGTACCGAGGATCAAACTCAGGTCCTTGCGCTTGCGCAACAGGCGGTAAAAGCACTGAGCTAAATCCCCAGCGTATTTACCTCTCTTCTAATCTTTCTCTTTCCTCCCATCTGCTTTAGATGGGAGTTTGTTTACCCTTTTTCTTTAAGATGCAGAGTTAGGCTATTGATTTTTAGTGTATCTACAGCTGTGAATAGTAGTTAGCGCAGTTCCTAGCACAGCTTTTGCAGCCTCCCATAAATTTGATATGTTGTGTTTTCCCTTCCATTTGTCTCTTTTTCTCTAATTTTCCTGTAATTTGTTTTTTTTAAGATAGTGTGTTATTTCATATTATGAATTTTCTGGTTCTCTTCCTTTTCATTTCTAGTTTATTTCTATTGTGATTGGAGAAGATACTCTATGACTTCTCTGGTTTCAGTCTTAAAATTTATTAAGACTTGTTTTATTGTCTAACATGGACTATCTGGAGAATGTTCGATGTGCACTTGCAAAAAAGATGAATTCTGCTCTTGTGGGGTAGGCAGGCCTGTGTACGTCTGACAGGTCTAATTGGTCTATATTTTGCTTCAATTCCTCTATTTCTTTCTTTTTTTTTTTTTTTTGGTACCGGGGATCGAACTCAGGACCTTGCGCTTGCGAGGCAGGCGGCGGAACCACTGAGCTAAATCCCTGGCCAATTCCTTAATTTCTTTATTGATTTTCTCTCTAGTTGCTCTTGAAATGCTCTCTTGATATAGCTTCTTCATGCTCTGTTTGCCTTAGTGGTAAATTCTGCTTTATTTTTCACTTAAAGCGATACATTTATCTGTTGGGTAGACATTTTAAAAGTTGTGATTATATATTTAGACCAGTATACATTATAGGACTTTCTTTTTTTTTGGTACCGGGGATCAAACTTGGGTCCTTGTGCTTGTGCAGCAGGCAGCAAAACCACTGAGCTAAATCCCCAGCCCTAGCACTTACTTTCTAAAAACATTCTTTGAACATATAAGTAAATATTGACAGCACTTTAACAAAGTGTGATAGTATTATAGTATAGGCAGTATTGTTTTTCTTATTCAGTTTTCCATTTTTCCATCATGAACATGCTACTGATAATGCTGAAAGACAGTGCTATTTAAGCAATAATTAATTGGATACAGTTTCTGAGTGCCCACTGTATTTTGTACTAATTTTTGGGAACAGTGAAACAAGACAGGAAATATCACTGCCTCCTGGAGCTTATGTTTCCATGGATGAGAAAGATGATAAACTATTATTAAGTAACTAAACACAGTCAGTCTGGGCTGTGATTGGTTCTGTTATGGAAGAGTGTGATGGGGACTAGCAGAGGGAGCCTAGTTTAGGTCCACGGATTAGGGACCAGAGGCCTCAAGGCAGTGAAGAATTGGGTTTGTTCCTGAGGCCCGACAGGAGGCCTGTTTGTCGCAGTGCTTTTCAGTTCGTGTAAGTATTAGGTTGAGTTAGGTGAAATTGCTGTTTATGCAGGCTGGAATGGTGATGAGCAGCTCAGTCTTTACTTGGTTTCTCAGTCCTGCCGTCCACTGCAGGTGACTCAAGCTCTCTGGGCTGCAGCTTCCTCGCCTGAGGACAATCAGTGAGTTCTTTTAGACACCTGTCAGCCGCAGTTAGATCCTGACGAAGGCTAGGACTAGGCAAGGCAGGCGAGTGTGGCCTTGCTAAACCCCGAGGGAGCTGCCGTTACTTTACACTGAGGTTTGGCCCCGACAGCTCTCGGCCCTGACTTTGGTTTGTTTTCTCACTCATGTGCTTATTACTGTGCTGTTGTGTAACCTTAGCTACGTAAGTAGCACTTACTGATGTGTCATTTTAATGAACCAGGCCTGTGGTATCTGATTACCAAGTCACATTTTGCTCTCGACTTTACCTATTTCTTGTGTTTATGGTCCCCGTGAGTTAATTCATTATCTAGGTAGGAATTTTCGAGTCCTAGCACATTTACATATTTATATATCTCTCTATATCTCCACATTTATCCTAGAGAGTTCATTTTCTTGGCTATACCAGAAAAGCTGGTAACGTATGTAACATTTTGTGTTCTTTAGATCAGTCCAAAATGTTTGTGAAGGTTTTTACTGAAATTGACCGGATGCCTCAGCTCCTTGCATACTACTACAAATGTCACAAGGTAAGAGGCTGTGAGCCATTGCAGTTATAGGATGCTGGTAACACTGGGCTACAAAAATCCTGTTTTTATCCTTAAAGGTAAAAATACTGCCTCTTTGACAGCTGGCTGTTTTTCTTCTTGTTAGCCAGTAGGGGGTACTCTTGGTCCAGCATATGGATGCATTTAATTGCCAGTTGGAAAAAGTCAGAGGTTTTTGTCCTGCATTATTTACAGACTTGAAAAGTTAGCATAATTTATTCAAATTTTTGTCTCTCTCTTTTTTGGGGAGATTACTGGGAAATGAACTAAGGGCCTTTGCACTCAGCCACATCTCCAGCCCTTTTTTTTTATTTTTTATTTTGACACAGGGTTTCCCTAAGTTGCCCAGGCTGGGCTCAAACTTGAGATCCTCCTGCTTCAGCCTCCCAGAGTGCTGACCTTACAAGTGTGTGCCATTATGCCCACCCATTTTTGTCTTTTAAGGAAGATTTATGTCTTAAGCTTTGTTGTGCCCTCAGCAAGCCATAATAACTTACTATATTTTCTGGGGTTGTTGAAGTTTGGTTACCGAAAATCTTGGCAGCTTTCTGGGCTTCGTTCCTTCAAGGCCAGTGTGTGTGGGCATTTTAAGCGGTTAGGTTAGGGCATGACGTTTCAACAGTCAGGCTCACTTTAAGGTGTGCACAGAGTGGGCCATGCTGAGGCGACACAGTGGCATCCTGCATTGAGGGAGAAAGTGGGGGTCACTTGGAGGGTGCCAGAGTCAAGCTTTGGGTGACACTCAGAGCAGCTGAGTTGGTTTCGTTTGATTTCTGCCATAGCTGAGTGGACCCCATGGGTACTCGAGTGCCTGGGACAGTGGCACCTGTAAAACTCGCTTGCCTTGGTGGGAGGGCGGGGAGTTCCAGCAGACAGCATTTCTGACGTACCCAGTGAGACCCTTTGTTCTGACCCTGTAGGTGCAGCTCTTAGCAGCCTGGCAGGAGCTGTGCCAGACCGACTTGCCCCTGGCCCAGCAGCTCACTGGTCTCTACGATGCCTTGCTCAGCACCTGGCACACACAGACCCAGTGGACCATGCAGGTAATGGCTTCCTAGGGCCTAGGGAGAGTAGAGCTGTGGTGACGGGGAACAGGGGCTGGGGGCGTGGGTGGCCACTCTGGCGAGAGGCTCCCGTTTGCTGCTATCACCCAGGGCTTAGAGACCTTCTTCAGTGAAGTCCTGGGTGTCCATGAAAACGCTTATCAGCTCATCTGTATCTAAGTAGAATCCAGCCTGAGGAATTCCTGAAAGCCGTTATCTTCAGATCTGAAAGCAGGGGGCCCAGTCAGGTGGTGTGGAGTGAACAGGATTGTTTTTATCTTAACTAAAGGTAAAGTTTACCTGGCCGGCAGTTAGTTTCCCTTGTTCCCACCGCACACGGAGTTGGTGGAAAAGTACAGTTTTACAGACACCCTCTAACGGAGATGAGGTGAGATGAAGGTTTCAGTTAGGAACTTTCCGTCCTTTACTTCTCCAGAACGCCTGGCCTTTCCCACCCAGGTTGCGAGCCATTGTTCCTAGTCTTGGTGCCTGGAGGCACAGCAGATCCTCCCCAGGCAGGGAAGCCCGCACTCGTGGGGTGATGCTGTAGCGGGCCTGCGGTGGCTCCTGAATCACTCTTCAGACGCTCATCGGTCACTTGGTGGAATGAACGGGACTGCGGCAGTTGGAGAGAATCCTTGTGCAGGGTCCTGGCATTCAGCTTGGATAAAGCCGTTTTCTTCATCCTCTCTTTTTCCTTGAACTAACCCGATTTAAACTTAGTTGTTGTTTGTTTCTGTTTTTTATTTATGTTTTTATTTTTACTTACTCGGTTCCTGGGGACTACACTTGGAGCTCTCACTGAGCCACATCCCAGTCCTTTATTCATTTTTCCTTTTGAGACAGGGCCTCACTGAGTCACTAAGTGGTGCAGGCTGGGCTCAAACTTGCCGTCCTCCTACCTCAGCTGGGAGAGTGCTGGGATACAGGGTTGTGCCTCCAGGCTTGGTTTAGGCGGCTTTTTCTTTTCTTTTTAAAGGAGAAGACAACTTCCTGTAGAAGTTTCACAGCTTTCTGTAAACATCAGTTTTTGGTGAGCTGAGCAGCCCCGCTCCTCCTCCTGTCTTTGCTTCTGCTGGTATCACCATGCAGACGCACGCCCTGAATCATCTCAGGAAAAGAACTTGGCCTCTCAGGTGTCTCCTCAGCCCTCACCGTCATCCTGTTTGTCAGGCTCACGATTATGCCTTGGCCCTGGCCCATTAACAGTCAGAGAAGGGCATGTCTTGGCTCTTTTTCTGCCATGGAGGAAGATAACTGCCGTAGGTACCTGTCAGAGAGGCAGCTGCCTTCAGGCTGGGCATGGAGAGGATGACACTAAGGAGGTGCTGGCCCATGTTCTGTACAGGGTGTAAGCAGCATAGGCCAGCTGTCATCTTCTGAAGCTCAAAATAATGCAAACCAGAGCTAAAGGCACCAGGGAAAAATGTGCTTCCTTTACATATTCCAGTATTTTAAATCACTTTTTCTTCATTGTGGTGCTGGGGCTCAAACCCAGGGCCTCATCCCTGTTAAGCAGGTGCTCTGTCACTGAGCTGTGCACCAGCCCTCCTGCCTCAGCCTCCCGAGTGCTGGGATTACAGGCATGTGTCGTCACACCCCACCCCCAGTACTTGAAGATGAAAAATCCCGACATATAAAAACGTCGAAAGAACTGTAGTGAATACCCATGTGCCCAGTGCCTAGGTTCTACAACAAACATTCTGCTGTATTTGCTTTATTATCAATCTAGCCTTCTACCTATTTCTGTATCTGCTCTTTAAGGCTTCTTTTTTGTTTGTTTGTTTGTTTGTTTGTTTTTTGGTACTGGGGATCAAACTCACGACCTTGTGCTTGCTGCTTGCTCGGCAGGCGCCGGTGCGGCACTACTGAGCTCAATCCCCGGCCCTTCTTTAAGCCTTCTTATATATTACTTTTCTTTCTTCTTTTTTTTGGGTACTGGGGATCGAACTCAGGACCTTGTGCTTGCAAGACAGGCACAGGCGCCACTGAGGTAAATCCCGAGCCCCAAGCCTTCTTATTTTTTGATTTATTCCAAAATAAATTGCAAACACCCTTCACTTTAGCACATATTATTAATTGGAATTCAACCTCGTCTTTGAGGTAAAATTTGTGAAATGTAATGATCTTAAATATGCCATTTGATTAGTTTGAAAATATAAATACCTGTGTGACCTAACTCTTTCTAGACAGAAAATGTTACCATCACCCCAGAAAGTTCTCTTATGTAACTTTCCCAGGCAACCACTGCTATTTTGTTTTCTGCATAAATTAGTTTGGAGTGCTCTAGAATTTCCTTTAGATGAAATTATTCACTGGTCTTTTTTTTTTCTTTGGTATGGGGATCGAACTCAGGTCCTTGCTCTTGCGGGGCAGGCGACAGAACCACTGAGCTAAATCCCCAGCCCATTCACTGGTCTTTTGGTAAGGCTTCTTTCATTTAGTGTTTTTTTTTTTCTTTGGGTACCAGGGATCAAACTCAGGACCTTGCGCTTGTGAGGCAGGTGGTGGAACCACTGAGCTAAATCCCTGGCCCTCATTTAATTTGTTTTTGAAATTTACTTGTGTTGTGCATCAGTAGTTTGTTCCTTTTTATTGCTGAATACTATTCCCTGGTAGGAATTATACATCAGTTTGTTTACACATTCTCTCTTTTTTTTTTTGGTACCGGGGATCGAACTCGGGTCCTTGCGCTTGCGCAGCAGGTGGCGAAACCACTGAGCTAAATCCCCGGCCCTGTTTACACATTCTCTTATTGATGGACACTTGGTCTATTTCCAGCTTGGAGTTGTTATGAATAAAACTGCTCTGAACATTGCTCTGTAAAAATTCTTCTGTAGGTACACTGTTTATATCTCTTGGGTGAATATCTAGTGTGTTTAGATGGATAAGAAACTGCCCTTTTCCGAAATGGTTGTCCTCTTTGCACCCCCACACCGGTGTGAGTTCTGGGTGTCCACATCCTTGCTAACATTAGGTGTTGTCATTCCTAATAATTTTACTGTGCTGGTGGGTGTGTAGTATATCTCATGTGGTTTTAACTTGCATTTCCTTGATGACTAAGGGCATTGAGCTCCTATTTCTATGTCTTCTTTTGTGACACGTCTGCTCAAGTCTTTGTCCTTTTGAAAAATTGGATTATTTGTGTTTTTATTACTTAGTTCCAGAAGAGGAGTTCTTTATATATTCCAGATACAAATCCTTTGTCAGATATGTTTTGTAGACATTGTCTTCCAGTGTATGGCTTAGGCAAAGGTTGTTTGTTTTGTTTCATTTTTTCTGTAGAGCTGGGAATGGAGCCCAGGGCCTTGTACACGCTAGGAAAGCAAGCACTCAGCCACTGAGCTATACTCCCAGCCCTGAGCAGGAGTTTTGATTTTTTTTTTTTTTTTTTTTTTTTTGGTACCAGGGATCAAACCTCGGGTCCTTGCTCTTGTGCAGCAGGTGGCGAAACCACTGAGCTAAATCCCCGGCCCAGGAGTTTTGATTTTGATGAAACCTAATTTGTCAATTTTTTCTTTTGTGGTTATTATTCCCCATGCCCTAAGAAACTGTCACCAGTCCCCAGTGGCAAAGGTATTCTTCCCTGTTTTCTTCTAGAAACTTGTTTAGCTTTTATGTTTAGACCTGTGGTCCATCCTGAGTTAATTTTTGTATAGTGTCAGCTTGTCTTTCTGTAGGTTATTTAGGAGACTCCATAGCCCTGATAAGTTTGGTTTTGTAGTATTTTTTGCTTTTATCTTTTACTTCAGTGATTTGGGAGTGGCAGAAGTTAGACTAAATAGCCCTGTACCAGAGAGTTCTAATTCTTTAGTCTGTATTATAAAGTCATATTCTAGATCTTCTGTGGAATTTTTAAAAGCATCCTTCAATTAAATCTCTTCTATTCATAGGGTTCCCGTTTCCTTAAAGGGATCCTCTGGGCATTTACCAGAGAAAGCAACGTTCACAGACCACAAGATGTGGGGATTGGTGATGTTTCTTTTTCTTTTTCTTCGGTACTGGGGATCGAACTCAGGTCCTTGCGCTTGCACAGCAGACGGCGAAACGACCGAGCTAAATCCCAGGCTGGTGATGTTTCTTAGGCATAGAAAGCAACAACTATAAAAGAAAAAATTATCTCAATTTTTTTTTTTTTTTTTTTTTTTTTTTTTTGAGACAAGGCCTCACTATGTAGCCCAGGCTGGCCTCAAACTCACAGTGATCCTCCTGCCTCAGCCTCCTGAGTGCTGGATTACGGGCGTGAGCCGCCACTCCCGGGTCATCCCCCTTTCTTTTTTTCACCCCTTTTCACTTCCCTAGCTCTAAAAACAAAAGGGATGGGGAGAGGAATGAAGGGATGGGTGGAGGGTGGAGGGAGGGCGGGAGGGGAGGAAAGGGGATGAAAAAGGAATCAGAGGCGTTATGTGCATGTGCCAGCTCCACAGGAGGAATGTAAACATTCCTGGGCACAAGTGTGCCAATAAACTAAAATGAAAAAAAAAGGGAAACTGGGTTGGGAGTGTAGCTCAGTGGTGGAGCACTTGGTTAGCAGGCCTGAGGCCCTGCATTGGATCCCCAGCACTACAGAAACCACACCAAACCAAAACCTGATAAATTAGGCGTCATCATAATCAAGCTCGGCTTAATCCACAGATTGGAAGAAAATGTCTAAAAACAGAGCCAACAGGGCCGGACATTTAGCTCAGTGGTTCTACCACCTGCCTCGCAAGTGCAAGGTCCTGAGTTCAATGCCCGGTACCCCCCCCAAAACAAAATAAAAACAGAGCTGACAAAGGAATTCAGAATATATAAAGAACCCCTAGGGGCTGGGGATTTAGCTCAGTGGTTCTGCTGTCTGCCTCGCATGTGCAAGGACCTGAGTTTGATCCCTGGTACCAAAAAAAAAAGAACTCCTACAACTAATAAAAAGACGAAACCCCCACCATTAAAGTGGGCTAAAGACTTGAGTAGACTCCTCATAAAGGAAGAGGTACAAATGGCGAGTACCTCACTGACCTTAGTCATCAGGGAAATGCAAATTAAAACCACAGTGAGATCTACCCCACCAGAATGCCTAAGACCGAAAACACTGGCAACACCAAAATGCTAATGACTAGAGCACCTTGCGATATTAAAAACTTAAGGTGTAAGTAAAGTTTGGAAGTAACATTTGAAACCAATGAATTTGGTGGTGAATTGACGAGAGAGAGGAGGAAGGTAAGAAGAGCCTTTGCTAGGTACCGGGTGGAGATGGTAATGTCCGAGTTTAAGAAAGATAAACAGTTGTGGGACCTGCTCTCTGCCTGTTTAGAACAATTGCAGGAACAGCGTTAGGAACTGTAAAGGGGCTGAGGGAAAGGAATGTCAAAGGCAAGGTCTCCCTCTTGGTTGCATGAACACATTACTAACAGAATTGGGGAAGTTGATGAAAACAGATCCAGGAACATGATAAATTCTAATTTTGAGTGCTTTTAAATTCCTTAGACTGCTATGGAGTCTTAATAATAAAATCCAGTAGGTGGTTCGAAGACATGCTTAGGAAATACACATTGGAGAGCCATTAGCAGTTTAGCCATTTCATTATTTTTGGGTTTGCTTCATTCGTTCTTCTGTTTATTTTTCCCAGATTCCAACAGGTGGCTCTAAGCAGAGTCTAACATAGGATGTATCAAACAAAACAAATGTTCTTTGAAGTTTTGTAAATTTTCCATGAGAATCTATACATAGATTTTATTCATGGAAGGTGTGTTATCTGCAGAGATAATTCTTTTTTTGGGGTACTGGAGATTGAACTTGGGTCCTTCCGCTTGCGAGGCAGGTGGCGGAACCACTGAGATAAATCCCTGGCCCTTCGAGATAATTGTTTCTGTCTTCATTTCTTTTTCTTGTACAGCTGCTCTGGCTAGAACTTCCAGTACGATGTTGGGTAGAGTGGCAGAAGTAGGCTTCTTTGACTTGTTCCTGCTCTTAGGAAGCTGGATGTGGTACACACCTGTAATCCCAGCACTCTGGGAGGCCGAGCTGGGGAGAGCACAAGTTCTAGCCCAGCCCGGGCAACATAAGGGAGTAGAGTTCAGACCACAGCATGCTCTCTCTTTAACTTTTTTGAAGTGTTTTATTTAGAAGGGTTGATGTTAATTCTTCTTTAAAATGTTTTGTAGAATTCACCAGTGAGGCCATTGAGTCTGATCTTTTCTTTGTTGGATAGTTATTTTTTGTTTTTTGTTTGGTTGTTTGTTTTTTGTTTTTTCAAGACAAGTCTCACTATATACTCCAGGCTGGTCTTGAACTCTCCATCCTCCTGCCTCAGCCTCCCAAGTACTGGGATTACAGGTGCGTGGCACCACACTTGGCCTGGGAAGTTTTTGATTATTGTTTCAATCTCTATTAGTTGTAGTTATAGTGTCTGTTTTTTCTTGAGCCAATTTTGGTAGATTGCATGTCTAGGAATTTCTTCATTTTATTCAATTTGTTGGTGTACAGTTGCTCATAGTATTCCATTATAATCCTTTTTATTTCTTTAAAATTAATGGTAATGTCCCCACTTTCATACCTAATTTAATTTTATATATTTGTCTTCTGAGAATAAGTCAGGCTATGTAGTCACCCAGACCTTGAACTCTGTGTAGCACAGGCTGAACTCAAACTTGTGACAATCTTCCTGCCTCAGCCTCTGGCGTGCTGGGATTACAGGCCTGCGTCACCACAACAGGCTTATATCTGGTTTTAAGAATGAGTCATTTCTCTTCTTAGTTAGTTTAGGTAATGTCAGTTTTATTGATCTTTCCAAAAAGCCAATTTTCGGAGTCCTTAATTTTCTATTCTCTATTTCACTTATCACCGCTTCAATTTTCTTCAACTAGCTTTGGGTTTATTTTGCTCTTCTTTTTCTAGTTAATGTATACAGTTAGGTCATTGATTTGAGATCTTTCTTTTTTATTAATGCAGTATGTAGAGCTATAAATTTCCTTCTTAGCACATCTTCTGTTGTACCCTGTAAATTTTGTTATGTGGTTTTCATTATCACTTATCTCAAGATATTTTTTATTAAAACCTTTAATTTTATTGGTTTTATCGTTTTAATTTTATACCTTTTTGGCCTTGGGTTTGCCTAAGAATAGGTCTTATATTTCATTTCATCTAGGTTGTAACAAAAGGGCACTTACTCTGCACTGAGTGTGTAAGAGCCCCCTTTGGAATGGATTGTACGTTAGTCAAGTGTTGCCCAAGAGGTCCAGAGTACACAGAATGGGAAGCAAGGCTGTTGATGAACTTGTGAATAGTCTAGATGGGTACAGAGGGGGCGCTCCTGGTGGTCCTTAAGAGAGATAGTCCAGACTGAAGAGCTATCTGGGTCAAGGGAGTGTGGCTTCAGGCCAGACTGCGGATCTGCATAAAGATCCTTTCAGCCCTGACTCGGTGAATTACCCTCTTTCATTCTGTTTTGCTACCCTCTCCCTGCCCGCTTCAGTTTACCATTGTTACCTTCACAGTTTGCTCTCTGTCAGTTTCCGGTGACCATCTAAATACTACATGAAAACCTTTGAGAGCTTTGAAAACACCCACGACCAAGAAATGGGGGCAGGATGTGAAAAGAATTAAGATGTGTTATGTACATACAGTGACTCCCCATGATGAATGAAATCATTACGTACTGCAAACAGCTACTAATCAAAATGAAGAGGAAGAAAGAAAGCAGCTAGGCACTTGAGGCCAGTGACAGACGAGAGGTTGCAGGTTGTTCCCGACAAGTTGCAGGCCTGCCGGTGTGTACTGTTTGAGACCCTCAGTTTGTGATGAGGAAAACTGTGGGCTTCCGGCTGTTGATCAGCCACCTTTCAGCTACAGGGTGGGAGGATTCCCTTGCGGGATCCAGGGGACAGCCTCCTTAAAGCCTGTCTTCCGGTTTGGTTCCAGGCGCTCATGCAGCCGTCTCTGTGCCACTGCAGGTTTTCAGGAACCCCCACGAAGTGGTGACAGTGCTGCTGATTCAGACCCTGGGGGCCTTGGTGCCCTCCCTGCCCGTGTGCCTCAGCGCCGGAGTGGAGCGGGCAGGGCCCGAGCTGGAGCTCACCAAGCTGCTGGAGTTCTACGACACCACCGCGCACTTCGCCAAGGGGCTGGAGATGGCGCCGCTATGCCCTGTCCGTAAGCGTCCCTCCTCCCTTCTCCAGCGTGCCCCACTCGCTCTTCTGAAGTTTCTGGGGCCTGCTTTGTTTGCCTTTGCAGTTGACCGATTGGACAGAAACGGAAGGGACGCGTCTTTTCCTCCTCCACACGCGTGACCGTGACAGCCTTGTCTGCAGGAGCACTGCCCTTGTGGAGATCGCGGTTTGATGTATTTGTCCGGCCCCGGGGCTGCCGGGCACTTCCGGTCCTCTGGCGCAGTGCTGGACACGGGCCCGCACAGGGCATGAAAGAGGCTGAACTGGGAGGCGGGCAGCCAGGGCGGCGGCAGAGGTGGCTGCAGGTCTCACTGGGAGGCCGCGCTCCTCTGGCTTTCAAGTCATAAACCTCTGGTGATTCAAACTAAAAAGTGAATTTAGAGGACACGGGATAGAGAAGGTCCGGGAAGGGGCGACAGCAGGCTTTCCAGGAGAGAAGCCGTGCTGGGACTGAGGAAGCTGCGGGGAGGTGGGCTGGGACAGACGCCCTGGGGAAACAGGTCATGCGTTTCCTCACTGTCTCCATCCGCAGAAAAGCATCACCGAGCTTTAAGCAGTTCAGACCTCCTGACGCGCTGCTGTCAATCGGGAAGTTCCCCGGGAAAGCCTTGTTCTGCCAGGTGGCTGCTGTGTAACCATCTGGGTTTACTTAATAGTTACTCTCTTTAATTACGTTTGCGTGTCACTGCCTGTACATTCCAGGGCGTGTGTTTATGGTGATTCATAGATGTCTCTGGCAGCTCTCGGGCCAGGCCTCGGTTGTGGGAGAGGCACGGGAGACTGAGTAGCTCAGAGGACCGCAGTGGCCCGGCCCGGGTGACGGGAGGGCAGGTGTATCCTGCAGGAGCAGAGCGGCATCTGGAGCACAGGGAGTAGGCTGTGTGCCTGCCCTGGGAGACAGACTTCCCTGTGGACCTGAGAGCCACCCCTGAAGAGTCAGAGATGTGCTGTGGAAGTTTAAATGTCCGATAATTCCCCTTGAGGTTTTCAAAAGAATTTTTCTTAGCTGGGTGTGGTGGTGCAGGCCTGTGATCCCAGCACTCGGGAGGCTGAGGCAGGAGCATCTCCGTGAATTCAAGGCCAGCCTGAACTACATCGTGAGACTGTCTTGAAAAAACAGACAAAAAGCAAAAAAGTATTTTTTTGACTTAAAAATACTGCAGAAACATACATAAAAATAAAAAGAATAGGCATGATCCATAACTTCATTACTCAGAGCCACTGTCAACATTCTGTTAATTTCTTCCCAGTAATTTAGGTGAAAATACACACACGTCACAGATATTAATAAAAACAGTGAACACATAGTACGTAAGTACTACGTAATAAATACACAACCTAATAAATTTTATACTACATGTTTCTGTATTGTAATATATGTATATGTTATAATGCAATACACAATATAATTTATAAAATATTGTTGAATTTTGGTAGTATACAATTTTGTAATATCTTTTGTTCAAAATAACATGAGTCTTATATGAGTAAATGTTCTCCTGCGGCATGATTTTTTTTTTTTTTGGTACTGGGGATCAAACTCGGGACCTTGTGTTTGCGAGGCAGGCGGCAGAACCACTGAGCTAAATCCCCAGCCCCTATGGCATGATTTTTAACAACTGCTTTATAGTATGACTTATAATTTTTAACCACTATTATAAGACTATTGTGAACTGTTTTACTTATTAATTTTTTAACACAGCTCTGATTATTTCTTAGGCTACAGTTGATAAGAAATGAACATTTTAATGATGTTTGTCATATTTTACTCTTTCTGCTGCCCCCCCCCCCCCTTGAGACAGGATCTTGGTACATATTCCAGGCTGGCTTTGAACTCACTGTGTAGTTTAGGGTGGACTTGAACTTGTGTCAGTCTTCCTGCCTCAGCCTCCCAAGTGCTGGATTACAGGTGTGCCCCCCCCAGGGCTGTCCCTATTTTTGTATCTTCTTTATAAATGAAGGTGCTAATTCCCACATGTCCTCACCAGCACTAGATTATTCCTTCTTCTTCATTGTCAGGTTCTTAGATAATTAATGACATACCATTTCAGTTTTTTACTTTAGCTGTTAGCAACTTTGGAAACTATATTATAAAAATTATATATATATGTCCCTCTGAGTTGCATATTCTTTGCCTGTTCTGCTGAGGATTTAATATATTTCTGGTTAGTTTTTAAAGCAATTTATTTAAAATACTATGTTATTATATGTGTTTATAGAGCAACAAAATATGTGTTACTGAAATTCATGATGTAAGCTGGACATGGTGGCACATACCTGTAATCCCAGCAGTAGGAGGCTGAGGCAGGAGGATCACTGCAGTTTCAAAGTCAGCCTGCACTATATAGTGAGTTCAAAACCAGCCTGAACTACACAGCAAGACCCTGTCTCCAAAAACAACCCCGCCAAAACTTCATGATGAAGACATCTATAATACAAAGCTTTCTTATAATTTCTCTTGCTGGAAATAACTACAGCTAAAAATCTGATATATATTCCTAAAAGACTCATGTAGTTAACTTTTCCCCATTGTTCATCAAATGTGATGCATCTATATATCTGTGCTTATATCTGTGTGTGTGTGTGTGTGTGTGTGTGTGTGTGTGTCTGCCAGCCAGGGTGACTCTGAACTTGGGATCCTCCTGCCTCAGCCTCCCACGTTGCTGAGATTAAGCATGAGCCGCCACGCCCAGCCCACCGATGTGTTTTCTAACTTTTATTTTACCTTTAACATGAACTGTTATTTTAACAGTTAAAACATGTACATGTTGTAATTATTTATTTTTTATTGGTTTTTTTTCTTCCTTTTTTGGTACTGGGTATTGAACTCAGGACCTTGCACTTGCGAGGCAGGTGGCAGAACCACTGAGCTAAATCCCTGGCCCTTACATGTTCTAATTTAAAATACATAAAAATTTTACAATAGAAAGTAGAATTTAAAAATTAGGTTGATTAAAAATTACAATATATATTTATTGTAAAAAATATTGAACATGAAAGGAAGGCAAAAAATATCTTAAATTTGCCATCTAGAAAGAGCATTTTGGCGTATATGTATGTGCAGATTTTGTGTATGTGTGTATATAGTTAAATGTTTTTAATAGGATATTTTATTGTCATTATCGCACCCAAGAACCTGTATTGAGTCCATACTGTCATCTATTATGCAGTCTGTATTCAGATGTTCTGGGTCCACAGATATCTTTTCTTCACTTTCCTCTGGTACTGAGGATTAAACTCAGGGCCTTTGCCCTAAGCTCTGCCCCAGCCCTTTTCTAATAAGGCACTGTGTGGTCCAGGCTGAGCTGGAACTTGTGATCCTCCCGGCTTAGTACCCTAGAGTGCTGATGTGCCCCACTGTGCCTGGCTCCACTCCTCTTTGTAGCTGCTTTCCACTCTGCCTCCAGCTGAGATTCCTACATTGCATTTGGTTGTCCTGTCTCTTTTAATCTAAAGCAGTCATTTCATCTATGTTTTGTCTTTCATGCCATTGACATTTTTGGAGAGGACAGGGTAGTTGTTCTTATGGAATGTCCCACATTCTGGAATTGCCCAGTTCTTTCCTTATTATGAGATTCATAGTCAGTATTTTTGACAGAAGTGTTGCTTTGGCGTTGTTGCATAGTTCCCATTGCATCACATCGGGAGGCATGGAGTATCTAGTTGTTGGTAATAGGCTTGATTAATCACTTGGTAAATGTATCTGTCAGGTCCCTCTATTCAGTGATCTGTGGGATGATGCTGTGTGCTCGTAGGAATACACCATTGCCCAAGAAACATAAACCATTCCCCAAGAAACAAACATGTACCCAAAAGCTAAACTTTCACAGTGCTGATTATAAAATGGTGGTTTTCTTTCTAGCACTCTTTTTACATTTATTTGCTGGCACTTTTTTGTAAAGAAGAGATTTTTCTTTCTACCTCTGTAGTGGCACTGTGAATTCATGGATTCTTTGTTCTTCTTATCTATTGTCCAGGGTCTTTGTAATAAACTACATCTGCAGCAATTTTTTTTTTTTTTTTGAGACAGGGTCCTAAATACAGTGGCCCAGGCTGGGCTTAAACTTTTTTTTTTTTGGTGCTGGGGGTCGAATTCTTTGGGTCCTTGCACTTGCGGGGCAGGTGGCAGAACCACTGAGCTAAATCCCCAGGCCCTGTCCTTATTAGTTTTTGAGTGGTGCCTTGCTTTTTGTCACAAAATATTCTAAGAACACCTTGTGGTTTCCTTTGCCTCAGTCCTAGAATCAGCATTTCCCAGGGAGGCTGGTTTCTTCTAGTGGGAAATGATGTTTAGAAACCAAAATCTGGGCACCAGAGGTGCTTGTTATTGCTGAGGTAGCATTGCTTCTAGGCTTTTTTGGTGGACATACATATTTTTTAAAAGAATTTCCATTTTATACTGATGCTCTCCAGTCAAATCCAATGTTATAAAGATTTTACTTCTTTTACACTTATTTACATTTCTTATGTCCTACACTGAGAATCCTGGTTCCCAACTTGTGTATATGTGTGTTTGCTGTGTGTGTGTGTGTGTGTGTGTGTGTGTGTGTATGTTTGTATGTGCTATTATTTTTTAAGATGATTTCTGGAAAGGTCAAAATATATTTATTCATTCAATCACAGATAGACTAGTTCTGGAATTTGGGCTGTTGAGGATACAGGGCTGAACATAACAAGACTGTGCCTGCTGTCACACAATGGATGTTCCAATGGGAGTTAGTCAGATAACCACACTAAAGGATGTATAATTACACAGTGAGATAAGTACTTTGAAAAAAAGCAGCTGGTTCTAAGCCTGTATAAACAAAGATAATTGAGCCTGGTGGAGTCAGGCTGAGTAGTGAAGGAGGAAGAGGGTAGGTGGGAGGGAGGGTCCATTCAGATGCAAGAATCTCCGTGGGACCAGAGGAGAGCAGGTAACTGAGATAAAGCTGGAGGCTAGGCAGAGTGAAGGAAAATGAGGCTGAAAAAGTAGTAGTAAAAGGTACTAGTGTTTCCTGAGTGCTTATCTCATGCTACACGCTTATTATTTGACCTGGTCTTCACCAAAGTCTCATAAAATTGTTGCCATGTCATCCTTATTTTATGTCCGAGGCTATGGGCATAGCACAGGGAAGTCATCTGTACAGTCAGGTACCTGGGCCTGTACTCTTCTGCAGTGCGGGGATGGAACCCAGGCCTCACATATGCTGGGCTACACCCTCAGCCCAGCCTCCAGGCCTGATGGCCACCAGCTGGAAACTTCCTGAGGTGAGGCAGCACAGGGCTGGGTAGACTCTAGAAAAGACCTTGGGAAGTCACTTGGCGGTTGCCACTAGGGCAGTGATGTGATCAGGCTTCTGTTGGGGGATATTTTTCTGTCTTCAGCATAGAGAAGATTGGAAAGAACCAGAAGGATGTAAGGAAGTTAGGCTGTTATATTTACTCACTCCCTGTTCAGATTGTTTCCCAAACTCTATGATCTTGACAGTGATTCCATGAACATCCTTCAGTGTACACTGTATTTCTGCATATTTATTGATTTCATTGGGATAATTCTTATATGTTGGGTTGCCATGCTGTGGAATAGGGGCATTCACATTTTGGATACTAACATGTTTTAAATTTGTATGTAAGGGAACAGCAGTTTTTGGAATGCCGAATGCATGGGCGATCTTGTTTTTGTTTTTGTTTTGGTACTGGGGATCGAACTCGGGACCTTGCACTTGCAAGGCAGCCAGTGGCACCACTGAGCTAAATCCCCAGCCCAGTGATCTTGTTTTTTTAAAGTCTGAGAAATACTTGGAATGGAAAATGGTCCTCCTAGAAAGCCTTTTCTCTATAGCACTTCTTCAGTCTGACCCTGACAAGAGTTTTCAGTGAAGGGATTCTTAACTGTGAAGGGATGTAGGATTAAGGAAGTTGGTGTCTACGCTGGTACTTTCAGCTAACAATCCACAGAGCCTAAGTTTATTCAGAAGTTTACTGAGGTGATAGTTGGAGAAGCTTCCACGTATGATAAAGGCAGATAACTAAATGTAGTCACCCCTGAAGATAGAATGGGAAAAATTCTAGTAGAATACCTCATCCCTATTGCTTTCCAGCAACTAATTTCAGATTCTTTGTTCACTGTTGTAAATTTCTGATTCTCTACAGATGAGCACAACATGGTGAAAGTTGTGGAACTGGTGGACGCTGTGTACAGTCCTTACAAGCCCTACCAGCTGAAGTACGGTGACATGGAGGAGAGCAACCTGCTCATCCAGATCAGCGCCGTGCCTTTGGTACCTGTCACAGCACTGCCACTGCCGATGTAGGAAGCATTCTGTGTGCCAGGTCCCCCGCCACGTCTGGCAGGGTTGAGGGGGAGGACTTTAAATGCCTCATAGGGTCTTGCAATCCCAGTGTAAAGTGACACCACAAATATGCTACCCGTTTTCTACTTAATATCCCCAATAAAAATCTAGTAAAACGAGAGCCTTCAGTTTGGAGGGTGGGGGGTAAGTTGCCTACCTCTTTATTTTATTTTATTTTTTTGGTACCGGGCCTATCTCTTTGATTTAGTGATTTCCTTTTTGTTTTTGGTACCGGGTATAAAACTCAGGGCTTGCGCTTGCCTCTGTGAGGCAGGTGGCAGAACCACTGAGCTAAATCCCTGGCCTGATTTAGTGATTTCTTATTAGATTTTTTGTTTGTTTGTTTAGGAAGATATACGGATAAACACAGCGTAGCATCCAAGGACTACACTGTGTGGGCACCAGGGAGGCCGTTTCCATTTCAAATCATATTTTCAAGTCATTTAAGGTTTCTAGCGTGAAGTGAGTTGACATGTAAGAATTGATCTTGCTGTGGCTAAAAACTGCTGCCTCTTACCATTTTCATGTTTTCTAGGGATGTACCTAGAAAGTCTGTCCCACTTCAGTTACATTCTTGCCCCTGAAAGAAGCATTTTTTTCCACTACATTCTTTTAGAGTGAGTGATATAGGGAGTTTGAATCCTACCTCAGGAGCCAGAGGGGAAAGTACTATTTTACTAATCATGGAAAAAGAGGAAAGAAGTGAAAATTGTAAGGGTGAATGAAGTAGATATTGGTCCTACTTCTCTGCCAGGAGTTAATTTCCATGGTGTCCCTGATCCGTACACTGTCCTCCCTCAGCTCAGGCTCTAGAAGCACTATTGCAGTTGGGAACAGTGTTTCTGATACCCTACTTAGTGGCTTTACCCCAGATGAGAGGGCTCAGAGGGTCCCCTGTCTTACTGCTATCTACCCAGGGTTCCGGGGTCTCATGTGGCTCTTGATTGTGTGCTGCTGCCCAGGAGCACGGCGAGGTGATCGACTGTGTGCAAGAGCTGAGTCACTCTGTGAACAAGCTCTTTGGCCTGGCGGCGGCAGCTGTTGACAGATGTGCCAGATTCACCAACGGCCTGGGCACCTGTGGCCTACTGACAGCCCTGAAGTCTGTCTTTGCCAAGTAAGCCTGAGGGTGCGGGGAAGGGCCAGCCACATGGGGAGCGGGGTCCATCCCAGTGAAGATGTGTGTGTTCTGTGTCCTGCTGGGAACCCTGGGAAGCACACTGAGCCCCAAAGGATGCCCTGCAGATGTTCCCACAGCGCCCAGTGCAAAGGTGGAACATTTGAAGCAACCCAAGTGTCTGTCCATTAGGCAGCAGCTAAACAATCTGATACATTCATAGGGGATCCTGTGTAGCCAAGCGTTAATTAGATCTACACATATGTGCAGGGGTAGATTTCAGAAACATTGTCAAGTGGGAAAAAAGCATATTGCAGTATAAAATATTATGTGGAAAGAATGTACAAAAACTAGTATATTTTCTGTAGAGAGTTCAGCAAACTTATTCTGCAAAGGGCTAGATAGATAGAAAGTATTTTAGACTCTGTGGGTCTTATGGTATATGTTGCAGTAGAGGCATCTATAGCATAAAAATAGCCATAGACAACGCATAAATGAATGGGTGTGATTGTTTTCTAATAAAGCAAAGAAAAAACCAGGAGTGCTGAATAGGTGAGACCCCATCTCAAAGAACAAAAAAAGAATAGCTGTGGGCAAACTATAGCTCATAGGTCAAATCTGGCCCATGGTCTGTTTTTCATTTTTTTCCTGGTACTGGGGGTTGAACCCAGGGCCTTCACACTGAGCTCCATCCCCACATCCCCAGCCTTTTTTTGAGACAGGATCTCGCTAAGTTGCTAAGTTGCCCAGGTTGGGCTCAAACGTGTGATCCCCTTGTCTCAGCCTCCCAGAGTTTTGGGATTACAGCTGTGCACCGTTATGTTTGGCTGCCATCCATTTTTATAAATAAAAGTATGTATTTGAATATAGCCATACTCATTCACTTAGCTGTTTCCTTTGACTCCTGTCTCATCACGAAGGTAGAGCTGACTTGAAATTCAAAAATATTTACTATTTGGACTTTTAACAGAAAAAAAATTTTCTGAGCCTTTGGTTAGACAGTAAACTCCTAACAGTGGTTATCTTCAGGGATGGAGAAAGACTGGAATGGTGGTCATAGGGAAGTTATCTTTCTTTGTTTTTTTTTATCGTCCTCTGGGTTGAACCCAGGGACTTGTGCATGCTAGGCAGGCGCCCTACCACTGAGCTACACCACCAGCTCCTTTCTTTGTTATATTTTTGATTTTTTAAATCAATAAGCATGAATTCATATTTCTTGTGTTATTAAAATATGAAGTAAAAATTGATGTTAACATTATGCCAGTCACAAAAGGCCATATGTGGCATCATTCCATCTATATGAAATGTCCAGAGCAGGCAGATCTATAGAGAGGGGGAGAGAAAAGATTCGTGTTTGCCTGAGGCCAGGGGAATTTAGCAGAGGTGGGGAATGACTGTTAAAGGATGTAAGTTTCTTCTTGGGATGATGGAAATGTTCTATTTTTTTTTTTGGTACCGGGGATCAAACTCGGGTCCTTGTGCTTGTGCAGCAGGTGGTGAAACCACTGAGCTAAATCCCTGGCCCTGGAAATGTTGTAGTTCTGATGATGGTTATACAGTTCTGGGAATACTGTAAAAACTCCTGAGCTGTACTCTTTAAAATGGGTGCATTGTGTTGTGTGTGAGTTACATAGATCACAGTAAAGCCATTAGCAAAGGACTGGGGAGTGCAGATTAAGGGTAGAGTGTGTGCTTAGCACACATGAGGCCCTGGGTTCAGTCCCCAGGGCCAAATACACACACACACACACACACACACAGACACATATTCATACATACATACAGTTATAGAAAGGAAAGAAAAAGAAAAGAAAGGCAAAGTTAAAATACATTTTGTCAGAAAGAGGAAAAGCAGTGTACGGCTGGCTTCTCTGATCTGCAAAGCTGAGGTGTGAGGGCCTCAGGAGGCTGTGTGCTCTAGTTTCCAGCTCACAGACAAGTACATTCTTACACTCTCCAAGGGGCCCGCTGGGAGTTTGTTCCAAAGTGGAGTTGCCGCGTCTCAAGAGTCTCAAGAGCTCCCGTTTATTGAACTAATGCTGTTTTGCTGTAGGAAGTTTAGGGAGCGCCTGTCATTCCAGAAATACCAGCTCACCCCTGTAACCTGTGAGGGCTGTAGAGGCCGAGTTGGAGCTCTCGGTCATTGCTGTGGCCTTCAGACCTGGGGTGCTGGGAGGGGCAGTGTTCGGGACTGGAGGTGTGAGCAGGTGAACGCAGGTGTGTCTCTTAGAAAGAGAAGCAGCAGCAGCAAGCCTAATGAAGTCAAGTTTCACCTCTTCTCTGCCATCAACATTTTTTGAATGAAAGCCATTTTGTTTCTTGGGATTTAGAAATTTTATCATAAAGTAGCAGAAATAATGCTTTTAGAAATAATCACCCGCCATGTGAAAAGATTAAAAAATGTGAGTCTTCCTCCCTTCCTCTCCACTGTTAGTCTTCTCAAAAGTAACTAGTTTTGAACATTTTGCTAAATTTTAGTTCTGCTGGTTCTTCCCTGTAAACTCTTAGAAAGATTTCTGTTTACTTACCAAGTTTATTGGCTTTCAACTCTCTACTAGGAAAGGTGAGGTCTTGAACTTTTAAAATTTCAGTACAGGGATTGAACCCAGGGCCTTGCACTGAACTAGATCCCCAGACCTTTTATTTTCTTTACTGTGAGTCTCTTAAGTTGCTCAGGCTGGGCTTGAGTTCGTGATGCCCCTGCCTCCACCTCTCAGAGTTCTGGAGTTACAGGCATGTGCCACCATCCCTGGCTTTGCACATTCTCGGCTCTTCCTTTCTGTGTCTCCTGTTTCTCTGAGCCCTTGTTAGACTTTTACCATTAGTTCTTCTGCCCATTATTTTGCTTACTTTGTTTAAAAATAATACATATCCACATTAAAAATTCAAACTACTAGGAGATGTGGAGAAATCAGGTCACCTTCTCTTGAAGGGAAGATTTGGAAGTTACCGAAACACCTCATGTTTATAGAACTAGTCAGGGAAATTGGGTTGCTGCTCACTTGAGCTTGGCTCAGGTGGGACACTGCTCAGTGTTGAGGAGGGCTTGGGGAAGGAAGGCCATTGAGGAAGGCTGAGTAGAGAGGATGGAGCAGACTGGCCTGATGTGAACCAGGAGGAGGCCACGGCGAAAGCAGCCGAGAGGTGCTTGTGGAATCAGGTTTACAGCTGTGGTGGACAGGAAAGCTCGGGCTCAGGACCTGGCCCCCGCACTTACTGGTCAGGAGCTGGGGCAGGACACTGCTCCTTTGAGTCACTGGTGATATTATCCCCTTTTCGTGGTGGTTGTGAACATTAAGAGAAAGCATGTGATTAAAGGCCCTAACAGCAACTCTCAAGTGGTAGCCACTTGGAAATGTGTATCGTGAGACAGGATTGGGAGGCTGGAAGACGGAAAGAGTGTGAGGAAGGCTACGGTTTTATGTGAGATTTCGTGATAAACCCATTTTGAATTCTAGGCTGAAGGGTCATGAAGTCCCCCGCCTGCTCACCTTCCCAGTGAGCTCTGTCCCAGGAGCTCCCGCAGAGTGTGGACTTGATGGATGGCATATTCTTCTTGCGCATACTTGTCATACTGCACAGTTGTTGACACAGTTGTTTAACCTTGCACATTAAAGCAAAATTATGTCCCTTAACATTCCTTGCCAGTCTGTCCTTAGGACTTCCCTACTTCCCCCCTAACAACTGATTCCCTGAGGAAGCTGTCACCTCTCTCCTGGGGAAAGGAAGGTGCCATTGCATGGCTTTCTCCTGCAAAGCCTATGGCCTTTGTCAAGGGCGCAGCAGTGTCTTCTGCGGCTCCTGGAGTGGTCTGAGGAGGTTTCTTCCATTTGGCCCTTGGAATGGCCTTTCTCTGCACTACACACACGTTTTGGGCCCTGGGTCATCATGTTCTACTTTCCCCTCTTGTAGGAAGGGAGAGGATTAAGCTTCTTGTTGTACTCCCAAATGTCAGGTTTTCTTGGCTTCCAGAGGACATGGTGCCCCTTCATCTTCCATCTTCATCACTCTCCCAAGGACATGCACTGATTTGTTCATGTTCCAAGAAGTTTTCAATCGTGTAATTTTATCACCCCAACAACTTCATGAGGTCATACAGAAGACATCATGAAATCCACTTTAAAAAATAAGGAAACTGAGGGCCAGAGAGAGTGAAGCCCTTGCCCAGAGCTACACTGCAAGCCTGTCATCTGCTCGGGTGATTTCGTTTATGTGCTAGTTCCTGGGAATACACCAGGAAGCTACAGTGGCACAGGCCTTGTTCTCACAGAGCTACTAGTCTGCACCAGCAGCACACATTAAACAAACACACGCCAAAAACGCCATTGAATCACAGTGTGGTAGGTGTGATGGGAGGAAATATGTGTGGACAGCAAGAGCAGATAGTCTGTAAGGGTCTCTTGGTGTGCTCCTGTGCTCATGAAGTTGTGCCCTTCCCTGTCTTTGAGCTGGACTTAGCTGCCATGGCTAAAATTCAGGGAATTGGTTTGCAAAAGTACCCCGGATATTGGTAAACTGCCTTATGGCGTCCTGGGCCATAGTCCATTATTACAGTGGGACCGTGTGTTTTTAAAAGTTCTTCAAACCTGATGGGACCAGGGAGTAATTTACCTGTCCCATCTCTTGCCTGGTGGTCACTGGAGTTGTCCACATGACTGTCCCTTTCTGCTGCATCTTGAGCATCTCTTCAAGCTTTCTGCAGGTGAGGAAGATGGTCTTGCCTCATAAAGGAGGCCTTTTAGGGCTCAGAGATTTACAAGTGATCTCACCCCACGGCCAGAGCCTCTGCAGACATTCTCAAAGTCATTAGGAACTTGTCTAATGCTGTCAATTCCAGGTGTCTTTAGAGTGGAGGAATTTATATGACACTCCTGTCGTATGCTCCCTTTTCCCCAGGTATGTGTCTGACTTCACCAACACTCTCCAGTCAATACGAAAGAAATGCAAACTGGATGATATTCCTTCCAGCTCCATTTTTCAGGAAGACTGGACGGCTTTTCAGAACTCCATCAGGTAATGGGGTTGCAGTTTCAGCATGTGCCTAGTGTTGTGGGTATAGTGGAAAGATAATATATGCATTTATAAGCTATTCATTTTTCTCCTTCACTGCCTCTTACAAAAAGCTAATCTTCTAGACTCTGAAAACAAGCCAAAAAATGAAAAACCAAACCCACCATCAATAATAGCGAAGCACCAAAAAAGCCCCTCTACTCATAAAATACTTTTTAAAGTTCTTTATGAATGCCTCATGTCCATTAATGACTTAAATTGTTTATATTCAGTGTGAGCGGGCGTGTGTTCTCTGTCGTGCTATGGTTCTCTGCTCCCAAATGGCTTATCAACTATGCTATTAGATTGGGGTAAAAAGAAATCTAGAAATGTCTTTAAAATCATTCTTTGCGATATATTTTCTAAAGAGCCAGCTACTCTTCACCTGGCCCGCGTCACCCACTTAGATTTCCTGCCTGGGCCTGCGTGCCTGTGGCATGGACAGTTCTCGGCAAAGCGACCCAGGCTGTCAGGTGGCGCCAGCACTGCCTGGGACTGTTGGGGTTACTGCCTCGTGACTCTGTTCCGGCTTTTTATTCTTTCGTGAAATTGAATGCCCTCGGTGCTAACCACATCTTCCATCATCTGTGGTGACTCGACATAGCAGGAAATATTCTGCACAAGTTTGTTGTGTTGCTTCAGAGCGAGTGGAATATTTTACTTTCTCATAAACCTTTCTTATGATGGAATGCCTAGATACCCTGGTGATGATAGCCATTTTTAGAGAAAGTTAAAAGTTAACTAGACTTAAGATATTTTTAATCCTTAGATTTGTCCCGACATTATGAGTTTGGTGTTGAAGGACTTAGTAGCTGGAGTTTGACTCCTGGCATAAAATTACCTGAAGATGAAAGAATTATTAAATGCGTGCGTGATGATCATTCAAGCTTTTCTCTGGGAAACCAATGAATTAATCCTCACCTGCCTTTCATGTGATCAGAGGGAGAGATATACTTCTAGTATCAAAGCGGTTTTTTATGCCTTACAAATAGGCATTTAGCAAATATTAAATAATAAATGTTGATTTTAAACTTTAGATACAAAATATTTCCAATCCATTTTCTCAAAGAAAGAACTCACTGTTTTGGGAAAAACAACAACAACAAAAAACCTCACTCTTTTGGAAAAGCAAGTTTATCTGTGGAGGCGATGGATAGAGTTATGATTCATAGCGGGAATGTTAGTGACATGGAAGATATTGGAGGGGACCATTTCCATCAGTCATCAGTTAGTAAAACATTCAGCTGGGCCAGCAAATGGTCAACAAGTTTCCCAGAACCCAGCTCCACCAAAATAAGCAAATAGTTACAAATTTTATGAGTGAGACAGTGTTTGTCCTGTAAATGTTGGCATTCCAGGTACTTGAACTTGAAGAGCTTTCTGTTTTGTTTAGGATCATAGCCACCTGTGGAGAGCTCTTGAGGCAGTGTGGAGACTTGGAGCAGCAGCTCGCAAACAGGTAGGAGTGGGGTCTCGATGTCCTGTAGCCCAGGGCTCTTGGTTAGGAGGAACACAATTCAGCACACATGACAGCAAGGGCACCAGATGGTCAAATCTGAAAGCCACACGGCTCAAGCACTGTCTGTACCTGGATATAAGGTGTCAATATTGTCACATTAAACATTTATTGAGTCTCTAAGCAGGGCAAGGCTCTGTCCTACTTGGCAGTGGCCATGTGATTGGGGTTTGATATAGAGGTCTCAGCCAGGAGCAAAAGGGCGTGTTGTTCCACATGATGAATGGGCTGAGCTCCTGCCGATGGTTTGTGCACCTGCTATTGGACTGAACACAGGTCCCTACAGAAGCAGCGTTACAGCAGTGCCCGTCTCATAGCATGGGGATTAACCCAGACAGCCCGCCTGCCTGGCCCTGCAGCAGAATTCTGTGCTGCTGAGCGGTGCGTGTCAAAGAAGAGTTTTGGACTGCTCTAGGAAAAGATTGCTCTATCCCCCTTCTCTCCTGTGATACTGCTGGGGTTTTTGTGTTTCTTTGACTTGGCCCCATTTGGACAATTTTTCCCCTCAGAGAACTCCCAACTTCCTAAATTTCCTTCTTTCTTTCAACTAAATGCTTCATTCCCTTAGTACAGCTATCTCTACTCCTTAGGAATTGAGAAGCTAACAGAGGTCTTTTTTTTTTTTTTTTTGGTAACGGGGATCAAACTTGGGTTCTTCCCATTGCGAGGCAGGCGGCGGAACCTCTGAGCTAAATCCCTGGCCCCACAGTGGTCTTTTTTTATTGTTGTTGTGGTACTGGGGATTGAACCCAGGGCTTTTGCATTGAATTACAGGCCCAGCCCTTTAAAAAAAAATTAATTTTTTAAAAATTTGAGTCAGAACAAAGGCAGGGCAGGGGGCATCACAATCCCTGACTTGAAATTATGCTACAAAGCTACAGTGATAAAAACATCATGGTACTGGTAAAACAAAACAAAACAAAACAAAAAAACCCCCAAGGATCAGTGGAACAGATTAGAAGATACAGAAACAACTCTAAACACACTCAACCACCTTATCTTTGACAAAGGGGCCAAACACCTTCACTGGAAGAAAGAGAGCCTCTTTAATAAATGGTGCTTGAAAAACTGGCTTTCCACTTGCTGAAGATTAAACTAGACCCATATCTCTCACCATGCCCTAAACTAAAACAGAAATGGATCAAAGTTCTAAATATTAAAACAGAAACTACAGATCTGCTGGAAGATGGAATAGGTAGAACTCTTGAAGACATTGGTGTAGGCAAAGACTTTATGAACAAAACCCCGATTGTGCAGGAAATATCACAAAGAATCAACAGCTGGGAATCTCATCTTATTAAAAAGCTTTTGCACAGCAAAAGAAATCACCAACAGAGTGAAGAGACAACCCACAGTGTGGGAAAAAATTTTTGCCAGCTCTCCCTCAGACGAAAGACTAATTATCTAGGGTTGGGGATTTAGTTCGGTGGCACCGCCCCTGCCTTGCAGGTGCAAGGTCCTGAGTTTAATCCCCAGTACCAAAAAAAAAAAGGACTAATATCTAGAATATATAAAGAACTAAAAAAAAAATCAGACCCCCTAAATTTAAAGACCCAAATAAAAAAATCAGAAATGAAGAAATACTTCTCAGATGAATAAGTAGAAACAGCAAATATATGTATGAAAAAATGTTCAACATCACTGGTCATTTGAGAGATGCAGATGAAAACAACACTGAGATCCCATTTCACTCCTGAAATGGCTGTTATCAAGAAATGAATCAATAACAAATGCTGGCGGGACTGTGGGGAGAAAGGAACCCTTCTCTACTGTTGGTGGGAGTGCAGACTGGTGCAACCACTGTGGAAATCAGTGTGGAGACTGAAAAAAATAGGACTAGAGTTTCCATTTGACCCAGCTATTCCCCTTCTTGGTAACTTCCTGAAAGACTTAAAAGCATACTACAGTGATACATGCTCACCCATGTTTGTAGCAGCACAGTCTGTAATAGCTAAATCCTGGAAACAGCCCAAGTCCCCATCAACTGATGAGTGGATAAAGATGTGGTTTTTTTATACAATGGAGTACTATTCTGCCATAAAGAAGGATACAGTTGAGACATTTCTAGCTAAATGGATGCACATGGAGAGAGACCTGACTCTTAAGTGAAATAAATCAGATACACACTAAGTACTGCATTGTTTCTCTGGTGTGAGAAACCGAAAATTTAAATAAGGACCAAAATGTATAATAAATATTGGGAAATGGGAAGAAAATGTTCAAATGAGAAGGTGAACAAGGGAGGGGGAAAGGAAGGAAGGGACAAGGGAAAAAAGATAATAGGAAAAAAATGGAAACAGCTTTCGTAAGTAAGGAAGGGTAGAGGGATTGAAGGGAGGGGAAGGGGAATGGGAAAGGAAGGAAGGAAGGTATATCACGTACGTGTACAAATTTCCTACAGTGAATGTTATCATTATGTATATTAAAATGTACCAATAAAATAAATTTTAAAAAACATTTGAGCCAGGGTCTGACCATGTTGGTAAATTGCCTAGGCTGAGCACGAACTTGTGCTCCCCCTGCTTCAGGCTCCCAGAGTGCTGGGATTATGAGGCGTGTACACCATGCCCACTTTGGCAGTGGTCCTTTTTCTGCATGATGGAGTTTTAGTGGCAGCGAAGTCATAGCCGAGGCTCCTGGGAGCAGGGTGTGGGGTAGGGTGCTGCTGAGAAAGGGCCAGACTGGCTCAGAGCCCACACCCTGTGTTGGCTGTCGGCCCCCAGCTGTTCGCCTGCCTTTGTCCCTGACACACGGACCATCTTTTAAGTCCGGGAGTTTTCATTACCACCATGGACCAAGTCTTGCAGCAGGGTAGAGTGGGAGGAGCTGTCACTTTCTGTAACCCTCACACAGCCCAGCACAGAAATTAGGTGGCTTCTTGGAGTGACTAAAACCAAAACAGCACAGGCAGACAGTGGCTTGTGTGTAAGTGATATAAATGAAGTCACCACCACTCCCGTACACACACATGCGCACACAGTGGGAAGAACCTGCTGTAGGGGGCAGGTCTGGGTCAGTCATAGGGAACTCCTAGGAAGAGGTAAAACTGTAGCACTTACATAGATAAAAGAAACCCACGTAGCATGTTATTTTCATAATCATAGTAGTTGCTCATTTAACAATCAAAATCACCAGTATTCAAAATAAAAACTCAATGTACTCAACCTAAAAAATCCTTCTGCCCTAGAGCAAATATAGTCAACAGTCTCCCCACTCCCCACTTTTAAAATTTATTAATTAGATTGAATCCAGACCCTTTGTACCAAGCCATCCCCCCTTTTATTTTAAAGTAGGGCCTTGCTTAGTTGCTAAATTTCCCAGGCTCCCAGAGCGATGAGGTTATAGGCAGGGACCACCGCACCTGCCCCCCTTCCCCACTGTGTAACACTTGGGCTCTGGTCTTAAGGACTTTATGGGGACTGACCCGTTAAGCCTCCTCAGCCCAAAGAGCTAGGTGTTCTTCTCATCTCCATTTTAGAGATAAAGGGATATTGAGGAACAGACTTTGATGTAGGTAATTTTTTTAGGTTAAAAACTTGTTTGCAGAAATAACTGTCTGAGGCACTGATTGGAAGCTTGGTGTGGCCTGGGTCCTCCGAGTCTGTGAGTATTTATCAGACATCTGTTCTCGTCAGGACATGCAGATTTTCCTTAATTTTTTTTACCTTCCAAAGGGTAAGAACAGATCTGGTTAGTAAGGCAAATGGGGTGGTGATGGGTAAAGAAGGAGCCTCTCTAACTGCACTTTGCAGTCCAGAGAGAAGGCTGGGCCCCACTTGGCAGGAGACGAGCAGCCTGGTTGTCCAAGACAGCTGCTGCAGAGCTGAGATCACCCGAGCGCTGTCCCTGGAGAGGGACGGCCACCGCCTGTGTCCCATCTGGGCCGAGCTCATCGTGTCTCCCATCAGTCTCACCTGCAGGACCCGGCTCCCCCAGGTCCACTGGCAGCTGCCTACATTGCTCCAGACCACTGCAGTGCTGAGCCTGCCTTGGGGCTCCAGGCTCCTGAGGTCACCTCTTTGAGGAAGGGGACCATCTTGTGATTTATGGGCCGAGTGAAGCAGCGCTAGTTTGGTGTTATCTGAGAGGTTTGTCCTGGGCAGCTTGGGTGAGATGCAGGGAGATCGCCATGGCCTCTCTGTTCTCTGCGGTACCCACCGCTTAATGTCCGGAACACTGACTGGCATAGCAGTCCCTGACTTCTCACGGTTGTGCTTGCAGGTTTTCAGCTTTATGATGGTACAAAAGGGATGCACATCAGGAGAAACCACACTTTGAGTTTAGAGTTTTCTATCTTTTCAGGACTAGTGATTTCTGGGTTCTAGCCCTCTCTCACGATGCTGAGCCACAGCTCCCAGTCAGTCCTCAGAGCCAGTACTCTGTCACACGCTGTGTTGCTGAGCTAGGGTGTCCAGTGGGTTGGGTGTGTCCAATGTCTTTTGGACGTGATGACAATTTCAATGCGTGAGGCCTTTATCCTTATAAGTCAAGGAGCTGCTTTTACCAGGAAAGGGCCCGCGTAGGACAGTTCACAGAGACAGGTTTGAGGAGCCCGGTGTAAATGTATATGCTCCCCTGGCTGAGGAGTGGGTAATAACTTGGAAAGGACGCAAGTTGAGGGGACAGGTGGTATGGTGGCATCCTCCTCTGTGCTCGCAGCCCGTGTTCTCCTGGCACACGTTGAACTCTCCCATTAATCTCTGAGCTTCATAAAGGCAAGGGCTGTGAAATCCATGTGATGTCCCCATCCTGACTCAGCCTTTCACGGTAATAAGAAAGCATTTCTTGAAAAGAAACCAAGTGTTGGTGAGGTTTAGTTCATAACACTAGCAGCTTGTGGTGGGAGACCAGATACTAATGACTTGGTCACCTGCTGAAGTCTGAATGAAAAGGAAGCTAGGAAGAGATGCCATTAGTTTTGGGAGGCTGGAGTTGTATTTACTCTGACATTTGAAATTACAGTGTCTGCTAGTGAAAATGTCACCCATATACCTAGCTTTCTTTAGTTTGGACGGCAGGATGATGCAGGGGGCGGGTTCCCCTGAGCTGCCTGAGACAGAAGCATATATTGCGGGGACCCCCAAAGGAGAGTAGACTCCAGAGGGCAGTGATTAGGTTGCCCCTGCTCTCTGGTTACTAGGCCCAGGGTCACTGATCATTCAGAAAACTTCCTGAGTGCCTGCCCCGTGCCAGGCACCATGCTAGGTGCTAGGAGCTCCGAGATGCAGAATGCTGAGTTCTGTCCCGGGGTCTGGAGACAGTGGAGTGGGTGACTGTGCTGTGAGCACAGCAGAGGGACGTGGCGGATGGGAGCCAAGGGCCAAGTGCCGGCCTGCAGCATTGGGGAAGGTGCAGGGGAGGGAGCGTGTGAGCAGGGCGTGCACCTGTGGGACTCCGGGGTGGGGGTGGGGCCGGTGGCAGCTGGAGGGGATGTTTGTCAGAATTGGAGGGACCTGCCTGCCTCGCCTAGGCATTTTTAGTTTTATCCTGGATGACAGGTATCTCTGGCAAAATCAGACTTGCCTTTTGGAAAGAGCACTCTGTAACCCTTCCAAGGACAGGTTTAGTGCAGTATGGAAGGGTGAGTGGGGGGGGGCAGCTGGAAGGCTTCCGACAGGAAGCAGAGAAGGCTGGGGTGGGAATAGGTCACAGCTCAACAGACCAAAGACCAGCAAGCTGAAGCAGTAGGACAACTGTGCCCGGCAGAGGTGGGTGGCTGCTTGTAGCAGCAGTAGTTTCTGAACAAGTCTGTGTCCCTGGGGTCTGTTGGCAAGTACAGGCCTTCTTTGAAAAAGAGAGTGCTGCCTGGAAACCCCTGTGCCCGAGGCAGTTTTTGTTTCCAAGAAATTTCATGAAGGAGGGGTCAGGGAATGAGCCACATTTGGGATTTGTTAAAATGCTTCTTCCTGAAATTCTGTGCACATTTACGTGTGGTGGCTGAATGGTAAAGGGGCGCTCGGGAGAAGAGAACGCAGGGTTTTCTGCACAGGGAATGGTCATCCTTGGTGGAAGTGGAGATTCAGCTTCCCAAGCAGAGTAACATGGACTAGCAGAGAACCTCTGCTTGGTGTCTTTCTTTCTTGAAGAAACTGAGAAGCACAGCCTCTCTCAGTAGATCTCTGTAGCATCTGTGCAGCACCACACAGCCCAGCGTGTGGGCAGGGACATCCTGTGGGTAGAGGCACAGGGTGAGCCGCCGTCGCTTCAGCCCGCTGCCAGGCCTGGTGTCTTTTGGCATCTGACTGCCACACAGTGATGTTCGTGTGGCCGGAAAGTCTACACGGATGGTGCACAGTGCTCCAGATGGTCGTAAGTGGAGAGCTGCCCTGGGGTAGGCTGGCTGTCATCTTAGTAAGATGGCATCTTCCGGGGGCATGAGTATTAATAAAAACACCTGGCTTTTCTTGTACACCTGAGGTCCAGCTCCTCCTAAATGACAGAGGGTACCATCGCTTCCTTAGGAATGGGACCTTAATTCAGTCTGCCTCATGAGGCTATCCAGTGAGCTAGTAAGGAAAAATGGGGCTGCTTTAGGAAGAAGGCTCTGTACGAACAGCTCAGGGTATAATAGTCATCACTTTCCTTGCAGGATTTTGTCCACAGCCGGGAAGTATCTGTCTGACTCCTACAGCCCTCGGAGCCTGGCTGGCTTTCAGGAGAGCATCTTGACAGACAAGAAGAGCTCTGCCAAGAACCCATGGCAGGAATATAATTACCTCCAGAAAGATAACCCTGCCGAATATGCCAGTTTAATGGAAATACTTTATACCCTCAAGGTATGGGAGCAGATACATGGCGATCTTTGCAAATGAAAGCTTTTTCTTGTTCCAAGTCTTCTGGCTGTGTGTGGGCCCTGGGCTAGGGTGTTGGGATTTTAAGACACCAATAAACTGAACCCATTGAGATGTAACTGAAGGAGTTGGGTAGATGGATCTTTATTCTGATAAAGCCCAGGTTGGAGAATGTGGCTTTTGACCTTGGCCAGAGGGACCTGCTGTACTTCAGTCCGCAGTTAGGTTTGCCCACAGCATAGGTGAGCTGGGAGCCCTTAGCCCCTGTGCAGTAGAAATCCCCTCTTTCCACATGGCAGACAGGGTGCCAATTAGATGCTGCCCACAGGCAGGCTGGACCCATAGAAGAGGACTCTGCCTCAGCGCTGGAGAAGTCACTCCTTCCCCTGGGGAGGATGGAGAGGACCAGGACCAGGACCTGCTGCAGTGCAGGCTCCCCTGCAGGGAAATGTGCAGACTTGGGGATTATTGTCTCCTCCTGTTTTTTTCTTTAGAGTCTGTTTGTTGCCCGTAAAGCTGCCTTTGACTTTGAACTTTGAGGCCTTTGAGGTCCAGGCCCAGAGAACTTCACAGCCAAGGGAGTGAGTCACACAGCTCCCTGGGAATGGCCCCCAGGGCTGTAAGAGAGCCACAGGCATCTGTTCGGAGCCCTTCCCTCTTCCTGAGGTGGGTTTTGCCCTCACTCTGTTGGAGGAGACGTTGCTGTTCCCACAGCAGCAAATGAGCCTGCAGCTCTGACCAGCCTGGAGATCTGCCGGTGGACCCCATGAGCCTGGGCACATCTGAGGCTCCTGTGTTGCCCTCCCACGGCCTCCCAGCTCTCAGCCCCTTGACCTGCCAAATGGCTGCATCTGATCTTGACCAAGGCTTTTCTTAAACCAATTCTGTAAACTCATTCATCCATGCTTCTGAGATTAAGTTAAAGCAACTCTGTTTATCTTTATTGCTAATCAGATTTATGTCTGTTGTAATCGGTTCATTTATCATAGCAAAACTAAGGTTACATTTTCCATCTCTGTGTTTTCTCAGGCTGTTGTTGGTCCTAAGGACTCACACAGGCTGTACATACTCTGGCTCTTAGCCTAGTATAATTGACCTCACCTCCCTGAGAATCAGGGCTCTGTCCATTATTCTTGTGTTTTTTTGCATTTCTTTTTTTTTGGTACCTGGGATCCAACTCGGGACCTTACACCTGTGAGGCAGGCACTGGAACCACTGAGCTAAATCCCCGGTGCATTATTCTTGTTTTTGATAGGAAGCTTCTGATCTTTTTTCCCTCCTCACCTGTCCCTGAGGAATAGTCACAGGTTAAATTTTCCTAAACTGCCAAACCATGAACTCATGTTAGCCCAAATCCATCAGAATCACCGAGGAAATTGAATTAAAAATATAGTTTCTTGCCCTTGAGGGTGTAGCTCAGTGGTAGAGTGTTGCCTCACACATGTGGGCTGCATCCCCAGCATGGTTTTAAAAAAAGGCGTCTGTCTGTGTGTGGTGTGTGTATATGCACTGGCACGCATGTGTGTGTATGTAAATGTTCCAGGGCTCCAGATCTGGTGGACTCTGATTCAGTATTCCTGGATGGAGCTTGTGAGTCTGTCGTTTAGCTTGCTTCCCAGGGGCCTCGCGCACAGCCTGCTTTTGGAAGTGCTGTGATGTGGAATCCCCTTCACTCTTTACCTTTCAGTGACTTTTCAGTGTGTTTGACTTGTGACACTCAGATTCAGGGCCTGACAACTTGCCTTTTGCATTTTCTTGTCTTAGGAGAAAGGGTCCAGTAATCACAACCTGCTGGCTGCTTCCCGGGCTGCCCTGACTCGCCTGAACCAGCAGGCTCACCAACTGGCATTCGATTCCGTTTTCCTGCGCATCAAACAGCAGCTGCTGCTTGTTTCCAAGATGGATGTGAGTTTCCTGCCCACTGACAGTGATCCTTTCCCCTACCCCCCACTATCCAGCATAGTCTCAGGCCTCAACCTTAGACCTCCCTGGCCCTAAACTTAGGATCCTAGCCGGGGATTTAGCTCAGTAGTTCTGCCGCCTACCCCCCAAGTGCAAGGACCTGAGTTCGATCCCTGGCACCAAAAAAACCCTTAGGATCCTGCATTACTGCCCTAGTATCATTTCAACTTCTAGCTTAGCCCAAATCTCTTCTGATACTTGTAGCTGTGTGGGTGCTTTATTTCCAGGTTGCGTCCTAGGATCATCAATGTTGCCTGGTGGACGTTCCACACTTGGAGAGCATAGCCAGTGTCCTCGGGGAAAAGTAAGGGAGACTGCTATGTAGGCTAGGTCAGAAGAGTGTATTGTCTTTTGAGGTTGACTCGCTTTCATGCCACAGGAAACATTCCTGGAGAATTGGTTCTGGAGCTTTTATTCAGGAGAGCAGCATATGAGGTTTGAATCTGTTTTTGAGGGGGATTTGGAGAGTTTTGCCACTTTCTTCCCTGCCTTTGGTATTTAGCTGTTCTGGAGTCCTCTCATATCCTTGCCTTGTGCTCCTTTCTCTTTTCTGTCTGTCCTGACACTATTTTGAGGCATTGCTTAGAAGCCATATGTTCTCCACTTTCTGCCTTCCTAGTGTCTTCACTTTTCTTTTGGATTACAGGGTGGTACAGCTCCCAGTTAGCTGTGTTACCAGCTCCTCAAGTCCATTGGGATTCCACACTTATGGACCTTAAATACCTAAGAGATCCTTTTCAGAAACAGCAGAACTTGTGTGGCATAATCACAAGGTCTTTGCCTTTCTGCTGCCTTCTAGAAAGTACAGCCGGCCAGGAGTCCAGGCCTCTATCTGATTTTGGTTAAATCTCATCTTCTCCTGGGGCTCAGAATCTCCATCCATATAATGACTCAGTTTTACTACATAAGTTTAAGGTTCCTTCTAACCCTGACATTTTATGATTCTGACTCTGTGAAATGCCGTGGGGTCAACTCCTGTCAGGTTCTGCATTTCTAGCATAAGGTGGAAGGGAAGAGCGGAGGGGAGCTGCAGCGGAGCTGACTCGGGGGCCAGGCGGTCAGGTCCCAGACATGACCCATGCTCGGTCCTGTTGCATGCAAAATGGAAGTTACCTGTCCTCCTGTGAATCTCTGCTCCAATCTCTTTCTCATGGTAGCACGTAGCTCTCCTCATGTAGATCCATGAGGGTTAAAGGAGATTTTGTACATGATAGCATTTTGTACAGCACCAGCCACAGAGTGCATGCTTAATAAGTAGTGGTTTTCTTCCTTTCTGTGATTCTGGTTTTTTCAAAAGGAATGACACCTATATATATATTCATTTGCAGAAACTGAACCAGTATAGGAAAGAATAAAGAAAAAATGCAACAAATCTTTTCAGAATGGCACCATCCAGAAATAAGCAGTGTAAACATTTGGTGCTGAGCAATCCGGACTTCATGCCCACTCATAGATACTCTGAAAGTTGATAGATCCACGGGAAAAATGGAGTTATATTACACATGTTACTTCTAAAAAAGCAAATTGTATACAATATAAATTTTTCAACTAGGAAAGAGAAACTAAATGAAACCAACAGAATTGTTGGACTGGAAATCATTGTTTCTTTTATTTTTGTTTTTTGTTTGTTTGGTTTTTTTTTTTTTGGTACCGGGGATCGAACTCGGGGCCTTGTGCTTGCGAGGCAGGCAGCAGAACCATTGAGCTAAATCCCTGGCCCTGAAATCATTGTTTCTTTATCACCAAAGATATTAGCTCCTGGAAGATCGGTGCAAGATTAAGGAAAATAAAGATTATAGAATCATTGCTTTTTGTTAATTATATTTTTATTTTAGGCAAATACCAATATTAATTCACTTGTTTTGAGGGAAGAGGAGATTTGTATTCTTTACATGTGTCATCTCTCCTCCCTGTCTCTGAATTCATTGGCTCTTATATTTTTTTTCTGTTAAAGCTTAGCATACTGACCTTCCGTTCTGAAACCTTCATTTTCCCGGTTATTTGGCCGAGTGCTACATTTAACAGGTTTAGTGCTTCTTGGCTGCCCTCTTGCCTCTACTTCTGCATTCCAGAGTTCATGATCACGGTTTAGGCCGGGCTGTGGGCTCTCACTTTCCCCGTCAGGCTTTCCCACAACCTTGTGGACTGCCGGGAACACACGTGGCCAGCTTTGAAGCTTAGAGGGAGTCCCCTGGGAGCGGCCCACGCCACACAATACAAAGGCAAACACTTGGGCCTGAGGATTTGGAAACTAAACCCCAGTCGGTAGCTGCTTGTTGTCGACATTCGCTGGTAAATTGTATTGTACTTTTAGGTTGTAAGACCATAAACCAACACTACATTCAGTTTCAGAATAGACATTGACATTTACCTCTATTATCTGGTGACAGATGGATAGAAAAGCCCATTTGAAAGATATTTACAGTAAACCTTGAGCAGTTAAAACTAAGCTACAGCATTTCCCCATTGTCCTCTTCAAGTGCACTTTTGCTTGCTTTTGAGCATCTCCTTAATCCAGGGCACTCTGTCTGGCCCTCTTTGTGAACTCCTTTCCGTGCTGCTCTTTCCCGGCCTCCTGCACCCGAGCTCATTCCCTGCATCCTCCTGCCTCCTCTCTGAAGCCCGCGGCCTTCTCTGGGGTGGGTGTAGTTGGCGGTGACACTGCTCTTTGCCCCAGCATCAGCCCTTGCTCCCGTCCTTCCATGTGTGTCACCGCTGGTCTCCCGGGAGCAGTTGCTCCCCCACCCTGTCCTCTTTGCGTCCACCACCGATTTGCACAGTCAGTGCCCTTGTGCGGGTTCTCCACAACCTGGAATTGCTGTTGAGCTTTTCATCGCCCTCAGCAGCGCTGCTTGCTGCAGATATCTTCGCAGAGCCCTGCTCTGATGTGGTTTCTCCATCAGAATCTCCCTCCCCAGGGCTGATCTCATAGTCTCTTTTTAAAACTTTTTGCTGTGGGAATTTTCACACATATCCTGAAGGAAAGAGAGAGTGTAAGGAACGTCATATGCTTGCATCACCTGCTCCTGGCCAACCTGTTCCGAGTATACCCCCTCCTCTTAAAGTATAAGGACTCTAAGAACACTCACAATACATAACCACCCCTAAAAAAGAGAGAAAAGATAGCCACTTAAGATCATCCATTAGTGTTCAGATTCCCAGTTGTCTTATCCATGGGATCCCAGATGCTGCACAGTGAAATTTATTTGTTGATGGTAATACCTTTCCCTCACCGGGTGTTCAGAACTGTGCGTTCTCCTTCCACCTTTGTTTCTACCTTTGTATGCCACATGCATCCTGTGGCCAAATCCTTCCTTAGTCACCCTGAGCTTTTGCTCCCCTAAAGGATATAAAACCTTGCATCTGATGTGAGATCTGTCAGTGGAAGCCTGCGTGCGTGCGCGCATGTGTGGGTATGCACAGGGAGAACAGGAGCGGGGAGGACAGGCCAGGGTGGGAGCTGGGCAGGGTGGGAGTGTCCCGGGTCTTGCTTCCCCAGGTAGCTTCTGACACCAGGACCAAGTCCTGCATTCCTTTGTGTCCTCTCTGCAGAGCTTATCATGAGACACCGTTCATCTCGGGTACTTGGTAAGCACAGATGGTTGGAGCGCTCCTCCTCAGTGAATCGGGGGTTCAGTAGAAAAAAATACAAGCTGTGTTGAAGTGAAAGTGGAACCTCAAGCAAGAACAAGGAGTCTAGAAAACTAAAGTGCAGGAAAGAGTGGGGATGAAAAGATCTCATCTCCAGCAAAGAAAGTGTGCCTGAATCGGGTGGGCCCCGTGGGGAGGCCTCATATGGAGGCTTAGCCTGGGCTGGCAGCCCCGTGAATGTGTCATTCCATTCCTGGAATGCCCCTTAAAGACTCAAGCAACCAGATCGGGCATCAGGTGGCTGATGAGAGCAGCTTCAGTGTAACCTTGGGGGTCACTCCCAGAGGCAGCAAGGAAGGGCCTTATATTCCTGGCCAGCTTTAGGGCAGCTTGGGGTCTTGTGAGAGCATGCCATGCTGAAGTTGGAAGCACATACGTCCTGCTGATTTACCTACTCATAGGATAGTGGGAAGCCACGCAGCGACATGAGAGACATTTCCGTTTTAAGTGGCAAGAGCTGTGTGCTGGTACTGAAGTCCTCCCCCTGCCAGAGGGCACAGAGTGGACAGAGGGCAGCGCTTGGGGTCTGATACCACTCCTTGTTCCTCTGAGTTCCCAGTCAGTCAAGAAATAGAGCCCCAAAGTGGATAGAAATAAAAGCAGCCACTTTACCCTGGGGCAGAGTAATTTTGGTGACTGAGGTTGGGCTGTTCCTGGCAGAGGGGCTTCCTGAGCCTCCTCCCACGGTCAGGGCCTTCCACATCGACTCTGAGGAGAGGTATGAGGTGTCCCATCCTCTTCAGAGGCCTGAAGGCTGAGGTTAGCAGAGCTGTCTGCACTCAGCAGCGTTCTGTGGTGACCGGCGACCCTCACCATGCAGAGAAACTCAGGCCAGGGGGCGTCTGACCCTCTTCACATTCTCTGTGAGATGAGCAAAAATCCCTTTGACCCGGCACGTAGTTGGGCTGAGCAGGTGGGTGTGCCTGTGCTGTGAGTCTGCAGGAATTCGGAGAGAGACAGACAGACGGACAGACACTGACTGGCTGCTGTCTCTAAGGTGGGCTTCAGGGAGCCTTGGGGAGGAGAAGCCCCTGGTCTGCTGAGTGCTGGTAGTTCCAGAGGACAGCTCTGACCACAGCCTGCACCCTGCAGTGAAGACCACGGCCTTTGTGTCCTTCCTCTGCACCTTCCAGGGCTGCCTGGTTGCCGTGGCCTTGACTTTCTGCCCTCCCTTCCTAGAGCTGGAACACGGCCGGCATCGGAGAAACCCTGACGGAAGAGCTGCCCGCCTTCAGCCTCACCCCTCTCGAGTACATCAGCAACGTAAGCCTCTGGGTGCTTCTCCAGGCTATCCCCACTCTTCAGACCTCACCTTGTCTTTTGATTCTGGCCCTCCGAGGTAAGGTAGTTATCACCCCTTCAGTGCTGACCAGACCTTTGCTTTTGGATAGTCTACACCCAGATCTCAGAGTTGAGGCAAGTGCAGCAGAGCTACAGAGCAGGTTCAGACCCTGCGATGCTCTCGGCCTTCCCTGTCTCTCCCAGCGTGAGACTGGCCAGTCCCTAAGGGCGTCAGAGTTGAGTGTCCAACAGGAAATTTTGATATAGGAAATCAGGAAGCAAGTAGCCACATCTTTCTCCATAGCTTTTCATAAGAGCAGCATGTGTGTGTCAAGTTCAGCGTTTAGTGACCACCTACTGTGTACCAGGCTCTGTGCCGAGTGCTTTCATGTTTAACCTCACAGCAGCCATACAGATCTCTTCAGAACAATTGTTATGGAGGCTTCACATTAAAAGAGAGCAGAGCAAACCTTCAGGGGGCAGGGGCACTTGGCCCTTTTCTTCCCACTCACCCCAGGGGGTTGATGGTCACACAGGTGCTCCGCACATGGCCTTTCCTTCCACACCTTCCTGCAGTCCCCTCCAGCTCAGTTGCTCTGAAGTGCTGGTGTGTGCAGGAAAGACTACGGGAGTACTGTGCCCCGGGGCATGCGCTCTCACATCCTGGGAAAATTGTGGGTTTCCAGGTTATTTCTCCTGTGTGCCCGTACCTGAGAATCCACCCCTTATCTGAGTCATGACTATCGGAATAGGTAGACAAACCTAGGGAGTAAATACTGTAGCTTCTTTTCTTAAGGATAGGAATGGGGAGTAGGAACAGCTCCTGAGAGGCCGGAGTGGTGCCGATGGTTTGCCCAACACTGTGGAGTTCGGAGTTTGCGGCAGATACACTGGCCACCACCGGGATGGGGTGTTCTGTCTGCTCTGCTCTCCTGGGACAGCGTGGAGACTGCAGTGGCAGATGCCTGCCTTCTGCTTTTTGGTGCACTGCCTGCTCGCTTGGACCAAAGACCTCTTAAGATAATCGTATTTTTAGAATCCAGACAATATGCATTACAGGCTCTATGGATTCAGAAAATGATGTCGCTGGAAGGGACTTGAGAGGTTACCGCATTGATGTTAAGGTTGAAGAAAGGAGGGCTAGGATGAATCTCAGGGTCATGGCCCTTTCTGGTCCACTGTGACCTGAGTTGTAGGTACCGTTGTCTCTAGAGGCTGCTGACCTGGACCCGGGAAGGGAACATATGTCAGGCTTGCACTGATCCCCTGCAAGGACAGTGCCATGAGCTTGCTGTTCAGTCGTGCGTATCCCGTGATATTAATCTCACCCGCACAACAGCCCCTTGATGAGTTCGTCCTCATTTCAGAGACCACGTAAACAAGATCCCAACAGAGTTCATTGCCCAGAGTCACAGTGGCAGAGCCAGGATGTGGCCTAAGTCCATCTAACCCAAAGCGGTTCATTTTTCTCAAGTCCTAGAGTTTACTCAAACAGGGTGTCAGGAGTGACCTGTTGAATATGTCAGCACCATAGACAGATCTACAGGTGTGGCTATTAGCATCTTTTCCACATTGATTTCCCAAGAATACTGTAAACATCAATATGATTCCCAAGCAAAGCCTGGAGTCATTCCCTACAACCTAAGGCCAGTTTGTTGAAGTTTGAGAGGTCAGGTTATTGGAACTTTGTGTCTAGGTGACACTTGGCCTTGCTGATGACTACTCAACCCCCAGATTCATGAGCATCGTAAAAGGGTCAAGCATGAGAACATTTTAAAACAACCTGTGCACCAGGCATAATATTGATGAAGCTTTATCTCACGTAAAACTGGGTCAATGGAATTAGCCAAAGTCTGGTAGCTGCAGATGAAAGGTGTACCAAATACAAGAATAGCTAGGGCTTTGGCACATAGTAGGTGCTCAAGAAGTGCTTGTTGGGTGCAGTGAGGTTTTTTTTGTTTTTTTTTTGTGGAACCGGGGATCGAACTTGGATCCTAGCGCTTGTGAGGCAGGCAGCAGAACCACTGGGCTAAATCCCCAGCCCTAAGAAGTGCTTGTTGAATGGAGTTACAGGGAGGAAATTCCAACACCAGAAGGCAGCATCCTTCCCTCCCTCCAGACTCGTGGGGAGGTGATGAACATATTGCCATTTTCAAGTGAAATGTACAGTGCTCCCTGTTATAAGTGAAGTAAGTGGCCACTTGCCTAATTTGGTTGAAGGATTATACTAAGTAAATAAATGAAAGGGAAAAAAGTGACATTTAACCATCTGTGAAGCTCTTTGGGGGAAGACCAAATTAAGACTTTCTTGTTAGCACTGTGGACCATTAGCTGTTGTGTCTCACCGTGGCCAGCCCATGATAAAGGTTTGGAAACACAGGTGGAATCCCCCAAGCTCTCTGAGATGGTGGGTTTTGGGGTCTGTGTTGACTTCTGGGTGCCACTTTCTGAGAGGAGCTTGTCACTTTGGAGGCAGTGCATGAGGCCAGGTTGGAGGAGCTGACTTTGATGTCCTCTGACGTGTAGCTCGCAGAATTAAGTATCAGTGACGAGAATGTCATGAATAATGGCCAAAAACCAAAACCAAAACACAACAGGCTCAATGATTTTAAAAAAAGTGTTGTTTCAATTAAAAAATAGCCTTATTTTGAGATAAAGCATGTACTTACCGTACAGCACGAAACAATTGTGAGTTGAAATAGAAATGGTGCCTAAAATATACCCACAATGACAGTTAGAGGCATCCCTGACAAATGTGAGACAGAGAGTGTGTTAACTACAGGCTCGTCCCTGTTGTCGGATAGCCTATCCTTTGTGGCTCCCCACAGCCAGAGTTGGGGATTTTTATTTTCTGATCTTAATTTTCTAGTTTGTATTATGAAATAGTATTAATTTTCTTTCCAAATTAATTTGTAACTATAAATTGCTGTTTTCAGACAAAATTCCTTCCTTCTCCTGGTTAAATCATCTAGAAGGGAGAGAACCAGATCCAGATCTAGAGGACAGGGTTTGAATTCCTGGTCAGCCGTGTACTTGTTGGCATTAGCATCTTACAGGCTTTCGTCTGTGAACAGCAGTAACAACTCATATTTACACAGGGCTTTAGGTCAGACAAAGCACTGTGCTCTCCATTACCTCACTCGGGGTAGGTTGTGTTGAACATTCCAGAACACTAAGGCCTTTCCTGAGAAGGATGCAAATACAGTCTTATGCAAATGACTTTTGGTTTGATTTTTTAAAAACATGTTGCCTTAGTCTTACCACACACTGCTCATTCCCACTAGTATCACCACATGCTCATGCTCGCGTGGACCCCGCAATTTTGTCTCTTCCCTTCATCTGAATGCCCCTCCTGAGCTTCTGTGTCAGGCTGAAAGTGCCTTCTTTTGTTTCAGATCGGACAGTACATCATGTCCCTGCCCCTGAATCTTGAGCCGTTTGTGACTCAGGAGGACTCTGCCTTGGAGCTGGCCTTGCGAGCCGGGAAGCTGCCGTTTCCTCCTGAGCAAGGTGAGAGTGGGCACCAGAAGCAGCTCGGGGGCTTCCAACACCCACTCCCCTCAACACATGCATCTCCGCAAACTTCCGCTGAAACAGCTGTCAGGATATTCCTTGGGAACTAAGGAAGACTGGGCCATGCTCCCACTCTGAGGCCGAGTCCTAACGCTGCTTTGCTGTGTGCAGAGCACTCCCAGGAGCTGTGCGGAGCCCCCGAGGAACTCTCCAGGTTCCCATGAGGTCACAGAAGGCCCCGCCCCACCAGCGCTCATGCCCTCTGCTCCCTGACCCTGACGTGGGCCTTGTGCCACATGGTACAGTGCCACCGCACAAGAGCAGTTTTGCTCTAGGTCAAAAATCAACTCTTGGACGTAAAGGCAGCATTTCTTTTCCAGATGCCTCTGGCCATAGCTTGCTTCTAACTCCACAGGCTCCTCGATCGAGGCAAAATTACAAAGAAGTTTAAATTCTTCCTTTTGTAAATTACTTGGGCCAGACAGATTTCAACAGGGACCACATACTTGCTGATCAAAAGTCATCTTAATTCTTAACACTAGGCATCATAGGTTCCTCCTCACCCTTCTTGCGAGGTTGCACAAAGAAAAAAAATCACTTGCTTGGTGGATTTAGCAGTTCCTAGGGAGTTACCACACTGAAGAAAAAAATCACCTCAGAAGGTTAAATATAAGCATGCTAAAAGATATCCTGTGTAAATGCAAATAAAAAGAAAGGATGACTGCATATCTGTAAGATGAAGTCACTTCAAATCAAAGATAGCAATTGGGACCAAAGTGATTCTTTTATGTCGCCAAAATACAGATCCCACAGTGAACTGTAATAGTCACACACCCATCAGTGTCAGATAACACAGCACTGAAATATAAAAAGAGCAGCTGTCAGATAATGTGATAGGAATTTGGTAGAACCACATTACCTTGGAGAAAACTTTTCTTTTTGGCTTTAACAGATCAAAAAATTAATGAGGGGGCTGAGGATTTAGCTCAGTGGTTCCACCATCTGCCTTGCAAACGAAAGGTCCCAAGCTCGATCCCTGGTACCAAAAAACAAACAAAAAATTAATGAGGATGAAAGAGGAATTGATCTGAGTGGAGTATCATGTGTTTGTAGTCCCTGCTACTCAGGAAGCTGAGGTGGGAGGATTGCTTGAACCCAGGAGTTCTGGACTGCCCTGAGCAGCGTAGAGAGACCTCATCAGAGAGAGACAGAGAGAGAGATTGAGCAGGATAATGAGTGTGCTTCATTTAATCAACACATCAGACTTTTATCCCATAGAAAAGAGACATTGTTATCAGATGCCCATAAATCATCTGCAAAAATGCTATTAACAAGCTGGCCCTGGTGGTGCATGTCTGTAATCTTAGCACTCAGGAGGCTGAGGCAGGAGGATCACTGTGAATTCAACCCCAGCTAGTGCTGCATAGTGAGTTTAAGGCCAGCCTGAACTACAGAATGAGACCACCGCAAAAAAGCCCAAAAAACCAAAAACCAAAAATGTTACAGATGAAACTTCTGTAAGTTTCATAAGATTATAAACATGAAGGACATGTATATGATTTTTTAAAATGACAGGTATTTACAGTTTAGACTTTAACATGTGAAACTCGGTAAGTGTGTTAGTTACTTTTCTCTCATTCTGAAGACAAAATACCCGACACCCAAAGTTGAAAGGGAAGGGTTTATTTGGCTTACAGTTCGTAGCAGTTTCAGTCCATAATCGGCTGACTCCGAGGCAGGGATGACAAACAGGCACGACAGAGCAGAAACAACATGGTGCACACAAGGCAGCAAAGGTAACAAGGGATCTTAACAAGGTCTCCCTGCCCTTTTATTCAGACCACTTAGGGCAGGGTGAGTGGCACTCACACCTTTAACCCTAGTGCCCCTGAGCCTAGCATTGCATCATCCATTCCAGCTTCACACACTCTGGATCAAGCCTGTGACCACATGAGGCTTTTGGGGGACATCTAGACCCTAACCCTAACCCTAAGCCAAAGTGTGAGTGAATGTTAGTATACTCTTAGGAGTAAGGAAGGGGAGACCTTTTATTTTTATTTTTATTTATTTATTTATTTTGAGACAAGGCCTTGCTATGTAGTTCAGGCTGGCCTTGAACTCACTACATAGCCCAGGCTGGCCTCAAACTCATAGTGATCTTCCTGCCTCAGCCTCCCAAGTGCTAGGATTTCAGGTGTCCACCACCACGCCTGGCAAGACCTTTTAAAATGAAAGAGAAACTGTAGAGGAAGTTGAAGAGTAAATGATAAATTGGAAGAAATAGCCACATTTATGACCAATGATTTTATAAAAGGTTTTACATATCAGTTTAAAAAAAGGTTGCGTCCGAGGATTTAGCTCAGTGGAGCCGTGCCTGTCTTCCAAGGTCCTGAGTTTAATCCCGGTATGGGGGGGGGGCAATAAAAAAAGGTAAATACCCCATAGAAAAATAAGTAAATAACAAAGGCATTCACATAACCTAAAAACACATGAAGATGTATTAACTTCATTATCTTCAAATAACTGCATGAGAATAGGATATACTATTTTATAAATGATTGCATTGTGTGTACACATACAGTTAGCCCTCTGTATATGTGGGTTCCTCATTTGAGGATTCAACCAACATGTATCAAAAACATTCGGAAAAAACCATTAGGTTTGTACCAAACATATACTTTTTTTTCTTGTCATGATTCCCTAAGCAAAACTAACAACTATTTACATAGTTTCGCGCTGGATTGGGTCCTACGGATAATCTACAGCGGACTTAATGGAAGGAGGATGTGTGTAGGTTACATGCAATACCAAGCCATTTTATGTCAGGGACTTGAGTACCTCGGGATTTCGGGACCTGCGGGTGTCCTGGAGCCAACTGCACAGATGCTAGGGACACTGCATTTATACTAAAGTGATTATATTTAGTATTGGTAACAATGAAGGAAGCAGTTTAAATTGTACAATTTGAATTTCTGGATTGCTGTTTGACCTAAGGTCAAAGGCCTTAATGATGTACATACCTTTTAGGTCAGGAATTGTACTAGATAATTATGCTAGTAAAGTAGTTACAAGTATGAATCTATCAAAGCAATACATTGAAAAATGAGAAACTAAATATTAGATTTTATTAGTACATCCTATAGTGAAATGCTGTGTAGCCATTAAAGTATTATAAAAGAATATTTAATCACTTGGAAAGCTGTTCTCAGCATATGCAATGTGAAGATCAGTTATGAAGTGGTGTATGTGGCATGATTGCATTTTAAAAGCTCTATGAATATAAATGCAGGAAGGAGAACCCAGAGCACTGTGATCCACCACTGTGAGTCGAGTTGTCACGTCCACTTTGGGAACAGCTTGTCATCTATAGAAAAAGGGGTGATGTGCCTACTACCCTTTGGCCCATCGGGTTTCAGTCCTAGATACAGACCCGAGAACCTCTTCCACGTGTGTCCCATGGACATCTAGAAGCATCTTTGTCATGGCTTGGCAATAGCCCCAATCTGGAAGCTACCCAAATGTCCGTCAACCATAAAGTGGATGCATACTTTTATAGTATGGCGGTGCAGTGACATAGTAAATAATATGAAAAAGGAACAGACCATAGCTACATGACATGGATAAATCACAGTCATCCTGGTGAGCAAAAGAAATGAGTCAAAAAGAATCCACTCAGCCACAGCTAGACAGCACAGTGGGGTCCGTGTGTGGGGACAGGCAGTGGGTGGGGTGGGAGGAGGGCCATGAGGCCGGCCGCTGCCCTCTGTGTGTGCCTGTAGGGTGTGGGGTTCCTGGGTACTGGCGGGAAGGCACCCGGGAGGTGTTTCGTGGCCATGGGCTTTGTGGTTATTCTTCTGCAATCTGTTTTATGCATTCTGCCATATGGACGATGTACAGTACCTTACGATTTAAAGAAGAAATATGAAAGATAGGACCTTGTAGATGGAGAATCAATTGGCAAAGCTTTGTCTTTATCAGGAGTCGCAGTAAACCCACCTGCTGGAGGCAGCGGCTCCTCTCTTGTGTCCGTTCTGGAGAAACCCACATGTTTGTCCCCACAGAGGTGCCTAAGAGGCTCATTGCTGTGTTGTTCATAGTGTCAGTTCAACACAGTGCACGTTGTTCTCACTTGGGAAGTAGTTAACTATCTCGTGATGGCTCTGTAATTTATAAATTTTCTTTATAAGGAATGAGAACCATTTGTACTTACAATGAAGATCTGCAAGAACATTGTTAAAGTAAGTTACAGGGCCCAGGATGTAGCTCAGCAGCACCGCACCTGCCTTACAAGTGCAAGGTCCTGAGTTCAGTCCCGGTACCAAGAAAAACCAGAAAAGAAAAGAAGGTATCAAATAATACACAATAATTTCTGTGCTTTGAAAACTGTCATTCTGTGCATCACATACTCATGTGAAAGCACCGAGACAGATCTGTCTGGAAGAACACATACTGCGGGGAGCAGGGCTGCCCTAGGCAGGAGGGGAGCAGAGGCATGAAGGGCTTGTACTTTTACTCACTAAATTTCACTACTGCCTGCATTTTTTTACAAGAACATATTTTTCTATTATGTATAAAAATACACCAAATGTTAAAATAATCATTATTGAAGGGCTATGAGGTCATATAACTGATTTTTATTTTCATCCACTTACTAATGTAATTTTAAATTTTTATTTATTTATGGAAACTTGCAGGGATCAAACCAGGCCCTTGTACAGGGAGGGGAATCACACATCCGCCTCTGAGCTACACCCCCAGTTCCTTAATACGCTTTTTACACTCAGCAGTTTTTTCCACAGGAATTTAATACTCAGATAATATAATCCAGCCTCAAGAACAGCTCTTTGTTTTTATATTCCCCTCACTTTTTTTGCTGGAGCAATTAAATCAAATCTCAGATATCATATCATTTCTCCCATAAATGCTTTATGTGTCCCTCATTGGTAATGATTAAATGCTGGCTCACATTCTGTGGGAAGAAGCTTGTGATACTGTGTATGCTGTCTTTTGCATCATATCAGGAAGAACATAGTGTCCTCTTGTTCCACTAAAATATATATGGGTACACTGAGCGTGTAATTGTTTTTACTCACGAGCTCATTTACTCGCTCTCTTAGCAGAGCTTACTGGTTGTTCACTGCATGCTCAGCACCGGGTTGGGCAGTGTTCAGATGGCCTAACCACAAAAAAAAACCCTCCAACCTGGTCAGAAACATAATAATACCAACAGCAGCCAATCTGGCTGTGTCTTTTTCTCTTCCTTTGTCTCCACATTTTATTATGGCAATCTTTAACATACAGAAAATTGGGAAGAATTATACAGTGAACATCCATATACAATCTGGTAATTTCTAGCATTTTACTTAACCTTGCAAGTTATAAGAACCAGCTGGTGCACAGGTAAATAGCTTTTCCTGAGGGATGCCGTGGAGGTTTAAAACCTCTGAAGTCCTTAGCCCAGGACTTGCACTTCATGTGTCGGTGGTACAGACCGCTCACCACAGGAAGTCCCCGCACCGCGGGGAGCTGGCCTGCCGGGGCGCAGCTGAGGTAGCGGCTCCCTCGGGCTCACTTGCAAAGGCCTTGCTCAGACTGTTCCTCAAGTCACAGGCAAAAGCTAAGGTCGGGCCAGCAGACCTGACTCCATCGTCTGTTTCTGGAGTTTCCTCCCCCAGACCGGATTGTGTATGCACGTTTGCCTTGGGCACATTTGTGCGCACCGACCCTTTCGAGGGTCAGGTGGCCCAGAAGAGTGCGTCCTGAGCTCTTGCCTGGCTTTCTGCCCCCAGGGGACGAGCTGCCCGAGTTGGACAACATGGCCGACAACTGGCTGGGCTCCATTGCCAGAGCCACGATGCAGACCTACTGCGACGTGATTCTCCAGATCCCCGAGCTGACCCCGCACTCCACCAAGCAGCTGGCCACGGACATCGGTGGGTGCCCATGGCCAGGTGGGGGCAGCGCTGCAGCTGTCTTTCCCCCTTGGCCTCTAGGAATGTACCCATGTCTCTTCTTACCATCGACTCTGGATTGGCCATGAGGCTGGTTAAAAATGGAGACTCACCGGGCCCCATCCCAGGCATTCTGATTTAATCAGTCCAGGTGCATCTTGGCCATTGCCGAGGGGGATTCTGATAGGCTGCTGAGGGCTAGAGGCCCCCCAGGAGAGCTTCAGGAAGTTGAGCTGGAGTGAGGGAGCAGGCTCCCACTGTCCTTCTATACTGTGGACACAAATAATTACTGACTACTGTTGATTAAGCAGTTCCTGGGTACCAGCATGCCTGGCACCGAACCAGGCCCTCGCGTCCACTACCTTGTGCAATCCTGGGGGAAGGTGGTCCTGCATAGCAAGGCCACTAGCCAGGGCCACTCTGTGGTCTCCATCAGCATCCAGCCTGTCCCCAGGCAGAGGCCTTGTCCCCACGTCCCCATGTGACCCTTTGCTGCAGGTCTTCACTGCTCAGAGCCTGGGGATGCTGCTGGCAGGTGGCACAGGGGTCTCCAGGTTCTTGTCATTTTGCCATTGTTCTGGTTGTCTTGTGCCCAAGGCAGCTCTCAGAGTGGTTGAGAGAAAGGGTGGAAGGGGCCTGAAAGATCGGCCCCCTGAGGACCAGCCAGCGTGTTCACCTGGGGGGCGGCAGGCTGAATCAACAAACTCCTGCTTCATTTTGCAGCAGAAGAGTTGGAAGTGGGGACAGCCCTGCAGGTTCCAGAGTGGCTAGGCATGGGGCCAGCCTGCAGCTAGGCTTGATTGCCAACTCTGCTCATTTCATAGTCAGCTCTCAGCAGTTGCTGGAGGAGCAGCTGGATTTTTGCCCATTTCTCTAGGTCCAGCATGAAGAGAAGAGAAATGAGGAAAGTCAAATGTCGGGATCCCCTGTTAGCATAGGCAGGAGCACGTGGCAGAGAACCAACTGGGGGCAGGGAGTGAAGTGGGATTCAGGACGGCCCCTAGATTTCAGTTGTTCGTGTTGTTTCTGGGCCCCACGCCGGTAAGCTCTAGATTCATTTGCTCACGCATTCAGCTTGGACTGGGCACCTGCTGTGTGCCAGCCGTAGTGCTGGGAGGTGGGATGGGACAGATTTAGGTACTCCTTTGCTCACTTTGTTTGCACTGTAAGGGGCTGGGTTAAGGGCTGGGAAGGTGAGGCCAGTGTGTGACGCCACCTGGGTGTAAGACAGCGGAGAGACAGGTCTGTGGCAGTGCACGCTCACCGGGAAGACTTTTAAATTAAGGATTAACGTAAAGAGCAGAAAACGCTGCTGGCCAAACAAAAAAAAAATCTCCTGGTGGTCCAGGTGCTCCCATTTACAGCATCTCGCTTAGGGCCAAGTGGGGCCCACAGGGTTGGGGGTAACCCAGTGAAGCAGCAGGTCCCTTCCTGTCTGTGCTTCTTCCCTGGAAATCAGCTCATCCTGAGTTGGAGTGAGTTGGCCAGGGCACTGCTGCCTCCAGGGCTGGCCCTGAGCCAAGCCTCAGAGAGGACACAAGGAAGAGCCAGGCCTTTCCCGAGCCCTGGTCTGGCCAGGGAGAAGAGATGAGCCCAGGCAGTGATCAGAAGGTAGCAAGGGACACCTGGGCAGTGCCTCCTTCCAGTCCTTCAGAGCAGCATGAGGGGAGGAGCTGGAAATGTGGGGAAGGTCTGGGTTGTGTCGGCCAGGAAGGAGGATCAATAACTCATCCAGTTATCGATCAGCTCTGATACAGCAAGCTGCTTTCATGTCCTTTGTCCCACTTCTCCGCATCCATGGCACTTGCTGGGTTCTAACTCGTCAGCAGGTGGGCCTAAGACGCAGGTGGGAAGACTCCTGCCAGGCTGTCTGGGTTTCTCCTCCACTCTACAGTGCTGACCAAGTAGCCCGGCGCGCGCGTGAATCCCTAGGGCTGCGTTTTAGAGTGACAGAGCCTGGAGTCCTCTCAGACATTCTCCTCACGTGGTCTGCGGTGGGCTCAGGCTGCCTTTGGCTGGTCCCCCGAGGGATTGTCTAGGGAGCAGTACCTGCATCATACTAGGCCTCACTGTACGGTTCCGACAGGGAGGTTTTGGTAGCTGCTCAGACAAGCCCGAGTGTCCCCAGCCGCTTTGGGCTGTGCGCATCCTTGGGGATACAGCAGGCAGCAGGCTGGAATCAGCCACCCCCCTGGTCCAAGAGGATGGGTGTGCCTGTGTGTGTAGATGAGGGCTGGAGGTGTCAGCCTTTAGGAAGCACTTTATTAAGGGAGAATTCCTGGACTCCGTTGGCCAGGCTCTCGGTCCAGGTTGAGCCTGCTGGAAAAGCCCTCTGAACAAAGGCCTGTCTGCTGGGGCAGGGCTGGTGCACGGTATCTGGGTACCTGGAGGGCTGCCCTCTTCCTCGCTCAGGGATGCCTTTGGGGCTCCGCCCAGCAGGCTGCTGAGGCTGTTCCCTCCCCACCCCACAGCTTACCTGATCAACGTGGTGGACGCCCTGGGACTGCGACCATCCCCTACACTCCAGAGCATCGTGACGCTCTTGAAGGCCAAGCCTGAGGGTTACAGGCAGCTCAGCAAAGGCCTGCCACGCCGCCTCGCCGCCACGGTGGCTGCGATGCGGGGTGTGAATTACTGACTGAGGAGACAGTCAGGGCTGGCGTCCTGCAGCTGTGGCCACTGCAGAACGGACTCCATCTTGGCAGGTGCCAGCCACTCGGCAGAGTCTGCTCCAAAGAGACTTGGCTTTTTGTACAATGAAAGCAACGTTATAAACAAAAGGCATATTACTTATTAGAGAGGACTTTTCAGGTGATTTCTTAAAAATGATCTCATCCTAAAAATGGAATTAATAAACATGGAAATGAAAGGCTGTTTCTTCTCTTCCTCAGGTGTTTGGAATGTGGATATTTGAGTACTTCACACACGCTGCCACACAGTACTGAGTGACTGGGGCGTCTCTGTGAGAGGGCACCGGAAGGAGAACAGGTGCAGGGTACGGGCTGGTGTAATTCCAGTATAAGACTGAGGACAGGGGTGTCAGGGTGGAAGACGGCATTGCTTAGATGAGTGCCCCGGACCAGAAGGGTGAAGTTGTGCAGCACAGAGCTCTGGGGGAGTCTTCCAGCCCAGGAGGTAGGGTGCACCAGACCCCGAGGGATGTCCAGAATCAGCCAGGGCTGCTGCAGAGGAGGGGAATGTGGAGGGAGGTAGGAAGGTAGGTAGAGGAAGTGGGGCCAGATCAATCAGGTTTTGCAGGCCATGGCAAGAATTTGGGCTTTTACTTTTGCATTGAAAAAATTTATGGGATGACAGGCATGGTGGCACACAGCTTTAATCCCAGCATTCTGGGAGGCTGAAGCGGGAGGATCACAAGTTCAAGCCCAGTCTGAGCAATTTAATGACTTAGTGTAACCCTGTCTCCAAATAAAAAATAAGTGCTGGGGATGTAGCTTGACGCAAAGGCCCTGGGTTCAATCCCAAGTGAGGCAAACAACAAAACAACAAACCGTGGGACGATCTGAATTTTGTCCATTTTTTCTCAGTGTCTTTCTGCTGTTAAGATTGTATCTGGCTTATAAGTAACAGAGAATAATGTCATTTGAGTGACTTCAGCAAATAAGAATTCATTTTTCTCAGTAATGAGAAGCTGCAGGGCAGGGATGCCAGGAACTGGTTTAGTGGCAGAGGCAGCAGCATGACCAGCCCCTGCAGTACCGACTCTTCCAGGTGCATTGCCTCCTCAGCATACGTGACTTTCTACACCTGCAGGTGTTGCACCTGTGTTTAGGGGAAAATGCAGGGAGGGGATGTGAGACAGCAACTCTGACCCAGCAGTCCCTGCTGACCTCTAGGCTGCACCATTTCTCAGTCAGGAGGCTCATCCCCTAGCTGCAAGGGAAGCTGGAAAAGTGGGGAACAGGACCAGCTTCAACCAGCTCCTCAGCCTGGCACTACTAGGCCCAACAACTCACTGCTGCACAGGTGCCCCACAGAGTATAGGGCCCTTCACAGTGTGCCTGGCTTCCGTGCACCAGACAGCAGTATGCAGACACTGCCTGAGGGGCAAACTCACTGCAGTCTGGGGAACATTGGTTGAGGCCAATCAGAATTTAGTGCCTGGGCTGGGCTGATTGTTGCCCTGAACAAAACTGTTGTTTCCTTAGTATGGGAGAGGGGGAATAACCATAGTACCTGTCACTGGGGCCATTGATTGGAATTGAGCACTTCTAAGGTTCCAGGACCTCGTTGGACTCACAAGAGCCTCAGCACAGTCATGGTAGGCAGAGATTCAACTCTAGTTGGAGGGGTTTAGGAACTTCCTGTGGTCACTCAAGTTACCACATGGCAGGAAAGAGCCTGGTGCTGTGGCACCCACACTCGTAGCCTGGTGCCCGCAGCCTGCTTCCTGCACCATGTCGGAGCACGCGGCAGGACCTGATCCTGGAAGTCAGCCTGCCCATGCCCGCCCTCCAGATTGCCACTGCCGCGCCCCACCAGGCTGCCAGGGCTGCAGTCCCACTAGGTCCAGCTTGCGTCCTTGGAGCAAATTTGCCCCTGACCTGGGATCAACTTCAAGTCCATGCGGAGAAAGATATTTCAGACTGTTCTCATAGAGTCAAGCCTGGAGAAAGTAAGAGCCAGAAACCTAGAAGGTGGCAGGTGCTGCTAAGAAGTAGCAACTTGCTGTGGTGGCCCATGTGCTGCTGTTGTGAAAACCACTAGGCTTTCGAGAGAACTGGCTTGGGCTGGATTTGCGGGTTCACCACCTCCCAGCTAAATGACCTCAGGAAAGTCACTTCACTTCTTTGTGCTACATTTCCTAGTTTGGAAACCAGGGGTCAAATGGCACCCAACTCGGGATTATTCCAGGAGCCATTGAGATCCAGTGAGGCAGCAGCAAGTAGAAAGCTCACGGTCAATGTTTGCTTCCTGATCCCACAGCACCTGCAACCCAGGTTCCCTTCTGGACTTGTAAGAATTAGAGAATTACTTCTCCCCTCCAGGTCCAGGGGAGAGGGATACTGGGGTGCCTGATTCAGTGTCGGCCTTTAAACATGAGATCACTGTCCCATGGCCTGGCCCTCAGTGTTCCCCCAAGAGCAAGGATGGCAAAGTGATGTCCACTGCCAGCCGCTTCCAGTCTCACATCCACAGGCAACTCCAAAATGTCTCTGAACAGAACCACTTCCAGGCGTCTGCTGACTGCCTCCCGGGATCACCCGGAGCTGGCCGGTCAGCCACACCCATCCCCAGCACAGTGACCAGTTCTGGAGGAGCATGTTTCCCAAGGGGATTCAAATGAATGAACCTCACCCTCTGCACTTTCACTGGGACCCTGGAGGGAAGCTTTCCTTCCCTCTGTTACTGAGCAGAGGGAGGTGGCCTGGATCCAGGGATGTAGAGAGATGTTCAGAAGAAGCAGTATGTGGAGGGAACCAATTTTAGGTGACATAAAGTCAGACACAACCTGGTCTAGGGGAACCCTGTGTGCAGCCATGCTGAGTCTCCTGGGCTTTTACTGCAAAAGCTAACAATTCCCTTTGTAGCTTAATCTGGCTCAGCTTGACGTGTGACTCAGGGCTGCAGAGGCCATTGATAATAATTATTCCAATGCCTGCTCCATATAGCATAATTTATTTAGCTCAAGGTTCTGGAGGCTGAGAGTCCAAGACTGCGAGGCTGGCATCTGGTGACAGCCTTCCTGCTGCGTCTCGACATGGTGCAAGACATCGTACAGTGAGACATAGCAAGCCTGCCAGCCCATGTCTCTTCCTCTTCTCAAAAAGCTGCCAGTGCTATCACACAGCTCCACCTCTGATGGTAATCCCAAGACACAACCTCCAGACACCACTAACATAGGTACTCGGGGCTTAAGTTTCAAGATGAGTTTTGGAGGAGACCTTCACGGTAGTCACAAGAATAGTGACCTTGGGTGCCTTACTTCACCTCTTTAAGCCTCCATTTACTTTACCTATAAAATGAGGTGATGCTATTTCCCCCATGTTATGAGCAAGGAATGAAATAAGACTTGTAAAGCACTTGGCATGGGGCCTAGCACACGGCAGCACTTGGTACAGTGTGTTTAATAACAACAGCAGATGGTAGTGGTGAGTGTGGCGGCATCTACCACTGCTCATGCTAACCGTGGTACTCATAGTAGTAGAGGTGGTAACTGGCTTCCCCCCCGGCCCTCCCTTCTTAGCCCCCAGCCATGCTGCCTTGGACCAGACTGTCAAAAACTGTGGTACCGCCTACTGCTGCCACAGTGGACACCTGATGCATGGGAGACCAGCTTGTTCGCCCTTCAGACCAAGCAGATCAGCGGCTGTCCACCAGCTGGCCCATCTACAGCTCCCCCAAAACCGAGATTCTGCTGGGGCAGCAGGGCGCTGCAAAGCTCAGCTCTCTGCGCTGCTAGGTCTCATTGTTTGGGAACAGAACGGCTCCCTGATCTCTCGCTAAGGAACCAGTAGTGTTTTACCATGTTTAGCAATGAAAAATCCAGGACACTCAGTTGAATTTGAATTTCAGAAAAAACAACAAATGTCTTATTAGTGTATCTCACATGTTGCATGGATATACTTGTACATTGATTTCTTACCCATCTGAAATTCAAGAGTACCCGACCGGCTTGAATTTGATCTGACAACCCTAAGAGCTGTACATCCCAACCTCAGTCCATGTGAGTCTGTTGGGGCCAAAGTAGCTTCAGGGCTGGGCAGATGGATTCAGGTCTGACCAATCTGGGTAGCCTCTCCAGCTGGCCCTGCTGATTGGTTCGTAGATAGGCACGTGACCCAGCTGGGGACCAATGAGTGTTGGCCTGTGACCTGGCAGTAGCAGAGGCTGAATCATTTGAGCTCCTTGAGACTATTTTGCTGAAGCCGCTTGAGTCCCTTCTGCCTTTGCAACCCAAACACTTAGGTTGAGTGACATTGAAAAATCCATTAGGCCCCTACTTCAGAAGCAATGTGAAAGGTAGTGTAAAAATCTCGAGAGATTTGCCCCTCGGCCTGAGAGACCTCTGCTCTCAAGCCAGTGCGAGGATCTTTCCAGCCCCAGACATGTGCTGGTTACTTGGCTGCCCAGTCCAACAAGGAACAAAGCTCCAGTGTTTTCTACTTTTATTTTCCAGACAAGTGTGTGTCCCCAGCAAGCTTCCCACCTGATGCTTCCCCTGTCCTCTACTGCAGTGCCCTCACTATCCCTGTTCCTAGAGGCCAGCCAGGCCAAGTGAAGAAAACAGGCAGCACAGCTGCCAGCCTGTTCATCCTGGTACTGACCATGCCTGGCACTGGGAGGGAAGTAGCCGGCCACCAGGGTCTCTGGCGCCTGCGGGCCATCCCAGGCCAAAAGGCAGGACAGCTGGTGGGCAGGGACCGGTCGAGAACCCGGTTCCCGCGTCCTGTGCCAGTAGGGTGACTCACAAGACACCAGGGTGGGATGGCCAGTGGCTGCTGGCCTCTCAGTAGAGGAAACGGGCTTTAACCTTGGACACCTACGGCCCCAGCTCTTTGGAGAGGGCACCACAGGAAGAGGCCTCGGCCATGGTCTCGGCTTCAAGTCCTTGAGCTCCCTAGGGTGGGCAAGGATGAGGTCTAGGCCGCATCGCCCTCGCTGTCCGACTGGACGGTGTCCAGCGGCTGCAGACGCAGGGAGTCGTAGTTGGGGGGCGGGGTCCCGGGGATGGGCGGAGTCTGCTCCTCAGGGTGGGCCTCCGCGTGGGGGCTGAGGTTGGCGTCGGGCTGGAAGCCAAAGTTGGTGTGGGCCTCCACCAGCTCGGCCACGGTGGGGGGCGGGCCGGTGTAGGGAGCCTGGGCTCGCTTCTGCCGTAGGCCCTTGGAGAAGGCCACCAGCTTGATGATGGTGATCCACACGAAGTCAATGATGATCTCCCCAAATTCGATGAGGCACAGCACCGAGCCCCCCATCCAGAAGCCAAACTGGCCTCCCAGATTTGAGAGCAGCCAGACGATCTGTGGAGAGGGGCGCTGAGGGCCTGGCTAGGGCAGGGGTGCGCAGACTCCTGCCCTAGGCCAGCCTCGGGGTCACTACGCGCTGGGCTGAGGGTGGGAAGGGGGAGCGCTCTGCTTTAGGGACCTCCCTAATCCCTACCCTGGGGCGGGGCGGGGCCTCCCAGACTCACATTATTGGCTGCTGATTCCTCAATGGTACGGTAGTTGAATTCTTGAAAGTAGATATTGAGCTTGACGATTCCAGTCCTGCAGGAGGCAGCAAGAAGAGCTGGGGCTGTAGGGCTCTCTCCGTGGAACACGCTCATGCACACGCACACCCGTGCACACGCCCACGAAGGGCAGCCTGGGGGCCACCCTCACCCTCCTCCTCTTCCTACTGGTCAGATCCAGGAGGGAGCTTAGAGGAGGAGGCCCTGGGAGTGCAGGGGATTCAGGGTCCTAAAGGAGAAGCACATCCAGCTGTCCCTCCACCAGTCACCCTCCCACCCACCCGTGCCTCTGCTATCCCCCCTCCCCTCTCCCTTCCGCCATCCAGCCAGCCCCCCAGCCACACTCTCAGGCCACAATACTCTCCCATTCCTGGGAGTGCTGAGTCCAAACCAGAACTGCATGTGTTCTCCTTCCCACCCCTCTGGGCCTTGGGGCCAGGAAAGTGCCCAGCGCCCACTCTGTACACCCCCTTTCAACCCCATTTGTACCATTTCCCTAAGGACACTCTGGCCTGAGGGCCCCAAGGATCAGCTCTGAGCTGGGGTGTAGCTCAGTGGTAGAGGACTTGCCTAGCGTGCTCGGGACCCCGGGTTCCATCCCCAGGACTGAAAAGAAAAATCTGAACTCTTCTCTCCCCAGGCCTCGGGTGGCCCAGTCCTATGCAGTGCCTGCATAATGCTAAAGTCTGGTGTAGTGATCGTGGTACCTGGGGCAGAGGTGGGCGAACAAGTGGGGGTCCCCTTCACGCCTGGGAGTCCTCAGAAAAGCTTCGATGTCCCACATTTCTAGGATTTTGCCCAAGCTATGTCTTCTACCTGGACGTCTTTGCCTCTTCTTATTTATTTGCTTCTCCAAGTCCCTATGCAGACCTCCCTTTTCTCTCAGGCACTGAGGCTCCCCTTGCCACTCCTAAAGGGCAGGAGGACCCAGGCAGACTCTTATTCCCACAGTCCCTTTTTCCATCTACCTATTTCCAGACTTCGTGGTGGTGTGGACCTTGCTTCCTTGTGCTCACTACATGTTAGTGTGGATGGATGGATGGATGGATGGATGGATGGATGGACGGACGGATGGATGCATGGGTGGAAGAATGGAAGGATGGAGGATGGCAGTGTGGGCAGATGGATGGGTGACAGGTGGAAGGACAGGATCCTCCTTCAGGACCCTGAAGCCCATTGCCTGCCTCTGCCCTCAGGGCCTTTTCCTCTAAGCCACACCTGGGTCTGGCCGGTAGGAGGGGCATCCAACATCCAAGCTCCACCCAAGCTTCTGCCTCCTCCCCTTTCTGCTCTCCCAGCCCTTCCCAGACTCCAGGCTCACCTGCTCAAGGTGATATTGGTGCTCTGGTCTCGCTCTTGAGAGAGGACGTGGAAAATCCAGTCCTAGAACCCAAGAAGGTGGCTGAAGAAAATGGCACCTGTCCCCTCCCTCCCGGGGAAGGAAGTACAGCACAGCCCAGCACCCCCTAGGGCCCTGGAGGACCACAGGCTGGGCCAGGGAGCAAGGGGAGTGTCGTGGCGGAGCAGTGGGAGGACGAACTCGGGCCTCCAGTCCCTTTCCCCGAGGCCCAGCTGTCTTGTTGCCAGGGGGTTTCTACCTCAGGCCCATGCACTTGGGTTCCCTCTGCCCAGAATCCTCCCTGGCTGTGCCCACAGCGGGCCCAGCCCCTGAGTCTCAACTTAAATGCTATCTTTTTAAAAGGATTTTCGCTGGCCCCCAGACTGGCTTCCCTGTTACTCTCTCCCATAAACCTATTTCCTTCACAACCATGACCACACCTTGAAATAATCTCATTTCTATATGTGTACAAGGGCTGGCCAAATGAACAAACAAATGATCGGATAAGTGTGCTTGAAGGCTGAGGGAATATTTTGAAGCCGATTAATGGCACTGTGTCTTTTATTGTAATAAATTTTTTTAAAAAAATTTAAACGTTCACAGTATTTTTCGATCACACCCCATCTGTTGTCCCTCTCCCGCGCGCTGTCTGTCTTATGCACTGCTTTTTCCCCTGACACAGGGCCTGGCGGGGTATTAGGGGCAGAATAGGAGCGGGGAGAGGGAGTGAGCTGCTCTCAGCTCAGCAGGGCCGGCCGCGTGGGCCCTGTATTCTCACCTCCGAGGCCTCAGAAGGCCAGTCGGCCATGGAGATGGTCATCTTGTACTGGGTGTCACTGCGGGAGAGAAGGTGGCCCTGTGGCTGTCTGGCGCCCCTGCCCTGTGCCCGCCCCCGGGGGCCCACGCGTCCCCAGTGCCACACTCACTTGCAGGACTCCTTGCACATGTTGATACAGGTCTCTCTCTGGACCACACTCATCCGCAGGTCGAAGTAGCAGTAGGCTGGGCAGAGGGGGAACATGGTCAGGGACTGGGGGTCGCCCCAGGCCCAGGCCCCCGAGGTCTGTGCTCAGGTGCGGGACAGAGGGTCCACCAAGCTCTCTCGTCAGGACAATCGCTGCTCCCCACCCTACTGACCTCCAGCCATTTGGCCCCAGTGCAGCTTGGGGTCCCCCCTCCGTCACAGACCCCGCTTGGGGTCAGAGCAACTGTCCCTCCACACACCCTCCCAGCCCTGCGCAGCGGGTATGGTTATGGGGCCAGGAGCAGGGGGATGGGGACTGGAAGGGAAAAGATCTTCCCTAATCTCTGTGGATTACGTTGGTCTTAAGAGGCAGCAGGACCCTCTGCTGCTGATGACAGCCCCCAAGGCTCCCGGGCCCGGGCTGCAGCTCAGTGTGAGCCCCAGGGCCCATGTCCTCTCGGGATTCCAAGTTCCAAGTGCATGGAGGAGGCCACCATGACAGTGGCTTCCCCATCTCCCCTCCCAGCCCAGCACCCTGCAGAGAGACTCAGCGAGCCCACGCAGACATGCACACACATCTGAGGATGGGGATGTGGCCTTGTATGTGCATTCACATGTACATACACACGCGCCTAAGCCAGGGTGCACAAATACACAAGCAGGCTCATGCTGCAGCCATGGAGCACTGCTGTGCACTTAGATGCAAACACAGACGTGCCTTTCACACGTGCATTTGAAGACAAGGGTGCACACAAATATGTGCACTTGACAGCAGCCACATTGCAAGGCTTGTGCATTCATGTGGTGCACAGACTCGTGCCCGTGAGGCCCAAGTCACTCCCACACCCACATCCTCAACACGCTCTGCCTAGAGTTGAGGAAAGGGGAGCCAGGCTCCTGCAGACAGGCCTGCAAGGGGTCACAGGGAGGACTGCGGACGGCACAGCGGCTGCCCCCACCCAAGGCACTGAGCTCCCCCTGCCCCGTGGTGAAAGCCTGCACTCACCCCAGTCCGGGAAGTCCTGGTTGTTGCAGTATCTCTCCCCGGGGGGCAGTGGGTATGTGTAGTGGCCACAGCTGCAGCTGCGGATCATATGGTCTTGGAAGCAGGAGTGGAGACAGGCCTGGGGTGGCAGGGAGAACACAGGCAGGGCAGTGATGTTCCTGTGCCAGCGGCAGGAGGAAGAGCCCGAGAGGTCAGTGACCGGGCCAAGGGAGCCGGGGGTGGAGAGGGGCTGAGGTGAGCTGGCCATGCTGCAGCCATGGAGCCTGCAGTCAGGGTGTGCTGTCCTTCCCTCGGGGACTGATAGCAGGTCCCTAGACCCTGCAGAGGGACTCAGGGCAGACCCCAGCAGCCTGGGTCTCCCCATCTGGAGCTGGGCCCCTAGATGGCACGGGCCAGGATGGCTTTTCCCAGACAGTAAATCTAATGCTTAGATGGCTCTGTTTGGAGGGGGCTGGCACCCTGCCAAGCTCTCTGCATCCAAGGACCCAGAAAGGTGGCCTGAGCTCTGTCCTCCTGGACACCTGGGGGCAGAAGAGAAGGTGACTTTCCTTTGACTGCTAGGAGTTGATGACAGAGGGCGTGACCAGCTTGCTGCTCTACAGCACGTCCCCTGTTTGGGGGAGGGAGGAGAAGGGTACCTCCCCACCTGGAACCAGACGTGAGGCATCGCCACTCACTAAGCCCCAACGTACTAGGTTTTTCAGGTACTTGTGTCCTGGTTTCAGTCCACTCAGGGACCAACTATGTGTCCTGGGCAAGTTATTAATGTCTGAGCCTCAGTTTACTCATGGTGAGATGAGGTGCCTGCACCTGCCTCTGGAGGCGGGCCGATTCAGAGCAGCAGCAGGCACTCAGGAAGCAGTGGTTACTCATGTTTCTCCACCTGTCCCTCGCCTTAAGTCCTGACTGTGGGCTCCCGGCTCCAACCCTTGCTGGCTCCTCTCAGCCTCTGCCCTGAGCCCCCAGGCTCCCTGAGCCTCCTCTCCTGCTCTTCCTACTGGCTCCTTCCCAGGCTAATGTGGCCTTTCTCTTCTCTCTGAGGGGCCTGTGGGGTCCCCGAGCAATGGCATGCTGTGAGGAGCCAGGCCAGGGGTCAGAGTGGGAGCGCTGGCTCAGGCCAAGTGTCTCGCACACTTGCAGACCGCCTCGGCTCATCTGGAAAGTATGGCTTTGGCTGGGGTGGACCCAGGCTGCTCCCGGGGGCATGGGCAGTGGCCAGAGCTCCTGACACAGCTGGGCCTTTGCCCCAGAAGAAACAAGAGCTGGATTTGCAGGAATCTGGCCGGGGTGGGGGGGCCTTCGCCGTGTTTCCCATCTCCGGGACCCCCAGCGGCGGGGCAGGTCCCCAGAGCTCTCAGGGGCAGAAAGCAGACCCTCAGACAGGGGGTGGCCAGACCAGCTAGGCGGTGTGTTCTGGGACAGCTGGCAAGAGGCTCAGTTTCCTGTGACTGAGGCACAAGGGAAAACCATGCCAATGCAGTCACCAGGCTGCCTCCAATTTGCCTCAGTTTCCGCACCTGCCAATGCAGCCTGGCCTGGGAGAAAGGTATTAGCAAGTGGTCATTTCTGTCACCTGTGGAATGACTCACTGTGCCTTCTCTATGAGGCCGGGTTTGAGGATGGGCAGTTCTGGGCTGACCTGGAGATCAGGACAAGGGGGAAGTCTCCAGCTACTGCAAAGGAGAATGAGGGCAGATCTGAAGGGGACTTCTCGGGAGATCAATGAGGCTCAGACTGGGGTCTGTGGGTCACCATTTCCTCCTTCCTAAAGTGACAATGAGAACAGCACCTACATCCCAGGCTGCTGCAAGGACTAGGTGATGTAATGCATGTACAGTACTTGCAGCTGTTCCTGCCCAGCACACGGCAGGCCTGCCCTGATTAGCATATTAACACGCGCTGCTATCATTGGTACATTATTTCTTCACAAGGGATGAAGGGTTCAAACGATGACGAGGTTTGTGCATGCCCTCAGCACAGGATCTCACACACACTGAGTGCTCCATAACGTGAGCTGTTGTTTTTGTTTTCTTCTTGGGAGACCCCAGGGTGTGACCCCATGTAATCCTGTCCCCATGTGGGAATGAGAGGGGGCCTTGGTGAGAACCTGGGAATTGCACTGGTTCTGCAGGTCTGGGGGGCCCTGTGGCCACCTAGAAAAATCCAGCAGATGCTCTGCAAATGGGAAGGGGAAGCAGAGAGGAGGGTAGTAAAACCCATGTGTTCCATACACGTACTGCCCCCCAGAGGGGGGTAGTCATGGAGCGCAGACGTGTACTGATACATGTTCAAAACCCAGCAGAGCCGGCCTTGGTGGGGCCAGCTCTCCCGGAGCCTGTGGTCTGGGCCAGAGGACATGGTGGGGTCCCGGGTCCCCTGGCCTCCCACCTGGATGGAGTAGGTGGTGTTGTAGTCTCTGTAGAGGTTTCTGATGGCTACGTCAGAGCCGTTCATGGTGCATGGGCTGTAGGGTTCGCCCATGCGCTGCAGCTTGTCCTGCAGGGAGAGGTTATGCATGGGGACCCCGGGGCGCCCCAGGAAGCCCTCTCTGCCCTTGTTCTCATCAGGCACTGGGGGGTTGGAAGGGGAGGGGGCTGTGGACCCACAGGTGCCTGAGCGCTCAGCTTGCCCACAGTGAGGCCACCAGCTTGGTTTCCGTCCCGGCAGAAGCCACCCGGGCAGAAGGGCCAGGGCCGGGCAGTGGGGGTGGACCCTTCCTTTCAGGCCGTGGGAGCTCGTCCTGGGGCAGATGGCTTCCACCCCAAGCCTGGGCTCCGGCCATACCACCAGCACCCCGATGGAGGTCTCCGTTCCCGCCATGGCATAGATGCCTTCCTCTTTGATGAAGGGGTAGGTCCTCTGCTCGTGAAGCACCAGCCGGGCCCCCGCTGTGGACGTGAGGAAGGGGATGTAGTCCTCCTGGTCTATGTCCAGGATCAGCTTCAGACCTGCAGGCGGGCAGGGCGGGGCGGGGCTGCTGAACTCACTGGCTTCCTAGCTGGGGTGGACCCACCGCTCACCTGACGAGCTCCTTCCGGGCAAGGGGCCTCCAGGGTCCGCAGAGGAGGCTACACCCAGTTTGCAAAAACACAGACCTCAAGGGTGGGGGATTTAGCTCAGTGGTGCCGCCCCCTGCCAAGCAAGCAGCAAGCGGATCCCCGGTACCAAAAAACAAAAACAAGAACAAAACCCCCACAAAAAACCCACACGCAGACCTCAGATGCTTTCTGCCTTTTGCAAAGCCCCCACCCAATCTTCCCTGGGCTCCTTTGGCTCCACCCTGAGTCATCCCTTCTCTGCAGAGTGGTCAGGCCCAGCAGGTGCCTCGGCCGCCCACCCCCTTCAGGCCACCAGAGTCCCCATTCCAGCCTGCAAGTACCCATATCCCTTCCTGCTGTGGGTCTCAATCTGGAATGCGGTCCCGCCCTCCCCTCTGAGGGAGACTCCTGCCCTTCCTGCAGCCCTCTGTCCTTGGCCACGACCTCCAGAAGGTTCCTGACTGCCAGAACCGGACCAGGGTCCTCGTCAGACCCTCTCCTCGCTCCAGGACTTCCCTTCCCAGCCCCTGCCTCACTCATGTGATTCTTCTCTTGCTGTCTGTCTTTGCCACTCAGCTGTCTCCATCCTGAGGGACCAGACCAAATAGTCTACATGCCACACATAGTCCCAAACTAGATGGACACTGGAGCCGCATCCCACAGCTTAGGACAATCAGGCTGAAATCTCCTAAGCACTCGCTGCACGGTCAGTGCCCTATGATGGGCTGTTCCACACATGATCTCACTGCATGCTCACAGAGCCACAGGAGACAGGCACTATTATTGTGAGGAGACAGGCAGGGAGTGGTCACTCAGGGAGGAGGCAGCGGCTGGCTCCTCAGTGTAATTTTGTGGCTCTGTAAAGGGAGTGTCCTGGCACCGCTGTGATGAGGAACGAGGGCTAGGTGAAGGTGTCAGTCCACTGTCGCCCTACTGACGAGCAGAGCAGCCCCGATGGTCACGTCACTGAACGATCACTCAACTCTTGGTGGCTGAGGAGGTCCCAGCCTGAGGGGTGGGGGAAAGGCTCATCAAACTGTGTCCGAAAGCACAGCCAGCATGAGCTCACTTGGCTTTCCCAAGGACACGGGCTACGCACTGGTGTCAAGGAGTGGGCACCTGCCACCAGCCACTCCTCTCTTCGTGCTGCTCGTGACTCAGGAGACCCTTGCCTGTCTGCGATTCTCTCTGAGAGCCAACTACACAGTTAAGTATGGTGGCGAACACCTGCGGCCCTGGCACCCGTGAGGCTGAGGCAAGGGTTCGCAGGTTTGAGCCCAGCCCAGCCGGAGGACTCAGTGACTCGGCAAGGCAAGACCCTGTCACAAAATAAAATAAAGGGCTGGGGGTGTAACTCAGTGTGAGGTCCGGAGCTCAAGCCCCTATACTGCCAGAAACAAAGCAAAGAACAAAACAAAACAGAACTGCACAGCAGAGAAGGCCAAGAGCGAGTGCCAGCAGGGACGGGGCGAGGCTGGGCCGGAAGACGCAGCGTGCACGGAGCCCTTCTCCCCACTCGGACTGGTCCCTGGAGGGAAACAGGCTTTTCGCAGTCAGGCTTGAGCTCAGTCACCCGGTGAGCAGGTGGGGAGTCGGGACTGGACACAGGCACCGGAGCTGGAGCTCTCGCTGTTCCGCCCCCGCCCAGGGTCCAAGCGGCCGGCCCGGAGGGCAGGCTGGCTCGCTCTGCTCGCTCTGCTGGGTGGAGCGAGGCTCAGGAACGGCCTCGTGCCGCCTCGGTTCCTCTCCCAGCCTCACGCCCACAGCACAGGGCCTCCCTCGAGCCTCAGGAGCAAGCAGCACTTACCGAATTCTGCCCCAGGGTTGGCCGAAGGGAGTGCCTTCTCCGTCATGCCCCAGTTAAAGACGTAGCAGTTGCCGTAATCAGGGTAGAAGATGCGTGTGAAGTTCCTAAAAGAGACACCTGGGCCTCAGAGAGGGACACATCTGGCCGGAGAGGAAATACCCGGACTCCTCCGGTTTAGCCGTGAGTTATGAAAAGGAACTCTCTAGACATCTGCATCTGTCTCATAGGCACCTACAGAAAGATGTGTCCGCGTCCTAACCGCAGGATCCTGTCAATGTGACCTTATTTGGAAAGCGTCTCTGCAGATGTAACCGTGGATTTTAAGATAGGATCATCTTAGATTATCCGGGTAGGTCCTAATCCAATGAGGAGTGTCCTTATGCAGGCAGAAGAGGAGAATCCACAGCTGTGGACAAGTCGTGTCAAGATGGAGGCAGAACTCTGCAGGCACAGGAAACGCCCGGCCAAGTCGCTGAAGGGGCGAGGGAGAATCCTCCCCAGAGCTTCCTGGGAGCCTGCCCTGCCAACAGCTGGATTTCTGTGGATCTGAGAATTCTCCACTGGAGAATAAAGGTTGTTCTAACCCACTTGCTGTGTGGTGATTATTGTGGCAACCCCAGGAACCTAACACAAACCTAATACAAGTCTTACTGAAACCCTGTACGAAAATAAAATAAAGAAAAATGAAATAAAGAGTTCTGGTTTGAGCCAGGTAACGACTGAAGCGGAATGACACAAGCTAAGCATTGAAGAAGGGGCCTAGTCCAAAAAACTAGACAGAATAGGATTATGCTCCCTACTGTTAGGAAGTGCTGGTGACAGAACACCTTCTTGCTGTTAACAGATATCAACAGCAAGTCAGAAAAATCCAGACTCGGGGGGAGCTTGATGGGGTAAAGAATCACATGTCTTCAACAAATAAATTGTAAGGGAGAAAACAGCAGACAACTTACAGATTAATAGAACATGAGAAGACTTGAGTTAAAATCACAGTGTTTGAGAAAGACAAATACCAAAGGTTCTCACTCATACGTGGAAGCTAAAAAGGTCGATCTCTTAGAAGTAGACAGTAGAATAATGGTTACAGAAGCTGAGAAGGGAGAGGGAGGGGCAGAAAGAGGCTGGATGACAGGTACCAAAGTGCAGTCACATAGGAAGAGCAAGTTCTAGGCTTCACAGCAGAGCAACTATCGTTCACATATTCTATTAAAAAGCTAGGAGGGGGAAGTTTGAATCTTCCCAACAGAACAATAGAAATGTTTAAGGGGAGGCAAATATTAATTACCCTGATGCACTCTTACACAGAGTGGACATGTATGGAATCGTCACACCGTACTCCATAAAGATACACATTCTATGTCAACGTTGTAAAAATGATTAATTGGTAAAAATTACAATCAGTAGACTTTCATTGAATCTTCACTTGATCTTAGCCAAAAGGCCGAGAAGCGATGCTACTTTCATTGAATCTTGACTCAAACAAACAAACAAACATGACGTTTATAAGCATGAATATGACTGGTTCGTTGATGTTATTGAGGAATTATTGTGAATGTTTTTGTGGTTATGTTAAAAAAGAGAGAGTGGGGTTGGGGATGTAGCTCAGTGGTAATGCACTAGTAAAGTACAAGGCCTGGGGTGGCCCTTAACATACCAAAAACAAGTGTCTTTTGCAGGTAGATGCTGACCTACTTACTGATGCCCTGGGATTTGGAGTGATTCCCTGTTGTCGGATTGGAGAAGGGTCATGGTTGGTCATCCATTTCTGTTCTATCCCTGTGTATGTCCTCATCTCCATAAATAAAATAAATAGCTTTGAAATATTTGTCTGTGTTTTTGTATTGTTCTCTTTTTTATTTGGTACCAAGGATCGAACTCGGGTCCTTGCGCTTGCGAGGCAGGTGGCAGAACCACTGAGCTAAATACCTGCTCCTCTGTATTGTTCTCTTTTAACAGGAATGAGTACATTATATGCCACAAAAAACCCTTACGTGGAGCACTGTCTACTAAACCTTACACTCTGCAACCAACATTTATTAGGCAACTTTTATGGGCCAGGTCCAGGCTGAAAATTTTTGCATATATTATCTCATTTCACCCTCAGAATAACCCTGAGAGGTCAGGCGTTACTTTCCCCGATTTTCAGATAAGGCAGCCGCTGCCTGTATCATCCATCTCGGCCTCTCCGTAGTGGAATGAGGGGTCGGTGCAGGCTGAGAAATCCAGTCCGGCAGCTGGCAGAGCCACTGTCTGAGGGATTCCAGCTGCTTTCTCAACTTCTGGACACTGGCTTCCTCAATGGTGTAAGGGGAAAGGGGGAGAAGCCCCCTTTCTTTGTCCAGTAAGTTTACAGAGGGGGGCGCTGGGTTGGGGCGGTGGGAGAGGAAGACGAGCTGCCCTCCGTGGCTCAGGACACGGGCAGCACCTGCTCAGTTCTGTGCCTCCAAAATGTGAGTCTAGCCTGCCCCTCTCCATCTCTGTGGTCCAAGCCCCCACAGAGGCCTCTGCGTCCACCCTCTCTCTCATGCGTCCTGTGCCCTGCAGTCAGGCCAGTGCTGGCTTCGGTGGGTCACACAGGCAGCCCAGCCAGGCCCCTCCAAGTGTCCCTTGCTGCTCACGGAATAAAATGCAAGCTTGCTCCAGATGTTCCCAGGCTCAGCCCTTTGCACTGGCTGTTGCCTGTGCCTTGGAGAATCTCTGGGCAGCCCTCAGAAGGACCAGCTTCTGCCCTGAGGCCTCTGGTGACTCCTCCACCCGTGCAGAGCGACAGATGCCCACTCTCGGTTAAGAGAACTTCATCACCACCAGTCAGTGAGGTGGCCCCACATGGTCACTCCCTCACTCCCGAGCTGTTTATTCCCTTTACTGTGTGCATCAGAAGGCGAAATCCTCTTGATTTAGTCACTTGTTTATCCACTGCCCCGGGCACCAGACCTCGTGCTCAGAGGAGGACAGCTCAGAGGTTAGAGCACACGTCTGGGAGCAGGCCTGCTCCGATTTCAACTCTGGCTCTGTCATCTGCTAGCCTGGAGGCCTGGAGACCTCCCCTCACTTATCTGTGCCTCACTTTTCCCATCTGTTATGATAACCCCAGGGCAGCAGCGGCAGCCTCCCTGTGAGAGAGACCACGGGAGGGCTGGATGCCTAGCGTACTGTAACAGTACCACAATCCTGGCTGTGACTGCTTACCTCTCTATTCCCAGGGCCTGGGCACAGTACACAGACACTCAGTAAATATTTGTTGAGTAAACTATGATATGTGATAAAGACATCGCAGAGAGAAGCAGGGCGGGTGACACCTAAGTCCTGTGGGGGCAGGAAGGGGCAGGGAAGGTGTCTTGGGTGAGGTAAGGCTGGAGCAGGACGTAAAGGGGGAGCAAGAGGCGGCGAAGCCCAGAGGGTGGGAGGAGAGGGGCACCTCTAGGGGGCACAGCCCAGGCAAAGGGCAGGATGGAAGGAGACTCTCGGGCAGCACCCCAGAGTCCATGCGCAGGGTGAGGGCTGTGGCCACAGGGCAAGAACACAGCAGGGCAAACCAGCTGAAGCCAGGCCCCACTCTGAAGGAGGGACCTCGCCCGGGCTGCGGGACACAGTGTTCCTAAGAATTGTCTCGGGCAGACGTGGCCGGGAGCAGGAGCCATGAGGGTGCGGCCAGGTCCCCTCCTGGCCCACTGCGGGGTCAGCCTCATCACCGGGCCAACGGTCTGCTTGTCCATAATGTTTCCCACCCAGCACTGGCCACCTCTGGCTCCAGGGTCAGGGATTCGGGCACAGGCCAGAAAGCCCCAGGAGACAGCAGGGGCACCTTGCATGGCTGCAGTCCCAGGTCCTGAGGAGGCTGAGGCAGGAGGATCATTCAAGACCAGGCTAAGCAACATAGTGAAAGATTCTACCCCCTCTTAAAACAGAAGACTGGAAAATGAGCAACCCAGGAGAAGAATAACAACAGCAGTGCTGTGTGGTCCAGAAGCCAGGGGAGCCTTCCTAGAGCAACTGGTTGATCCCTGAAGCAAGCACAATAATAATGATACTAAAGCTTATAAATGTTCAGATCTTGCTTTCTAAACACCACTCTCCTTGGAGAAATGGCTGATTCTAGGCTCATGAAGCAGATAATGCCAGAACATGCCAATAATAATAATAATAATAATAGTAATAATAATAGTAACAGGGACATGTCCAAGACACAGGAGCAACTGGAAGAGCTTCCAGTGGCCAAAGCTGGAAGGATTTAGGAAAAAAAAAATGAGGTACTGAATTACACCCCAACTATGCAGGAAGCCATACTGGTATAAAAGAAAGGGAGGAGGGCCGGGGATTTAGCTCCGTGGTTTCACTGCCTGCCGTGCAAGCGCAAGGACCCAAGTTCGATCCCTGGTACCAAAAAATAAAGAAAGAAAGAAAGGGAGGAAACAAATGTTCCTTACAGAAACACCCCAAATATCCACATTCCTCTCTCTGGGGGAGCATTGGAGCTTAATACACAGCCCCGCCCCCAGCCTCCCTTCCACAGCACAGGGCTGGGGAGGACAGAAGCTCCTGCAGTGGAGTCTGGCGACATGCAGGACATCACACATCCGGATCATCACAGGGCTGCCACGTGCTCCTAACGCAATGACGTCATGAAGACGCTCTCGCCCCCTCCGGGCGTTCCTCCCCTCAGCCCAGAACCGCCCTAAGGGACACAAACCGGTCCGGATTGAGGGCTTTCTATGAAACACCTGGCCAGTGGTCCAAAGCCCTCAAGGTCCCTGAAAACAAGGGCGCCTGAGATTCTGTCCCCAACACTAAGGTCATGTGACAGACAGCTAAGTGCAACGTGGTCTCCAGAGTGGGGTCCTGGCATAGGGAGAGGTCGCTGGGGAAGACCAAGCACGTCCGAATGAAGTACCTCATTTCCTCCACAGCCACAAGCCAGTGTCACCATCTTAGCCATGGTGAGGTTAGATGTTCAGGACAGAGAGCTTGGCAAGAGGCCTAAGGGAACTCTGCATTGTCTTTGCAGCTTCTCTGTAAATCTAAAAGGAGTCCACAATAATCAGCTGTTTTTAAAAAATGTTCTTACAGAAGGGTGTACTGGTGTACACCTGTAACCTCAGCTATTTGGGAGCCTGAGGCAGGAGGATCTTAAGATCAAAACCAGAATGGGCAACTTAGACCCTGTCTCAAAATAAAACAATTTAAAAAGGACTGGGGGGACCTTAGTGGTAGAGCAGCCCTGGATTCAATACCTAGTACCACTGGAGGGAAAAAGTTCTTATGTTTCTCATGTACCTGGTGCTATTCTAAATACTTTACATAGGTTAATTCATTAATTCCAAGACAGTGCTATGAAGTTTCACTGGCCCCATTTTCTAGATGAGAAAACAGGCAGAGAGGGTGACCTGGTGGCCAATGACACGGTGCTGGCATTCAAATCCAGGCACTTAAGCAATGATGCCAGGCTCCAAAGCTGGGCCATGCTCTCCTGTGACTGCGGCTTCCCCTCCCTGAGCATTCAGCAGCATGGCGGGGGTGGACGCAGCGTCTGGAGCCCAGGGTAGGAGAAGCAGAGAGACACGGTCCTGTGCTGTTGGAGGCTGATGAGGGAGGCAGGGAGCACTCAGAAGGGTCGGCCGAGGTTTCTGGGCCTCTGCATCGGGTGCTACCTTTCACTCAGAAAAGGACGGGTGACAGGAGAAGGTGACAGAGGGCTGCCTGCCTGGCCCCCCACCCTCCTTCTTTCCTATTCCTGTGGTATTGAGGATTGAACCCAGGGCCTTTGCCCTGAGCTACATCCCCTGCCCTTTTTTCATTTTTTTATTTCAGACAGGGTCTCACTGTCATTAAGTTGCCCAGGCTGGACTTGAAGTTGTGATCCTCCTGCCTCAGCCTCCCAGAGTAGAGTCCCTGTTTTAGAGAAGAGAAAACTGAGAATGGCTGAAGCTGGGGTGCCCACCCAGACTCCCTGTCTGGCTCTGACCAGCCCCCAGCGGCTGGGTGCCTGTGACTGAAGGCTCACTGCTGGCCCTTCTGCTCCTTTGAGGGAGAAGTTAGGAGACCCACCCCAGGGGTCCACAGCCAGGGCCCTCTTTCAAGGAAGGTCAACTCTGGGTGCACTGTATGCAGCAGATCACCCGGCTGTGTCTGGGTGCCCCTCAAAGCCTCATGTGGTCATAGGTGGGGCGTTTTCAGAGGTGGCTGGATCTCGAGTGTGTGATGCTGGCGTCGATTCATGTGCAACGCTAGGACCAAGGGCACTAGGGTTAAGGGTGTGAGTGTTACCTGTCCTATGTAGTCTGGATAAAAGGGACAGAAAGAGGTTTGCTTTGCTACCAAGTGGGGGCCATGAGCTGTTGCCCCTGTGCCATGTGCCACCCTGCCTTGGAGCCAGTGATGTGGACCAAAACCGATACAGTGTGACTTAAATAAACCTTTCCCCTTTAACTATGGATGTCGGGCATTTTGTCTCAGCAACAAGAAAAGCTACCCAGACAGACACTGCCTGTCTGGCCAAGCCCAGGCTTCCCTGGGACCACATCCGGCTTAGCCCCTGCTCTTCCTTTCCTGTATGCCCGAGTCCTGTGGAGCAGAAGCTGCTAGGGGGCCAGGTGGGGCCGAAACCCGCCTGGGAACAGCCCCGGGGTGGGGGGTGGGCAGGGGGGCCCAGGGCCCTCACCGGTAGCTGCAGGGCTCTGTCCCAAACATGCAGGCCAGGATCATGTGCTCGCCCGGGTAGCCCATCTGCACCAGCTCCTGGCGCGGCACCTGTGCGAAGATGTTGGTGGCCTGCAGGCCGTACCACTCGGTCACAGCCCGGGTGGCGCTGGTGAAGTTCCGGAAGGTGCACACGGTCCCATTGAGGGTGCACTGTGGAAGCAAAAGGGGGGTTCTGTGGGCGTGGGGCTGCCGTGCACGCTCAGCCACCGCCTCGAGGGACCCTGTGCGGTGGGGAGCGTGGCCGCGGCGTCTCCCGCAGCTGCATGGCTGGTCACAGGGTTTCCCTGGGCAGCCGCCGGCCCAGCCTTCCACGGACCGTGCTGGACGAGTGGACACACGCAGGCTCACGTGCGCAGATGCACACGCGGATGCCTGCTCTGACACCACAGCCACAGGCGTCGTGGTCACACCTGTGTGCACGCGTGTCCACACGCGCCTCCGAGCCTGACTACAGGCTGTCTCCTCTACTGAGGAGGGGTCTCGCTGTGCCGCCCAGGCGGGACTGAGCCTCCTGCCTCCATCTCCTGAACAGCTGGGACCGCTGCCCCTGCTGAGCCCTACTGCTGCATTCATTCAAGTGGCCGCGCACCCTGACGCCTCGGGGCTGCACACACGTGTCCTGCGGCATGCACACACACACACAGACACACACACGCACGCTCAGCCCCTTCGGGCTCCTTTCCCAGCCACTGCCCGTGACGCCCAGAGGCTGTGTGGTCGAGGGGGAACTCAGGGACTCAGCCTCGCCCCGCGTGGGAGGACGTGGTCAGTCGGCTGCGCCTGCTGAGTTGGCAGTGAAAGGCAGCGGGCACCGCCTGGCGCTGCGGGGAGCTCAGCGCCCCAGCTTTGCCGCCAAGCGCGGGCTGCACTGTACCGCCTGGCGGTGGCTTCTCACTGGCCCCGTTCTGTGTCCTGTGGCGATGAGACCTGGGCCCCTCTTCAGGGAACAGCGCTCCCACGCTCAATCCTTGTGTCTGACTTCACCCCAGCGCCCAGAGCGCGTGACTCAGGACGGGCCAATCTTGGGAGCACACCCTCTAGCCCACTGTGATTGGCCAATCATGGGAGCCCATCCTCTATCTCACTGTGATTGGCCAATCATGGGACCGCCCCCCATCCTCTAGCCTACTGTGACTGGCCAATCATGGGAGCCCATCCTCTAGCCCACTATGATTGGCTCAGTGGTGACCATGTGACCTGGTGAGTCAGTCCCAGGCCCTTTGCTGGAGCTACTGAGAAAGAGGAGCTCTTTGGGGAGATTGCAGAGCTGGCGAGGTGTAAGTGGGGCACTGACAGGGCCCTTCATGTAGAGAGAGCCTCCCAGAGAGTAACAACTATTAGAAAAGCTGAACTGAGATAAAAAGAAAGTCCTGATAACAACATTTGAGCACCTGGATCCAGCCATACCTGAATCCAACAACTCTGGACTTCTCAATCATATGAGCCAAAGAATTCCCTATTTTGAGTTAGTGAATTTGAGCTGGATCACTTGCATCCAAAAGAATCTTGACTAACAGGCCCGAGATTTCTGTTTCTATACAAACTTTGCAAAGACAAAATACAAAATGAACACTGCCTCCCCCCGCCCCGCACCGCAAGATTCAAATTCCTAAAGAAATGAGACCCCCATGGGTCTTGCTGGGCAGGGGCCATTGCTCGATGTGTGCCCGGGGGCCACTTACTTACCAGTCTCATGGCCAACTTGCACCCAGGGGCAGTGCAGGTCCTTCCGGGGACGGGGCTGCCGCCCGCTGAGCCATTGTGGTTGCTCCCAAAGAGGTCGAAGAGGTCTTGGACCACTGGGTGGCGGGGGTCCTGCTCGTTAATGAGCACCAGGGGCGCTTGGTTCCAGATGGTGAAGTTCAGCGCGCCGGTGGCATTGGCGCGGCTGGGCTCAGGCGCCAGGATCCTCTCCAGCACGGCCTTCATCAGCGCGTCCAGGTCCTTCAGCAAGGGCTTGGCCTTGGAATACCTAGGGGAAAGGTGAGGGGCTGGGCGGGGTGTCACCGGGTGTGAGGAGGAGCTGGCCCAGCACTCGATGCTCGCCGCCGGACCGTGTGTGTCCGCCCCTCACTCCCTTCACCGCGGGCCCCATGAACACCTACTGCGTGCCGGGCAGTGGTGGAAAAGAAGACTGATGGACTCGGTCCTCATGAATTCCCGTTCCAGCGGGGAACCAATCACAACGGCTCACTTTCCCTGTGCCAGACCCCAGGCGCCTGCTCTCTGCCACGTCTGTCACCCTCGCCTACAGACAAGGAAACTGAGGCTCCGGGGACCACTCTGATTCCTTGAGCTCAACCCTCGGGTAAGGGGCAGAGCTGAGATTAGGGCTCCAGGGCTCGTGCTGTTTGGGGGTGGGCTCCGGTAGCTCAGGGGAAGGAGGGGCAGGTCCAGTTTCCCCAGCGGTGGTTTTTTGTTTTTATTAGTACACGCTTGCAGTACACAAAAATGACATTTACCGTGGGGAGTTTTACACGTACATAACACATCTCCCTCCTCCATGTCTTGTTCCGTTGCCATTTGAAAAAGACCTCCCTCCTTTCTAATAGCCAGCTTTTATTTTTCCAGCAGTGGCTTTTGAGAAGGTGAGCATGACTGCGAGGCTCCCGTGTTGTCACAACCTCAGTTCCACAGGGGCTGTTGAACTCCATGGGCCACCGTGGGGGCCTGGGTTCGAATCCTGCATTGCCACTTCGTATCCGTGTGACCGAGGGCACCTCGCCCTCTCTGAGGTTCTGTTCCCTCATCTGGACAATGAGGGGATAGAAGGGCGTATCCCAGGGAGTCGTTGGAGGATTTGATGAGGTGATGCTTATAGAGCATTGCTATGATTATTAAGAGCTCTTGAGTGGCTTCAAGGGTCCCCCAAACAGGCAGAGCCCTCTTAGGAAGAAGGGATCTCTGAGAACTGGGCTTGTAACCTCAAAGGCTGAACTTTCTTTCAGAACATCCTCTAGGACAAGACAGTTCTTGGTAACTCCATCCATGCCGGCTCTGCTTTCTTTTTTTAAAAAATGTGTATTTACAACTCTGTATTAAGTATCTTTGTAAATTCTCCCAGATATTTGCTAATTTAATAATAAAAAAATCCCCAGAAATCTCTCATAACTAAAAAAAAAAAAGACAGAAAAACTGAGAAGCAAGGGACACATCTGCTATTTCAAACTTTTCTTTCTGTTTCTGTGAGTCCTGGGTTTTCACGGGATGATTAAAGCTTAGAGCGAGGCCCTAAGCGAAGCAGCAACCCGAGAGCTTATTTGCTGGCTAAGGAGCAGCCTCCCCTTCTTCCTGGCGTCACCGCTGGGGGGCGCTCCTCCCCCCAGCTCCAGCAGTAAGTTCTGATTGGTCCAAATGGGTCTCGGCCGTCCCATCCCCTTGGCTATGGTGTTGCAGGCGTCCCCCTGTGATGCAGAGCTCTCATTTTCTTCAACCCCTCAAAAGTTGTGTTACTGTTTTTAACTATGGCTTCCACCTTTTGTTTAGCTATGACCAGTAGCATTACCCCTAAACATCTTTAAGTCAGTATTCGCCTCTGCCTTTTCCTGAACAAGAGGAATTTATCTTCTCTCACTCCAGAACCAGGCTTTAAGGGTTACGGAAGTTCTCTGGCTCTGCTTTCAATTCCTTGAATGCATGGAGTTCTTTCTCACCCCAGGGGCTTTGCATATGCTGTGTCCACCACTTGGGGGTATTCCTCCCGGCTAATATCTACTCATTCCTCCGGGAGTTTTTCTCTTACTGACCACCTGCCTCTCCTCAGCCCGGATCAGGTGGGGTCTCCTTGTTTGTCCCATTTAGAAGCCTAGCAGTCAGGTTAGGGGACGGCCAGTGTGGCCAAATGGCTAAACAGTGGCAGCTTTGGAGTGAAATCAGGCCTGGGTTCAAATCCCCAAACTGCCCACTGTGTGTTTTGGGCAAGTTTACTCACCTCTCTGAACGTTCATTTCCTTACCCGTAAATTGAACTGCTTGTGGGTTGGCTGTGTGGATTAGAATTACATCAATTCCGGCGGGACACTGCACAATGCCTGCCATATCACAAGCATTTGATGTGGGTGTTATTTTTATCACCACAGTTATATTAATTAGTATTCTTGGGGAAAATATTAATGCCTGTTTCCCTGGTAGAGAGGGCTGTTCACTACTGAATTTCCATCTACAGTGGTGCCCGACACACAGCAGCTGCTCAATAAACAGAATTTATAAACAGACACTGGTACGCCTGAAGACAAGAGCTGTTGGGTATCTTTTGAGATTCTCTTTAAATCTAAAAAGCTTCTTTTGAACCTTACGTGCTGCAAAAGGAGGAACTCAAAGAAGGAAGGAGAGAGGAGCAAGAGAAAGAAGGGAAGGAACGAGGAGAGGAGAGGCGAAGGTCAAGAACAGGAGACGGCGGGCAGGGAGGGAGGGAGAAGGGGCGGGAGGCGCCGCGCGCTCCAGGTACCACCTACTGGAAAGGGCTGGCGTTGCAGACGGTGACGGCGGGGAAGTCCATGGTCTTGAAGCCCAGCGAGAGCGAGACGCTGACGTCCCAGCTCAGGTAGGTCTTGATGAAGACGCCCCACTGCCAGCACACGAGCGAGGCGAAGAGCAGAGTGATCAGGAACCACATGGTCTTCTTCTTCGGGCCCTCGCAGATGATGCGCTTGGGGCCGTGGGTGTTGGTGTTGTTGCAGTACCAGACAAGCAGCTCCTTGTACGTGTAGCCCGGGCCCTTCTGCAGCCGGTGCAGCCCCTTCAGCAGGTACTTCCTCACTTGCATGGTGGCCTGTGACAGCGGAAGCACGTCGGAGGATGTCCGGGCTGCCAGAGGCCAGGCCCGCAGCCCACCCCTCCCTCCCCCTCCCATCCTCCCCTTCCCTCTCTCCTTTCTCCCTGCTCCCCCCATCCATCCTTCTGTTCCTCCACCGAGCCAGCCAACCCCAAAGCATTTACCCAGTGCCTGTTCTATGCCAGGCACTGAATGGTCCCGAGGACTCACTGATTAGTAAAGAAATAGCAAATAAATACATGAAAAAATGTTCAACCTCACTGGTCATTTGAGAGATGCAAATGAAAACAACGCCGAGATTCCACCTCACCCCAGAAAGAATGGCTGCTATCATGAAATCAGCCGATAACAAATGCTGGCGGGGCTGTGGGGAAAGAGGAATCCTGCTCCACTGCTGGTGGGAGTGTAGACTGGTGCAGCCACTGTGGACATCAGCATGGAGATGCCTCAAAGAACAGGGTGGTTTCTTGGCCTTTGGGAATTCACGACCTAAAGGACGAGTCACTTAAATTCTCAACTCCTTGGGTTTTCTATGTGTAAGATGCAGGTAATCGAGTCCATGTGCGTGCATGTGTGTGTTCCTGGAGATTCACTCTAGAGTTACGGACTTTTTATTCTTGTATGTATCTTAAATTTTGACACAGGTTCTCGCTAGGTCACCAGGGTGCCCAGGCTGGACTCAAACTTGTGGTCCTCCTGCCTGAGCTGGGAGGACAGGTGTGCGCCACCACACCTGACTCCAATTCTTCTCATTTACTCATGTAGTTATCTGTTGTGGTGCTGGAGTTTGAACCCAGGGCCCCGTGGTGTCTCCATAGATTTTTGTGAGGCGCTCAGGCCCCTGAGAAGATTATATCTGGACCAGTGTCACAGACTTGGCTCCAGGTGGCTTCTTGGGAAATCCCTGTCTTTTCCTTCTCCTCCCCAGACACAGGGCAGGAGCATCCCAGGCCTGTCCCTGGAGCCCCAGTCGAACTCTAAGTTCAGGTCCAGACCGGAGACTCCCTCCTGCACGAACCTCTCCTGACTGGGCCCAGTGACCCGAACACTCCTCTGAGAGCCGCTCGGCTGGGCCCCTGTCCCAGGGGGAGCATGTGTGGCCTGTCTACCCGGCTTCTTCTCCCCTTGCTCTGGTGTTCCGGGGGAACCTCCCTCCCCAGGCAGGTGTGAATTGTCAAACTGCCCCCCCCCGGCACTGGACCACGGGGACTCGATTCTGTCACTTTGTGTTCAGCACCTGGATCCAGCAGTGCCTGAAGTCATTTGTTCCTGGGCTATGGGAACTAATACATTTTCTTGCGGCTGTATGCTGATTCAAAGTGGGTGTCTGTCATTTGCAGCCATTATAATGTTCAAAGAAGAAAACATTCTCCTTGCTTTACCCTGTGTTATCGTTATTCGTGACCAGGGCCCCTCCATAAGATCACAAGCTCCCCAAGAGTAGCAGCTTTGCGTGTTTTTTTTGGGGGGGGGGGGTTGGTACCGGGGATCGAACTTGGGTTCTTGCGCTTGCGCAGCAGGCGGCGAAACCACTGAGCCAAATCCCCGGCCCACTCTGCGTTTTTGATAACTGCACCCGGCTCTCCACCCAACAGCCAGATACAGAACGCCAGCCACTCCAGTCTAAGCGGGACTCCAAGCTTGCCCAAGCCTGTTCACGCCCGGTCTGAGCTCTGGACGCTGCGTCTTGCTCCACTTTCCTTTCCAGGTTGGATGAGCCTGAAGCGTCCAGGGCTTTCTCTCCCCCACCACTGGCTCTGCTCGGATGGGCTCCACCTCGCGCGCCGGCCTGGACTCCAAACCCTCCAGGCTTTAGAGGAACATTCACAGACTAACCCAGCCCCTAGCTTCCCTCAGCAAACACGTCCCTTGCTCTGAGATCGCGGAGTGATAATTACCCTAATAACAACTCTCAGAGCAACCTCAAAGCACTGCGTACATTACCCAGGCACCATGAATGAGCCTCATATGTTATTTCCTTCTTATAAATCGTTTTCCAAGACTGGAAATGTGGAAAGAGCAGGACTTAATCTGTAGTCCAGCACCCCACTGCCTAATGGAAGATGGCACATTATGTTCCAGGAAGGAGTTGTGGAAGAAATAAACAAAGGGCTTCTCTAATGTTCTAATCTTTTCTATTCTCATTTAATCATTTGATTCTATCAAGGAGAAAGACTCATCTTGGTCCAAACAGGTCTCCAATCCTCGCTAATCTCCCAGTTTAACCATGAGTTCTCAGGCCCAGAAATTTGCCAAGCTACAAAATCTGCTAAGAATCAGCAACATTCTTTTTTCACAGAGTTTATTAGTACTTTTTAAAAATTTTGATTTTTTGAGACAGGGTCTCACTATGTAGTTCAGTCTGGTCTCAAAGTCACTATGTAGCCCGGGCTGGCCTTGAACTCAGGGCAATCCTGACTCAGCCTCCCAAGTGCTGGGATTACAGGAGTGCCCCACCACACCTGGCTATTATTACTTTTTAAAAATTTTGCAGTATGAGGATTGAACCTAGTTAGAGCCTCATATGTGCTAGGCAAGCACTTTACCACTGAGCTACACCCTAGACACTTTCTTAAAAACTCTGAGTCTGGGTCTTGGTAAATTGCCCACAGTGGCCTTGAATTTGCAATCCTCCTATTTTAGCCTCCCAAGTCGCTGAGATTACAGGCATACACACTCACACTTGCCTCCTAGGTTTATTTTTAAGTGACTTTCAATTTATGGCAAGAAAACACTGACTTTTCTTTTCAGTTCATAAATACACTCACATATAAAAGGGGAAATTAATTTAAAGAAAAATAAGTAAATGATAGTATTATGTGTAGCAAAAATCGTGACAATGGTGGGCAAATAACAGAAGTCGATTGAGTACAGGAAGACTATTAACACATCCCATCCCTTTGGTTATTAGCCAAGTAAAGAATCAATTTGCTGCGAGGAGTTTTATGTTCTTTCAGTCAGATTTCACACCCCAAGGTGATGCAGTGTGTGTTTGGAGGATGTACACAGCTTGTGTAGAAGAGTTTGAATCTGTTTATAGTTTAAACAAGCACAGTGGAGACAGTCCTGAGTGGATGCATGTCTCAGAGAATCACAGATACTCTCTGTGTCTTGGCCATGGACTTGCGGGTAAAGGTTCATGGCAGGAAATGCAAAATCAATGTAGTGCCGAACCGCCTCTGTTTTTTTTTTCTTTTTTTGGTGCTGGGGATCCAACTCAGGACCTTGCATTTGCGAGGCAGGCAGCAGAACCACTGAGCTAAATCCCTGGCCCCCGTTTTCTTATAACAGAAAACATTCGCTCACTTTTGGAGCCAAATTTTTCCTGAGGTCTAACTCACATAGTCCAAAGTCTCGGTGGAAGGATAATTGGGAAACCAACATCTCCCTCTACTTACTATTTCGACAAAAATAAAAAAGGAATGTTATTCAGAGACGCCATTCTTCTACAGAATGAGAGGCTGTAAGTGGATGAGCAAAGGGTTTCTTTGTTCTTTGTGAGTACAGTATAGTTTATAATTCCCTCTTTAAATAAGAGCTTCATTAAGACATAATTCACATACCATAAAATTCATCCACTTAAAGTATAAAATTCAGTGGACTTTGATATATGCACAGAGTTGGTAAATCATCACCAGAATCAATTTAAAAATATTTTTTTCTGCCCCCCAAAGAAACTCCATACCCATTAGCAGTTGCTCATTCTTCTCTTGCCCCCAATCCTGCCAACTTCTAACTTTTGATTTTACAGATTTGCTTATCTTGGACATTTCATTTAAATAGAACCTCACAATATCTGGGGTTTTTTTGTGATTGGTTTCTTTCATTTAGCATGTTTTCAAGGTTCATTCATGTTGTAACACATATTAGAACTTCATTTATTTTTATTACCATAGAGTATTCCATATTATAGAGATAGCACATTTTATTTTTCCATTCATCAATTGATGGAAATTTGGATTGTTTTTACTTTTTGATTATCATGAAAATACTGCTATGATCCCCTTTGAGATATGCGTTTTCATTTCTTTTGGATATATCTAGGGGTCGATAATGTACCATGTGGTAATGACAATTCTAATAACAGATGTAATAAAATACCATGTGGCCATATAGTAATTCTATTTTTAACCTTTTGAAGAACTGCCAGACTGCTTTCCAATATGCCTGCACTATTTTATACTTTCATCAGCGGTGTATGAGGGGCCCAGTTTCTCTACATCTTCTCTAATACTTGTTATTATGTTTTTGGGAAAATTATTATAGCCTTCCTTGTGGACTTGAAGTGGTATCTTATTATGGTTGTAAGTTGTACTTTCCTGATAGATAATGATGTTGAACATATTTTTGTGTGTGTTTGTGTCTCTTAGATCATTATTTTCTTTGGAAAAATATTTATTCAGATCCTTTTGGACATTTCAAAATTGGCTCACTTATCTTTTCATTACTGAGTTCTAAGAGTTATATACATATTCTATGAGCAAGTCTATTATCAGAAATAAGATTTGCAAAATTTCTCTCCCATTCTATGTGTTATCCTTTTGCTTTCTTTTTTGGTGTAATTTGAAACACAAAAGATTTAAATTTTGATGATGCCTAATTTGTTTATATTTCTTTTGCCTAATTCAAGTACATGAAAATTTCTTCCTATGTTTTATTCCAAGAGACTTATACTTCTAGCTCTTACATTTAGGCATTTGATTCATTTTGAATTAATTTTTGCATGGGTTGTGAGGTAGAGTTCCACCCGCCTCCTCCCCATACCAGGGATTGAGCTCAGGACCTTGTGCTTGTGAGGCAGGCATGGTGCCACTGCGCTAAATCCCTGGCCCCTGTTTTTGTTTTTGATACTGGAGATTGAACCTAGGGGCACTCTACTATTGAGCCACATCCCCAGCCTTCCCCTTTTTCAAGACAGGAGCTTACTAAATTGTCTTGCCTGGGCTTGAATTTGTGATCCTCCTACCTTAGCCTCCCAGAGTGCTGGGATTACAGGTGTGCACCACCATGCTTGACTCCAACTTCATTACTTTGCAGGTAGATACCCACTTGCCCTAGCACTAAGAGTACTCTTGCTCCCATTTAATTGGCTTGTACCTTTTTTTTTTTTTTTTTTTTTTTTTTTTTTTTTGCTATTTGAATGAAAGAAAACCTAAATAAGTGGAGAGATGTACTATGTTCATGGATCAGAAGACTCAATATTGTTTAAGATGTCAATCTCTAAAATCAACTCAATTCCAATGAAATTAGCCTCTAGGTCCAATAGCAATGAAAATTTTCAGTAGAACCTTAGTAGAAATTAGTGAGCTGATTCTAGAACTTACATGGAAAAGGAAAGGGACTAAAATATCAAAAACAAAACACACACAGAAAACACTTCTTTTTTTTTTTGAAAAAAGAACAAAGTTGAAGGGTATATTCTGTCTTATATCAAGCTTACTATAATGTAATATGAACAGGACAGTGTGGTACTGGTGAAACAGTACACATACTGACTAATGGAACAGAATAGAGAATCCAAAAATAAACCTGTGAAAGTGTTAAGATAATTCAATGGAGAAAGGAGAGTCTTTTCTAAAAAAAAATGATAAAATAAATGGATGTTCATGTTTTTAAAAAAGTGAATCTTAACTCCTATTCCACACTATATACAAAAATTAATTTTGTATAAAAAACACATAGAAGAAAGTATAGGAGGAAATCTGCAAATTTAGGGTAGGCAAGGATCTTTAAAATAGAACACTAAAATTATGAATTAGAAAATATTATGAGTCAGTCAATTGTACTTTATTAAAATTAAAATCTTTGGCTCTTCAAAAGATATTGTTAAGGCTGGAATGTAGCTCAGTGGTAGAACACTCTCCTGGCAAGCACAGGCCCCTGGCTTCCAACCCCAGTGTCTCAAAAAAGAAAGAAACATACAAAAATTACTGTTAAGAAAATGAAAGAGCAAACAACTGTGAGAAAACACTTACAGTGCATATGTCTAACAAAGAAATTATATGCAGAATATATAAAGACCTCTTATAAACAAGTGGAAGACAAACAACTACAAAAAAGGGCAACAGCAGGATATGAAATTTACCTAGGTATCCAACCATAAATGAATGAAGAAATAAATGTGGTGTCTACACACCATGGAGTATTGTTTATCCACAGAGAAGAATGAAATCCTGTCATCTGCAGCAATGGGTGAGTCTAGAGGACGCCAGGGTGAGTGATGTACGTCAGGCACAGAAGGGGAACTGTAGCATATTCTCACTTATCTATGGAAGCTAAAAAACTGGATCTCATAGAAATGGAGTGGAGTGGTGGCAACCAGAGCCTGGGAAAGATGGTGGTGGGGAGAGAGGGTGCGGAGAGATGCTGGTGGATGGCTCAGGGGTGAAGTTCTAATGCTTTACAGCACAGTAGGGCAAGTGCGATGAGTAATGATTGATTGGATATTTCAGGATAGCCAGGAGAGAGGCTTCTGAATATTCCAACACAAATAAATACTAAGTATTTGAGGCAATGGCTCCTCGATCTGCTCATTATACTTCACACACACGTGCTGAAATATCACACTCTACCCATAAATATGTATAGTTTGTGCCAATTAAAATTTTAAGATGTTAAATTCACTAATGTTAAGTTAGAGCTAATAACTATGACAAGTAACATTACTAGTCCCATTTTATTATTTGAGTAAAAGTCACCCCAGGGTTAATTCTTGTTGATTGTATATGTGTAACAAAAATAGGAATATAAATATTCCTCTTAAGAGTGGGCAAAAGATTTGAAAACACTTAATAAAATGTGTATGAATGGCCTATAGCACATGAGCAAATTCTCAAGATCATTTGTCATCAGGGAAAACCACAATGAGATACCACTTCACGCCCACTAGAAGAACTGACAGTACTTAGTGTTGGGCAGGAATTCTGTGTGGCTGGCTGGGATTCAAAATGGTGCAGCCACTTTGGAAAACAGCTTGCTGGTTTCTTAGAAATCTAATGGACACTTATACTAGGACCCAACAATTCCACTTTTATATATCAGTGAGAACCAAAAGCAAATGTTCCCATAAAGCCTTATATATTCAGAGCAGCCTTATTCATAGAAGTCCCAAAGTGGAAACTACCCAAGGTCCATCAACTCAGGAATAGATAAGCAAATTGTAGCATATCCATAATGGAGTAGTATTCAGCAATAAAAAGGGAATCAACAATCGATACATGTTACAACACGGATGAATACAAAAAAAAAATTATGCTGAGTAGAAGAAGCCAGATACAAAAAAGAACTTACTCTGTGATTCCAATTATAGGAAGCCCTGGAAAAGATGCAGTAATCTACAGTGAAAGAGAGCAGATCAGTGATTGTTTGGGCCTCAGTGAGTCATGGATCAACTAGAAAGTTGCACATGGTGACAATGAAAATATTCTTTATCTTTAGAAAGATCTGGTCATTGTCCCTGTGTGGCAACATTTTGCTGGATGTGAAGGGTGGCTGCCCCCCAGCAGGGGCCATGTGCTCTCCAGTTCCCCCTCCTCTCCCCATTCCCTGTTGTCTGAGACCCACCCATTGTACTCTCTGTCTTTTCTTTTTTTTGGTACCGGGGATCGAACTCAGGTCCTTAGCTTGTGAGGCAGGTGGTGGAACCACTGAGCTAAATCCCCAGCCCTGTACTCTCAGTCTTGTTAGCTGCTTTGGCAGATGTGGACATCTGACTTTGTGACCCTTGTAAATTATATGTCAGATGCTTTCATTAAAACCACCTGTACTTACTTTTGTAGCAAACCTCAATTATCCTAGGTTATCAGGCAATATGAGTTCTAGACAACTAAGTTTTTATAGGTAATTGAAGGTTAACCTGAGAATGAATTTGACTCTGGTTATTGAAAACTTTCTATTTCTGCTCCTCTAGGGCAGCCACAGAACACGACTAATTCTTTGTCCTTCAGCACCTAGCTAAGGACCAGAGCCAGAGGCAGGGCTTACTGTACGAGGAAGAGAGTTTTTGTTTTTGGCCTCAAGCAATCTTCCTGCCTCAGCCTCCTGAATAGCTGGGACTACAAGTGTGTGTTACCATGCTCAGCTTGGAGAGTTTTAAGGGAGTAACCAGGGTCACTCCGGGGACCAGGACTTACATTGGACGTCATTTTTAATTATAAATTCAAATACTAGGTGCATTCTCAGTACCCAGAGTTTGGCCTTTAACCACCATTCCTAACTAAAAGGACCAGAGCTTCTAAGAAAAATGTCCAATCCTAGGTTTGTGCTGGAAATGTATAAGATGATCCTGGGCCATCTTATCTTCTAGAAAGAAAAGAAAAATAGCAAAAACTATTGGGATTGGCCAAAAGGACTCCAAAGGATTTTCACTGGGGAAGACAGGACAATTTAAGTATTTAAAAAAACCTGCAATGTATTGAACCATATTAAATGTATTATTATTATTATTATTATTATTATTTGGTACCAGGGATCGAACTCGGGTCCTTCCGTTTGCAAGGCAGGCAGCAGAAGCACTGAGCTAAATCCCCGGCCCAAATGTATTAAAATTTCATGAAGTCATTATGGTACCAAAAATGGGAGGAGTAAATAAAATATTAATGCTAATGGATATTAATAGATAAATGTCTTTGAATAGTTTGAGGCTCTAGCAGCTAGTATGTTCAGTAAACTGTGTAATTTCCTGTAAGGGTCTATAAATTATAGCTAAGAATGATTTTCACATTTTTTTTCTGGTATCAAACTCAGGACCTTGCGCTTTCAAGGCAGGCGCGGTGCCACTGAGCTACATCTCCGGCCCATGGTTTTTAGAAGGTAAACATTTTTAGAAGGTAAACAAGAATATATGACAAAGATGTATGTGGTCCAAAAAGGCCCAAATATTAACCATCTGGCCCTTTATGGAAAACTTTTCTGATACCCGATTTACCGTGTCCTATATATTCCCATTTAATAAAAAGAAACCTTCAAGATGAGATTTTCATGTAAATATTTGTAAGTTTGATTTTATTCTCCTACCAAATATGCATTAGTTCAATTTCTTCAAATAACAATAATTTGTATACTACCTATGACTTTTGCTAAATCTCTGTAGCACGTATATCATTATTTACTTAATATGCAACACCACGTCGGCTCAGTTTTTTGCTAAAATAAATTCAGCCTCATCCTAAGCAATACTATGAATACTAAGCAATATTATATCTGTAAAATAACAAGTTTGATGTGCTAAGACTTTTCCATTAAAACATGTTAAAATACCTTCTGAACTATTCAAAAAAGGGTTTCTTTGTGAGTCACTTTTAAAAAGAATCTCACTTACTGCCCTTGAAGAAGTTCTCTGCCAATTGTTTCCCACTGGCTGAATCAAGTGCTGGTCCAAGGACACAATGTCTTCTAGGGAATTTCCGTGTCTTCATGTTGTTCTTTAAAGGCAGCAGGACAGGCGTAGTCACGCTCATTTTGCAGAGAAGGCGAGGGCAGTGGGAGCCACCCACTGCCACAGTGAGTCACAAGCAGCTCTGGAAATAGAAGCCAGGTCTCCTGGCCTTAGCCACCACCCACCGACACACTGGGAAGGGGCACAGATCAGCTTCTCGTGGGGAAGCCTGGAGTGTAGCAATGGGGTGGTCCGCCTCCACCTGCAGGGGCTTCTTGTCAAGCCAGGCTATGTGACTAACAGGGTTGGTAGGAAAATTAGCTTCCTCCACAGTGCTTCAGTAGAGACACAATTGGGTTTAGATGAGCCAATCAGAGATGGAGAATGTTGCCAGTGGCAATAAGAGAGAGAAAGGAAGCTGAGCACGGTGGTGTGAGCCTGGCACTCTGGGAGGCTGGGACAAGATGGTTGCAAGTTGGAGCCCAGCCTGGGCAACGTAGTGACTTAGTGCATCTGTCTTTCAAAATTTAAAAAAGCCGGGGATGTGGCTCAGTGCAAAGACCCTGGGTTCAATTTCCAAGACCAAAACAAAAACAAAACCAAACAAATACAGAAGTGAGAGAAAGCTTGCATGCACTTGCAACTTAAAAGGGGGAGCTCCTGGGGTGTAGGTCAGGGTACACTTGCCTAGCCGAGTATGTGTCAGCACTGGTTCAACCCCAGGCCCAGAAACAAATGGGGGGGGGGCGGAAAAACTGCAGGGGAGCCAAGCAAGGAGTCTTTTAAAATAATTTAGCCGTTCCTTTTGTGTCTTCTGAATTTGGGACCAGATTGATAATTAACCTTTTTATTTATTCACACAAATATTTGTTAAGCACCTACTTGTGCTCTGCATTGTTTTATGGGGTGGGCGCTCCTTACAGAATAAAATAGTAGAGTAATAAATCCCTGCTTTCATGTAGCTTCCATGCCCACAAGACCAAAAGAAAATTAAAAGAGCAATTAAAATTTAAAATTTATGTTGATCAGGGTTAGGTCTGAAAACCTGCAGTGGAGTCATTCGTTTTGCAAAGATTGAAATGTTTCACAATAGGGAGTGTTGGCCAAGCTTGGGGAGGAGGACACCTTCGCAAGCCCACGGGGTGAAGTCGGCACGCCCTGGCAGTGTCTCCTACCTTTGAACCAGGAGTTTCGCTTTCTGTGCACGTGCGAGCATCCTCGCACGGTGCGTGTGTACAGCATGAGGGTGTTGACGATGACCCTGCGATACCTCAGACTGGAAAGCACGTCAGCACTCGGAAGGAGAAGGCTGCTGGGGTGGGTGGGGTGGAAGCAGCCGCTCTGTAAGGGTGTAGAAGCCGATCGATCGACTGAGAGCTTTGGTCTCTGGGGCTGGCTGCGGGATGTGGCTGCAGATAAAGGCTGGACTAGACCAGGGCGCCAGGTGTGCTCGGGGGCTGCAGGTGAGCCTGTGTGGATGTGCTGCACCTCTGGGATCACCCCAGGCCACCTGGGCTCTCTCTCCCTCCCTGTACTGGACTTGAAACCAGGGCCTTCATTCGAAGCTAAATCCCCAGCCCCGTTTCATTTTTAAAATTTTGAGACAAGGTCTTGCTAAGTGGCCAAGTTGCCCAGGCTGAGTTCGAACTTTCCATTCTCCTGCCTCAGCCTTGCAGATGCTGGGATTCCAGGTGTGTGTCCCAGAGCCCAGAGTGCCGCCTGGTGTCTTCCTGCAGCTCATGACCCTGAATGCTCACTCTCTGTGTTCTGGGGTGTGTACGGGATTGGAAAGCTGGCTCCGAATGTTAAGCACTATGGCAGTGTCCCTCGAGGTCGCCTGGGTCCTCTGGCGGCGGTCGGGTGGGCCACTCCCTTCTGGGGCAGTGCTGGAGTGGGGCCCACACAGTGCTCCGAATGCGCGTGTCCTCCGGGGTGGCCGCTCTCTCCGTGCTAAGAGCCCTGGACCCTCAGCGTCCCCAAAGGCCCAGCTGTTAAAGGCTTGGCGAGCAGCCTGTGGCTCTCCTGGGAGGAGGTGGAGCCTGGAAAGGGGCCTGGTGGGGGGCCTGACATCGGGCTGCTCTCCTGAAGGGGACCATGGCATCCGGTCTCTTCCACCCCCCTCTTGGTCCCTGGCTTGCGCTGAGGGACACTTCTGCTCCCCTGTACTGTCTGTGACATGCGGCATCGCCATACGCCCTGGACCAGGAGGCCCGGAATGGGATCCTCCGAAACTGTGAGCCAGAATAAGCCTCCCTTTATTAAGCTGATTCTCTCAGGTATTTGATCATGGGTCACAAAGCTGACTAACACAGTCCCCCTCAGTCTTTTGATTTTCTTTTCTCTTTTTTTGGCACTAGGGACAAATTCAGGGCCTTCACACTGAGCTGCACCCCCAGATGTTTTTTTAAAAGGGTCTCGTTAAGTTTCCCAGCCTGGACTCGAGCTTTCTCTTCTTTCTTTCTTTCTTTCTTTCTTTCTTTCTTTCTTTCTTTCTTTCTTTCTTTCTTTCTTTCTTTCTTTCTTTCTTTCTTTCTTTTCTCTCTCTCTCTCTCTCTCTCTTTCTCTTTTTCTCTTTCTTTCTTTTGCTTTTATTTTTTGAGACAGGGTCTCACTGTGTAGTTCAGGCCGGCCTTGAACTCACTACACAGCCCAAGTTGGCCTCAAACTTTTGGCAATCCTCCTGCCTCAGCCTCTCGAGTGCTAGGATTACTGGTGTGCACCACCTCACCTGGCTCTGAGATCAAACTTTCCATCCTCCTACCATGCTCATCTCAGGCTTCACTGTGTCATCCATAAAATGGGGATATCAGATCGCCACACTTTAGGTGGTTGTCAGAACTCAGTGAGATAAAGCATGGTGTCATTTCATGGTAGTTGTTTGTAGATCTTATTGTTCTTTTATTATCGTAGTTATTAACATTTTATGCAAGGAACAAAATCACTCATAATGGCCCTGGTGTTCACCCGGGAGACTGTCATTTATGGGGGTGGCTGGCTGGGAAAGGAGGCACCGATTATGAGCAGAGAGCAAGCCCGCAGCAGACCTGGAAGATGGCAGCAGTTTAGTCTTAGCCTTTCCAGACTCCAGGACTGTGAGAACTAAATGCCTGCAGTTAGAAGCTGCCCATTCACGGTGTTTTATTACAACAGCCCGGACAGACAGGGACAGTTGGGCCAGCTGCAACGTGCCCAGGGGCAGGGAGCCCCACCCACCTCCCTTCCTCCCTGCATCCTCTCTAAGATGCCAGGACACCTTGCCTCCACGCAGACACCAGCACTTCCTTTGTCCCAGAGCAAAATGAAACCGTCTTTTTCAAAGAGGCCCACGATGACGTGAGCTTTCTAATCTGAAGGGGTGGGTGCAAGGGGTCCACTGGGCCAGAGGGTCTTGGGCAAGACCCAGGAGGACCTGGAAGGGAGGCAGGGACCCCGACAGTCAGCGTGGGGGCAGAGACCCGACTCGGTCTTCTCCCAGCCCTGGCCACCTGTCCACGAAGAGAAGCTGGATGGTCCAGCTGGTCCGGGGCTAAAGGGATCAGATAAGCGCTCAGAGCCTCAGGGTGGGTGAAGGACGCTGGCCACACCTTGCAGGGAGAGTGCCGGGCTCCTTGGAAAGCCCTGTGGGGCCGGACCTGAAGCCATCACTTGGGTCCCCCACCGGTGGTTCCATCCCCCTAGGCCAACGCCACGGACGCCTCCTTGGCCTTCTCAAGAGGTCCCCGCTCCGAGCTCAACGCACGCCTTGCCACTGCTGCACCTGCACGGCACAAAAGGCGGGGGCCGCAGGTTCAGCAAAGAGTGGCACCCGGTGTGTGCAGTTTAGCATCCCCGCGGCCTCCCTCAGGCCTGTAGCTCTCGCGGCGTGGATTTGCCCACGCTGCACAGTGAGAGGCGCTGACGAGGACACAGACTCTGTGGGCCCAAGCTCGCTGCTCACGCCCACTTTCCTCCCCGGCTGGCTGCAGTTCAGGGTGGCCGGTCAGAGGCCCAGCTGCACTCGGCCATGGCACCCAACAGAGCTGGGCTTCCTGAGCTTGCTCAGAGGCCTCATGTAAGTCGCAGGGGGGCGTCCTGCCGAACACGCTTTGTGCCCGGGTTGGGCCATCTTTCCAAACAAGGAGCATCTCCTATTCCTTGGATAGAATGTGGGGGTGAGTTTCCTTCAATATTGAAAAGGATGGGATAAAGCCAGAGTCTGCAAGAAAGGCTTACAAGGAGAGGCTCAGGGCGGGGGTGTGGGTCTGTGTACACTGTGCACCCTTGGGCAAGCTGCACAGCGTCACTGTGCTTCAGTGCCCTCATTCCCATAATGGGGACAATATTAACCCTGCATAGGGATACTTAGAGCAAGGCCTGGTTCACAGCAGTTAGGGGCATCGGTTCTTACTACCCTTCATTCCTTTGGCGGCTCAGGCAAGTGAACCTCACTGCCTTTCAAATGCAGAAAGGAAACTGCAATGTGGTGCATTCAGTGAACGGAGCAGTTAACTAAGTGCTGGTGGCGTTATGCCGATCAGACGCTGGCAGGAGCAAGGGTCTCAGCCCCAGTCCACGGCACCGCCATGGCATGGCCCTGTCCCTTGGTGCCAGATGTGAGTCGTCCCTGGAGGGAAGGTGCTGAATGACTCGATGCAGTGACACCTCTTTCCCTGGTTGAAAAGTAGGATGCAGTCTCTCATAAAGTTGCCAGCCAAGGACCAGGGTGGGTCTAAGTCTTTGATGCTAAATTCTGAGATTTTCATTTTTGTATGGGAGGATGAACCCAGGGTCTTCACACCGAGCTACATCCCCAGCTCTTTTTAAAATTTTAAGATAAAGTCTCGCTAAGTCACTAAATTGCAGAGGCTGGGCTCAAACTCGTGATCCTCCTGCCTCAGCCTCCCACAGAGGAGGGATTATAGGGATGTGCCACCGCATCCAGCTTAACTGTCACCTTTTCCCAGGACACACACAAGATAGCCTGCACATATGCCTTCCCCAGATTCAACAGTCTCACCCCACTTCCTTCAACCCTGTCTCCCCAGCTTTGCCCTCTCCTTCCTCCTTCCTTTTCTTCCTAGTTTCCTCCCTCTTTTTTTTGGTACTGGGGATGGAACTCGGGTCCTTGTGCTTGCGAGGCAAGTGCCGGAACCACTGAGCTAAATCCCCGGCCCAGTTTCCTCCCTTTTTAAAGCAATTTCCTGACATGCTATTTCACCCTGTATCCTTCTGTAGATAGCTCTAAAACAGAAGGGAATTTTCTTTGGTAATGAAACCACCACTATAGCACTTAATATTTGTTTGCTTTTCGGTACCGGGATCGAACTCGGGTCCTTTCGCTTGTGAGGCAGGCACTGGAACCACTGAGCTACATCCCTGGTCCAGCACTTAATGTTAATTATCATGGGAACTCATTTT